CTGCGATACTGGTTGTCGGCAGCCCTGGGTACATGTAGAGTTTACATATACCAACCATCGATAGTTCTTGGCAGTAGTCAGAGACAATTTATGTCTATTTCTTGTCCAATCTTTAAATATTCATAACTCTGCTCAGAATAAAATAATTTGGCTGAAATTTTCAATATATATTCATTTTTCATTATCTATTTTTGAGCTAAATAGCAAAAAGTGTCAGCTCTTTTTCTATTACTAACAAATTACTTCATCCATATATCAATGATAATAAACTCAAGAAGATGATTTTGGAACAAACATGGCAAATCTGTATACCTTTTTTTAAGCTTGTTGACTGTTTGAAGGGCTCATTAACCAAAGAAAACAACACAACTTTAACAAAATAACCACCTTAATTTTGTCAAGTACATGTACTTCACAGAATCAAACTCAGCATGTCATTTTAGACCACTTAATTTGGAAATACAAGAAAGTATGGTTACATATATATTATATATACAATGTATATCATTTCAGATTGTCTTCTGTCTTCATATGAAATTTACAAGATCCATTTCCATTTTTCCAAAGGCTGTTTTTTTAGTTGAAATACAAGGTACAAAATAATCAATCTATGAAATCATTTCTGGCCAGAAAATTCACCAATACTGTATTTACATTAATAATAAAAGTCACTGGTTAAGAATAGAGTGGTATATGTATATATGGAAGAAAGTTTAAAAAAAACCCCAAAAAACAAGAATTAAAACACACAAACAAGTGAAATGTCTTAGTAAGTTTCAATAAATTCGTGTAAACCAATTTCATGTAAGCTTATATCACACTAATTGAAACTTTAGTTTTCATCTAAAATCATTTTTTATTAATGTGCATAAATTCAAACTAAAACATTATTCCAAATCTAATCACGTTGATTACAATAAGTCTGGAGAAATATTTACAAGGTAAAGAAATGTCTGATGGATATGTGAGACAAACCATAATAAATCCCCTTTAATCGATAACAATTTCATTAACTCGCTCAATAATAATATTGTTTTATTTTCACTCCATTTATTCTTATTCAAATTTTACAAGAGTTTGAGACTGAACTTTAGTAGTGACTTAAATAGCACTTCAGCAGTATTTGAGAGAGAGAGAGAGAAATGGAGTTTAACGTCCACTCGACACAAACTAGGTCATTTCGGGACTAACACATGGTTCAATTTTATTTCAATCATTCGCTTGCGCGTAGGGGGTCTTTAGCAGTGGGAGGAAACTGGAGGACCCGGAGAAAATCCACGAGGTTGGACAGGCGACCCTACTTCTTGTCACGTACGACCGGGGAATCGAAACCCCGTCGGTTGACTCAATGACAGACTGTATGATACAGCGCGCGTGCTAACCATTCGGCAATCCAACCCCCCAGCAGTATTTGAACTATTTAGGAATTTGATATTGAGCTTTGCTACGTTTATTTATTCTTTAAAGTCTATAAAAGTCATTTGAACGATTATTTATAACTTGCAAACAACTATACTACCGGTATGAATGTTGAATCGATAAAAGGAATATAGATCTAAAAATGGTTCAATTCTGTTCAGTTCAGTATTTACAAAGATATCATGAATTGAAAATTTGTCAACATTCGGCCTCCACTCAAGGATAAGATCCATAAGTCAACATACAACAGCGCCACCTATGAGTTTCGCTGAATCTTTTGATGGGCTTGTTTTTAATCTGATTGAATCCAGGCTGAGAGATTATCTACCTTTGAAATTTTATTTTGTGTCCATAATCAAATGTTAAATTATTAATTTGAGGACATTTTAAGTCTAGCTCATAACCCACCCACCGTACATGTTCTGCAGTGCCGAACACACATAAGTGGTGCGTAAGACTCACATAAAGGTTTACCAAAATTCCCCCTATAGACTGCCCTAGAAGCATGTATGGCGGATTGTTAGTTAGGCTTTAGCGAGGATTACGATGTGGAAAATGACGCACAGAGACATATATAAAAAAGAAAAATAATGTTTGCCACTTTTTGGTATGTTAACCAGTTTTTTAATGAAAATTACGACAATTTATATATGTGGTACTTTCGATTATGTATAAACTTTAATACACAATCTGAAAATATTCCCATAATACAATGGCGTGGGTTGGTAAACCATGTTATCAGGAACTACATGTACTTGGCTGTACTTGATAAAATTAAAGTCCCTGAGGGTGACATCAGTCGCACATTTAAATGCCAGCAATTCATTTTTGTCTTTTGTTTTTCTATCAAAGAAAAAAAACTAATTGAGATAAATTGTTCTCATGGAATACCTGATCAAAGATTTGTTTGATCTGACAATTAGTGCAAGTTGTACATGGGAATACATAGTACACCCACCTCACACTGTTTTTTTTTTTATGCAGTAAACATTTAGAATTCAAACTGCCTTCTCAGCTCTAAAGCAAAAGAATGTTTGGGCATTTTTTACAGGATTATTAGTTCATCTTTTTAATCCTAAAAGAAAACATGACTTTTTTTATTCTGGTTTAAAATAACTGGAAAAATATGTGAAACATCCATGCTGTCTATTTATCCGGCATAATTATTTGAACTCTAGTTTTTTTTGTAAAAGTCAAAGTTTCAAATATCATTTGCCATCAAACTAACTCTTGTTAATTTTAAATCTCTAATAGTTTTAAGATTATTGCAGATTTGTTCCTAAGAGGAGAACAAAGGAATGATTTGTTTGAAAAGTATATCTGTGGAATTGTAAACTTTAAACCAAGAGAAACAATGAATTGTTTTAAAACAAATAAATGTATTAACTAACTGTTTTCTACATTCCAACTTTTACTACATACAACAGTAAATAGAGGTTAAGCAAACTAGAATATTCTTGGTAAAAAAAAATCTCTCTTTTTTTTAAACTTATATATGGAAACAAATTATTTCTCGTTCAGGGGTACTTGTACTAAAATAGATCTTATTTGCTACTGTTTTTAAGCTAATGATTGTAAAATGGCCATTTTAAATTCCACAAACTTCTCTCCGTATTGCATTTAAAATTGAACAAAACTAAAAATAACTTGAGGTGTCACTGAAATGATGTACATAAAATACAATCTGATTAGTTCTTCTTTTGTAAATAAAAACAGAATATTTGTTTAATACGGAAGTAACAGATGGAAGTATATAAATCATATTTATGGAAATATTTTTATTCAGGTTCCCAAGAGTCTTCATGTATATGCATCAAATATGACACTTAGCGCTTATTTGATAAATGTCCTCGGATTCTTCCTTTTTTCAAAACCATTCTTTCATCTATCTCACATATTATAAATATTATTCTTCATCGACAAACAATTTCATCAATTAAAGATACATTATGTAAGATTTAGATAAAGTGCTAGCCATTCTTGCTATAATAGTTCGAAAATAGATAATGTAAAATGAATAATTTGAAAATTTCATTCAAATTACTCTATTGCGAGCGAAGATATTAGCCTTTGAAGGTTTGACAAGACATGTGCAATAATTTCAACCACCGTACTGGTTGTTCGAAGCTAAGTCTTGCTCCTCCATTTTTATGGCTGAACTGTTCTAATCTATTTAATATCGGAGAAATCTGATGCCATCGAGAGTTATGGCCTGGATAAGTTAATTAATGTCTAATTAATAATTTAGATAACATTTCAGGCCTAAAGAAAGACCTGCAATAGGCAGATTTAGCTCTTGCATAATGTATGTTTAACCTTTTGTATTGTCAAAGAAGAATGGAATGTATCTTCCTCAACCATGGCATGACATTTATACTGTTTTGGAAAGGTGCTCTTCATAGTCCTGGTGTCGTGAAGAAATGATATAGGATCTGTGTTTTAATCAAATTGTAATATTTCTAAATTTAAAGTATCCGATGTCCCTGTTTTTTTTTTATTGCAAAATTAGTTAAAATGTTAGTTTCTGGATGTTTCTTATTAAATAAATGTTCTCCCAAGGGTAATGACATATTTTCAACTAAAAGTCTTTTGGCTTTTTTTTTACATAAAAAAATAAAATTATAAGACTGAAAATGATTAAAAAGCCCACAATCAATAAGAAAGAAAACACCTTAAATGTCAACCGCAAGTTTTCTAGATATATCTTCATTGTTCGAAATTAAAGTAGTAATTATCTATTGCTACTGAGTTTTATGTGCCCAAGAAACGTATCTTTAAATATAAATTGAGGCTCCCAACTGTCGAGGAAACATCTTTAAATACAAGATGAGTGAATTACATCCAATTAAAATGCAATTTAGATAGTGAAGTAGAGAATGTTTAAATTATGGATTCATTTTGGCTTGATAATAAAACGAATATAACAACAGGATTCTGTGTATCAATTGGAATGTGTTGGGTTTTTTTTTTTTATGTCACATGTTAGATGAATTTGAATGTTCATGGATGTATATTTATGTATTTATGTTGTGTATCTATTGGAATGTATCTATTGGACCGAGGGCATTTTTTTCATGTCATAAGTGAATGTATATTTATTGGAATGTGTGTTTTTTTTCCCCGTCACATTAATTGAATGGTCATGGGTGTGAATGTATCTATTGGAATGTTTTATTTTTTCATGTCACATTGATTGGTCATTAGTGTGAATGTATCTTTTGAAATGTGTTTATTCTTGTCACATTAATTGAATGGTCATCAGTGTGAATGTATCTATTGGAATGTGTTTATTCTTCATGTTACATGTATTTGAATGGCCATGGGTGTGAATGTAGCTATCGGAATCTGTTTTTATTTCATGTCAGATGTATTTGAATGGCCATGGGTGTGAATGTAGCTATCGGAATCTGTTTTTTTTATGTCACATATATGTTTGAATGTGGATGTGAATGTAATTATTGGAATGTTGGGTTGCTTTGCATATCACACGTATACGAATGGTCATGAATGCATATTTATATACTCATATTGTGTATGCTTACTGAAAATAAGAAAGACAAATAAATAATACAGAAACATACCTTAAATCATGCACTTCCTTTACTCTATTTTCTTGACCCGAAGCTACCACTTTAGTTGTTGTACTTGTCACCATTTTACCATCTTTTATAAATTTCCTGGTTTTGGTCATTGTACGATAATCACTCTTATTATCCTAAAAGACATGTCATATAAAACTCAGTTGTAATTTAATGACATGGACTGGCATTACATTCTAGAATCTTTTGAGAACAAATACTTACTAAAAAAATTTCTAAATATTATGCCGATTTTATTTCAATAATCTCAAAAAAAAGAGAATGATTTTCTGTTTTACCTGTAATTTTAAATATAAATTAACTTACATTTTTAGGCTTTAATTGACGTTTTGTTCTCCTCTGTACTACATCAGCAGATGGCACCACTTTAGCTTTAGGCTCCTCCTTTTCTACACTATCTATTGTATTAACACTACCTGAGTCAGATCGTTTATCAGATATATCGTCATCGGGGTTCGACACATCTAGAGAAACGTCCTGAGATGAACCATTTTCACTTGTTAATCTAGTCTCAAATGTGTCTAGATCAGTTTGTGGAATAGCGATTTGCCGTTTAGGACTGTCCACACTAGGTTTATTAACTGTGGTGTCTTTAACGGCTGTAGCGTGACCGTTAATAACGATAGCGCCAGTATTAGGTACAGGTTGATTATGAAATGTAATAACAGGTGCTTGGTCTCGATCAGGTGTTATGCTGCCAGATTTTCTATCTTCTTCTACATTGACCTTGACCTCCTGAACCTCAAACCCTTCAGGTGCATTATTCTCTATACTAGCTATAATATCTGTAACCCGCGGTGAATCGTTATTATCTTCGTCTTCCTCGTCTTCATTCGTATTTGTTAACAAATCTTGGACCGTGTCGAGGACAACGCCAGGTACAGATGGAGCGACAGAAGTAGACGTGATAACATCTAAAATTATGCCTTCAAGAATATCTTCAGAAACAATAACAGCTTCATTATGTTTATCATCTTTCTCTTTCTCTGGCGTCTTCGCTTTAACCGGTGGAATTTCTACCACATCGACATCTCTATCAACTTCTTGTGTTTTAGCCGGACTGTCATTCTGTGGAAATGAAACACAATTTTAATTTGGTAAAAATTGAATAATTTTGAAGAGAAGTGAAAAACTTCTAAACCTACTGGTATCATGGTCAATCATCATTGACCTTGATATAAAATGAACATTTTTAAAACTGAAAAAGTTTTTAGCTTTGGTTACAATCTTTTACGGCATTAATTTAAAAAAAAATTCATCCATACTTATTTTTATTTTATTTTCTTTCCCTAAAAATTAATCAAGGTCATATTGCTTTGTTTTCATTTCATTCTTTATTTCTTCTTCCTTAAACATCCCTCATATCATTTACTGATTCAATGATAAAAAACTAAAATCCTGCATTAACAATGTCCAAATCAACAACATGTAATTTACTCAAAACTATTACTGTAAAATTCTAAGTAAAAATAACCCTATAATTATAATAATTTACCTGACTGCCTTCTGATCGTTCATCACCACTAGGACCCAGTCCTTCATCAGATGATCTGTCATTATCGTCTTTCTCTTCCACTTTAACTGCTGTTCCTGCAGCCACAGGTAGACCTGCAGCAACAGGGGGCTCAGGGGCAGGAGTTTTCTTAGGTGAATGGGGTTTCTTTCCTTCCTTTGAGTCTGGTCTCTCGGCTGGTTTGACATCAGATTTTTCTTTATCTGCTTCTTTTGATTCAGCAGGTTTCTTAATTTCCTTTTCTTGACTCTGAATTTATAAAAATAAAATATGAAATGGGGTTTAACGTCCTACTGTTCTGCTCCAATGTGCTATGAGGGAAATTTTGCCCGGCCAGCAGCACTACGGGCTACTCTTACATCGAATTCCTACTGTCAAGCGATCTTTTGCGTGCATGCTAATATGTACACAGGACCTCTGTTTTCCATCTGTCCTGGCCAAGGGCGAACTTTCTTGCCCATCGCAGGTATTAAACACAGGACCCCTACATTAGCGAGCCAACGTCATACTCACTGAGAGCTACCTTTATAAAACTAAAAATAAGGTTGGTTTCATTGTTTCTGTAAATCAGTGAAATATTGTTTTAAAATTAGTTATTTCCCAAAGAAATAGGAAGAAAAAAATTCAAATTGGTATGACCAACCTTTTCTTTGTCTTTCTTGGAATCAACACTATAGTTAGAAATACTGTCCATATCGGTATCAGTATCACTCAATCGGCGCTGTAAAATAAAATATCCAGATAAATTATTAACATAGAGAGAGAGAGGAATTGGGTTTAACATCTACTCAAGACAACCTAGGTCTTTTCAAGATTAACATATGGTTCAATTATATTTCAATTATTTGCTTCCACATAGGGGTCTTTAGCAGGAGGAAACCCTAGAGAGGCGATCCTACTCCTTGTCACGTACATGTACAAGCTAGGAATCCAAACCATGCTGCTTAACTCAATGACAGACCTGATGATCTAAAGCGTCTGTGTTAAACCATTCGGCCACCCAACTTCACAATGAACATTATAAATGTAAGAATAAGTCTAAAGGATCATATACAGATGTAATGTATGATTTAATGAAGGTGCTATTTCTATTATGTCAGGTCATATTTGGACCATTACTTAGTGTTGGATATATTACTGTCTGAATATCTGAATAAAACTAAAAACTCTCTCTCCCCCTCCCTCTCTTTTTTCATTTTCATTACAAAACAACATGGATGCATGTTGTCCTTCAATGTCCTAACATCATACAGTTCTCTAGAGAGAGAGAGAAATGGGGTTTAACATCCACTCGACACAAACGAAGTCATTTTGGGACTAACACATGGTTCAATTTTATTTCAATAATTCACTTTAGCAGTGGGAGGAAACCGGAGGACCCGGAGAAAACCCATGAGGTTGGACAGGCGACCCTACTCCTTGTCACGTACAACCGGGGATTCAAACCACGCCAGTCGACTCAATAACAGACCTCAAGATACAGCGCGCACATGCTAACCATTCGGCCATCCAACCCCCCACAGTTCTCTAATACAGTGTATGTAAAACATAGAAACTAAAAAGTTTGATAGCAATACCATCTTTATTATTCCTCATACAAGGATATGTTTCAAAACAGTTCCTTTTTACACAGTTCTTTCTGTGCAATAAATAAATAGTCTCACCATCAGTACTCCAATCCAAAGAAAACATCCTATAACACTTACTCTGATTTCTTGAATATCTTCATCATCTGATAAATCATGTACTTCTTCTACAACTTCAGCCTTTGCTTCATTGATTAAATCTTTCAAAGGTTTCTTGTTTGTAAAATCTTTTATAAATTTATGCTAAAAAATACAACATAATGATGACTTAATTTCAAGAAGTAAAACAAATTATAATTGTACACTTATAACCTAAATACTCTAAAAGAAATACGACTCTTGTTTTAAAATTATGCCAGACAGATATTATGTACACAATTGTCAGGAAAATTCGAAAATCTAATACAAATCGGGCATTAAAGATACACTCCCGGGTACAAACTGGGTGATTTGATGATATATTAGGACTAAAAACATATTCAAACTAATTAATTTATCATAATTTTGCTTCAAATCCTTCTCAAAACATTGAAATTGTCAGGGAATACCTGGCTATAAAAACTCGATCAAAAGAGGTCATGTTTGTGTCACGTGACACGACGGGTGCGATGTCGGAGGAGAATTCATTGCATACAAAAGACGATGTTGCCTTTATCGCTGACTATTTATTACAAATATCGAGGCCTAATTAAATTCTCGAATTATCCACTTCCTGCATCTTTTTCCGTGATTTTTATCTCAGAAAATGTTGTACGTCTAACTCTTCATAAAGTTTATCAACATGTACATCAACTGTTCAATCTCTGCGTACAACCTTCGACGTCACGCGTGCAGACTCTCCTAATCGTCAGGCTGTCAATTAGGGGAACCCTTACATTTTTGTCCTGTATGCGCTCCATAAGTGTTTTTCAGGGAATCCAGTATTTTTCTAGTAAGATTGGACATTTCTACTTTCCATATATACCAAAATTGCCATACTTTTATTGTAAATAACCAACCAATAAATACTTTTCTGGTAACGTAGCTTTAACTAGCAAAAACATAAAGAACAGCAAGCCAATACAAAGTGAAGACTTTTATCTTGACATCATCAACTCCTACATATATCAAACATAAGGCTAAAATACACAGTATCTACTGTAAAATATCTGACACACCAATAAACACATCCTGTAAATATGCTAGGGAATAATGATTAATGATAAAATCAAATCTTGAGTGCAATTGTTATTGAAGATTAAAGGGAGGTAACTCTTGAGTTGAGTCCTTAAACCCATATTATCTCCCCTTAGACCACAATATTGCAGTTCCCACAAACTGGTAGACTCTGAAGAAAATATCAAATTAAGTGTTTATTTACCTCTAATAATTCTTTAGCTGTTGGCCTCTGTTCTGGATCTTTTACTAAACATTTACCTATAAAATCACTGAACATTGGAGACCTGAAAACCACAATAAAACAATAAATATAAAGTATTCAAAAGGCTTTGTAAATATTTAAAAAGAACATAAAATAAATATACCACAGACAGTAAAATGGGGTTTTATTATCCCTACATAAATAAAACTATTCCATGTCGGGACTAACATATTGATATTCAATGACTAACACATCATTTAGGGAATATATGGTAATTCTTCATTTCAGTAGTTTACCTGCATCCAGGGCTTTTAGCTACAGAAGGAAACATAATATCAACAGATCGAAGATTCCCATTACAAAACTTTAAGATCCCCCAGACACCCACCCAATCTGTGATATGATTAAAAGTTTTATCCATCTTATAACATGGCAACTCTTCCACTCCTTGAGATATATTTGATGTACATGTATATGTGTATGACTAACCATCTAGAAGGAGCATCTAATTTTGGGGGTTCTGATTTCTGTATTTTGATAAGGACTCTCATTGGATGCATATCATTATTAGGAGGTTCCATCTGAGCAAACTCTATCAAGGTAATACCTGAAGTCATAAAAAAATCAAATTATTACATCTTTTATAGAATATTATGGAACGGATAAATGATAATAAAAACAAGAGCAGTAGATTTTATTCTTTAATACACACTTTTGTCTTACCCGCTGTCAACTACAATGGTAAATGATGCTTAGTAGTTTCTGTGACCTCCACAACACCTTGGGTGTCATTCTGTGGTATACAAAACAGCATTTTTATTGTTACAATAATTGCGAAGCAGTTTCAGACTCTGCACTATCAAGACATTTTCTCTTCAGTGGAATAATCCCACAAATTCAGGGTGTGTCCAACACAATTCCTCTAATGACTGTCATTAGTCTGACACAATTCCTCTAATGACTGTCATTAGTCTGAGTCAATTCCTCTAATGACTGTCATTAGTCTGACACAATTCCTCTAATGACTGTCATTAGTCTGGCACAATTCCTCTAATGACTGTCATTACTCTGGCACAATTCCTCTAATGACTGTCATCAGTCAGACATGTATATATCATTTTTCAGGTTTTTTTGATAAGCCTATGTGTAATATAAAATCTAAAATTTCATTAGTGTCAGACACATTGTCATGTACAAATAAAATCATTATTTTCTGGCCTGTCCACAATCACATGCACATTAATTGACGTTAATTTTTTTAATGAAGTAATGAAGATCGTTAATTCAACTTACCCAATGACCAAATGTCTGCTTTATAATCATATGGTGTATCTTTTAAAGTTTCACATAGTATAACCTCCGGTGCCATCCTACAATAAATATAATAAATAAAATATTACATGACCCTAATTTACAAGATTTTATACGATACAAAACAGGCAAATCTTTAAGTGGCATTTAGCAATTGAGAAATACATTAAACCGAACACAATTTTTATGGAAGATCAATTACGTTTTTTTTTCTTCTAAAAGCATAAGGTTTCAACACGTATTCTCTTATTGTTATCAAGCACAATGACATTTAGTAAACTAAGATATATATAATATTCATGGTTTCATGTTATGTTCAAAATAAGCAAGTTTTATTTACAATGACATTTTTCTATAATTAAAATCTTTTTGAATGTGACAGGCAGCAACAGAAAAATGACAGCTACTTATCAAAAATTCAACATCAAAACAACATTTTATCATTTTCTTGAATTAGTCATAAATTCATGTTTTTGAGGGCTCTAATATTTATGGATCCCCTTTGATTCACCATGGGACCAAATATAGTGTGATTCCTGACCTTTGGATGGAGATGTATAATGCATATTACTCATAACAATAAAATAAAGTAAAATCCTACCAGTATGGTGTTCCTATGAATGTATCTCGTCTTTGATGAGTCTTAGTATTCTTAGCAGAGACACCAAAATCGGCTGGAAAAAACAAACAAATCATAAAATATATTGTATGTATTTAATAAAACAATAATATGAAATGTATATGTTGCTACATGTTTTATTGCGAGTATCTTTTCAGGTTCAGTGAAGCCTGTTGAAGGCCCGGGATTATACATCACAGTGGATGCTTAAGACTGACACCTGGATCCATTTACTTGATTTGATATTATAATACATGTATATGCTTGTTATTTATTATTTATTGTTTGAATTGCCTGTGTATCCTGTCCTGTCCGTAGGTTTGTCTTGTGTGATTGTTTATGTGTGGTGTGGTCCTCCTGCACTTACTACTGTGTGAGAGTAAATCATCACGACACTCTTAAACTGTGATTTATTACTATGTAATGCAAGAACAATATCAATATTTCTAACAGCAGGAGGAATATTGTTTTAACTCAGAAAAACGATTTTTTACACGATGATTGAAGGAGATCAGGGGATAATGGAGAATAAATCAATTCAGTTTTCTATTGTGAAATGGAAAACAATTACATCTTTAGGAAAATGGGCTAAACACTGATTCAGCTCTCAAAGCTATCAATATAACTTTGTTATTAGCATGTCAATATTCATTTTATATTAAGCATTGAAAAAAAAAAAAAAAAAATATCTGCAATCTGCAATAACTTTGTTATTAGCATGTCAATATTCATTTTATATTAAGCATTGAAAAAAAAAAAAAAATATCTGCAATTTAACAACAAATTGATTATAACGGTTTCCGATTCAATTTTATGGTACACCATCATTTATCAAAATCAGTTACGAATGGAGTGGTGTTTAAAGTCTTGATAACACAACACTTTGGTCATTTTGTGACTAACGTGATAAATTTCACTTCTATTATGACTGATGCAATGTAAGTGGGAAAGAATTCCTCTAAGACAAAGAGTTCTTGTACGTGCACTTATTATCGCACCCATGCTGTGATTCGAACCTGGAACATTTTGGTTGAGGGGCCAATAATCCACGGTTCGATTACCACTGCGCAGAGATTATGAATGAAATGTTCTGGGCCGACTAGGCTAATTTAGTCAGGATATTTTGAGTGACAAAAGCTTAGTTTGAATGAAATTACTTATAGATATAATAAACAAACATGATACATATCAAATATTTACTCTTATATCTTATCATAGTTATATCACTAGTTTATTTATAATACTCCTTTAACATGTAACATGATCAAACAATAGTTTCAATCTTCGTGTCAAATCTCTATTTTTTTATTATTAACTAAGCATTATGTAATCACTATCTGTACCATTAATATTTTACATTTCATTTCATCAATATGTTAACTCTCATTTCATCAATATTTTATATATCATTTCTATACAACAGTAAAGATGCATGTACAAATAAGTCTGTTTATTTTTAAACAGTATTTTTATTCAGAGAACTGGCCCTGGTTTCACAAAACATTCTCATACTTAAGTTAAGAATTTTACTCAAAATTGTTTGTCTTATCTTATCTCCAATATAAAACTTTTGTTATTTTAATGTATCAAATACATCAGTAAGAAATTATGTGCAAAGTTTTGTGTTTCTGGATCGAAGATATTTCTTATAAACTGTGATTTAAAGTTGACTAAATTTTTAACTTTAAGTCTGAGAATGCCGTGTGAAAGCGGGGTCTGTCTCTGTGTGAATTGAAGAGCAGATTTATCCTATGACACATCATCCCCGTCATTATTTCACTAAAATATCAAATTACAATATGCAAATTTTCTTAATTGAAACAGAAATAAATGTATAAGTACTGGCCAATTGCTTTCAATGTTATAAAAGAGTCTCCCCATTCTGTTTGAGGTGTATAGAAATCAACTCCTTACAGTACATGTATATTTGAGTTATACATATACATGTACTAACTAGAAACATTTATCTATCTATTGGCATGAACATAATTATGATGGTCATGATATTGTATGGATTAGAACACTTAAGCGACTAAAGCAATTTAAAACTTTAATGGTAAAACAACAATCTAGACTATTACGGCTAAATCTTGTCAAAAAATCAAACTTTCAAGACTGAAATTTTCAGCATACATGTATTTATATTTTTATTATTTAAAACTATTATAGCAAGAACGGACATCTCTTTATCTAAATCTTACAAACTTTATCTTTAAACAAAGTAATACTGTATATAATAGAATGTGGTTCTCTAATCTGAGTCAAACCGGTTTCTATTTGATTTATCTTTCATTTTGAGACCTACATAACCACTCCAAATGTAATTTCAATCAGATAGCTAAACCAAAGGTCTGCAGAATAAACATAGAATGCTAATATTGCTACTGAATAACTTCTATAAAAACATCAAACAAGTATGAAATACATTGAAATCATTTCACGCATGGAAAAAACCTACGTTATGGTAGTTATTTCTTAACAACAAATATATAATTAATGTACTGTACATGTTAGTAGGTTAGTGGTAAACGTACACAACAGGACGAAAATCAATCGATGCAAAACAAGATAAAAATCTCTGTCATTAATTTAGTTTATATTTCATTTTCTAAAAATAGTCAACATTTAAAATGTATTGTAACAATCTTTTTTTTTTTGTAAATTTTGTCACAAGTTACTTATGAATGTTATATCATTAATAAATAGGATCCTGTTTGTGGAACACACTGGTCATAATGTAACTTCTAAATAATATGATCATAATATAACTTCTAAATGTATGAATTGCACTGTTTGAATATAGACTGTGTATTATGCATATAAGGATTTTTTTTCATGCTCTACCATTAATATACCATAGGTTTAATAGCTACATGTAGATACACAACCATAAATCTACACTGTGCATTATACATACATGTATATGTACATTTCTCAGGAAAGTGACAACATCATGTCATTGATTGTTTTTTGTGAGATTTTATGTACGGGTGCTTTTGATCATCCTTTAGAGCTGAAATTCCAGAGCTCTATTAATTGATTACTTCTATTATCATTTTGCAGTAATAATTTTTCTGTAGTAATTCTATAGGAACTAACACAATTTCTGTAGGACTTTTCCATTATGGAATAATGCTTTAATGTGAAAATATACTGTTGCATATTATTGTAATTATAATATAACAATAACATTCCTTAGCTTTGTTGTCATACACATGTAATTGTCATCAAGGATACATTTAGATATAGATGCATTATGTGAGATTTAGATAAAGCACTGATAATTCTTGCTAATGCAAAATGAATAAACTGAAAATTTCATTCACATTACTTTATTCTACAGAAAGTTATCACTGTTTGAAGTTCTCACAAGATGTGACATAGATTGTTTATTATTATCGTAACAACAGTACACGTACTTGTTATTCGAGACTAAGCCTCGCTTCATCATGTAGCTGCAATGATAAATAACCATTGGTATTTGAATCTGTAGATGTGGAGCCATGGTTTCACATTTGTATGTAGTATGGCGTGAGCTCACAGGTTATCGATTTGTCAGTGGTACAGGACAAAAGGCGTCTAGTCTTGTGTATATCATTGGCAGTACATGTACGTGTACATTAAAGATCCTCTGACAGTAGGAAATCAAAGAGTATGCCACAGTGATGCAATGCTGGCAAAATATCACAGCATACAGCATCATAAAAACCCATCTTCTTTAGACCAGTTGGGGCAAAAAAGTAAGACATAAAATCCAATTTCATTTCAATCCTCTGTACATGTATACATGTACCTAGCTTGTGCTGCATTAGTAGTTTATCTATTATAAACATAGAAGAATTCATTCAAATTCAGAACACACATGTAAGATTTTATGCACATCACACTATTTGCTAATTTGTTATTCTAATTTTAAAATCTTTATCTACTGGTATTTTCAGTGGCTTATTTTTCTCTTGTTACTTATTCTTAAATTAAAGGACTATTTTCCTGTGCATCAGTAAATTGGAAGTTTTGTTGGAATGAATCCAAATTTCATATTCATTTTCGTAGTATACCACTTGATAAAATGAAAACATCTTAAAATTTAGGGTAATACATTTAAACTTCTTGTAATTACATAAATGTCTATTCATTACAACAAAAAGGTGTGTTTATAATACATATACATGGTTGTTTTAGATGTTTGCTATCAAATTCGTAATCACTGTAAAAAGCCTCCAGTTGGAAATTGAATGAATAATATGTATGTTTTGGTCGGTCTGCATCACTGCTATTTTAATCACGTTTCACCCACCAATATTAAATTCAGTGATATAAGATTTTTTTTTAATTCATATACACCCAAACCTTGTTCTATTCAACTTGAGTCATGAATAGCATGATTATTTATTGTTATTATACAGTAAGGTGTAAAACAGGATGTTAAACTAGTGAAAAATGGTATGTCAAATATTTCATCAGATAAATTTATAAAGGTGTTAAATACAATAAAAGCTTGTTGTTTCCTTATTAAATCATTTAACATGATATTATTCTATCCGGAGTACTGAGTGGCTAGACAAATGTTATGTAACAGAAATGTGTTATCAATATTCAACAACACATATTTGCATGATTTCATATTATTATTGTTCATTTGACTTCCAATGTGAAGAAAGAAGTGGAATTTAATGTCTATCCTATGCAACTAAATCATTTCAGAACAAGAGAGAGATATAACAACCACTCGACATTTTGTGACTAACAGAGGTAAAGGAGGCAAACCTACCTTGTCAAATTATTTTTGCAAGGATGGAATAAAAACCATGACAATTGCATCAATAGTTATGATTTAAAGTTCATACAAAACCATTTATTTTAAGAAATCTTTTTCTCATTAAATTGTATGTGTCCAGGGATCTTTAGTAGTAACAGGAATAGAGACAATCTGGAGTAAACCACAAGGTCAGGCAGCAGATCCTATTCTTTGTCATGTGGGATGAAACTAATTAGTCGCTAAAAACCTAACCGCAACCGGTTAACCGATTTACTTTGTATTCACATTTAATATAAATTTTTTTATTATAATATTTGTTGCACCACAGGAAGACTTTGTGATACATTTTTAAATTATTAGTTATAGCTTTTTGTTAAAATAATAATAGTCAGTAGAAATTCCATTCATTCATTCATTCATTCATTCTTGATGTCTCATTCTCCATCTTTCTGGTACTTTGATAGGTCTTTAGTGAAAGAAAACAATATTGTGGCTACAATTCATGGGTTTGAAGGTCAGGAATGATATGAAAATGAATATACGTTAGTAATTTTTTGAACCGATTCAACAGTGCAGCCGAACCGTGACCTGTTAACCGAGTAGCTGTTTACATGCTTAGATGAAACCACAATTATACATGTACCAGTTATTAGTTGATGAACTGATACACATTAGATCCAATTTGAAGTTTATATGTCTTCCTTCTTTACTATAAATAACTTTAACATGGACTACATGCACAATAATATGTTTACCTTCCTTATTCCTTATTAAAGATACACTAGTTAAAGAGTTTAATAAAGAGTTGGCCATTCTTGCTATAATTCAAAAATAGATGATGGATAAAGAAAATATTGAAAATTTCAGTCAAATTACTTTATTCTGAACGAAGTTGTCACTGTTGCAAGTTTGGGCTAGAAATAGGCATTAATTGTCTCGCATCGAGAATTGCCAATCCACATACATGTATTCTCAATTATCAAGAAACAATCTCAATGGCTACGGTACCCTTGATTGGCAGGCCTTTCATCGGAAGTTACTGGTGGTGACGTTGGTGACTAACGGTAAACAGACTTTTATTGATTTAATTATTAAATGGACAACTGTTTAAATCCAAGATGTATCCAAGCCATCTGAGGGTCTACAGAGTTGATTTTGAGCTTGTCATGTAAATAAAGGTCTAATTAATCATTTCTATAACATCTGAAGCCTAAAGAAAGACTTGCAATAATCAGAGAGTGTGAAATAGCTGTATTTAACGTCCGCTTCCACCGAGGTGATATCGAAGACAAGCAATAATCAGATTTAGCTCTTAATGATCTTAATCTTAACTAATGTATCTTTAACTATATGTAACTTAATATTAAAATCTGTTGTTGAAGTTATGATTTAGTTCCTGTATGATTAAATAATGCTATACTTATAGATTTTATTCATGTTCAAACAATTATAAATTTCACCCTTAGAAAATTTCAGATTTTGCTCTCAAGAAAGGAAGTTCTCAAATTTGAATATCACACAGTAAAACATTAGCTTTAGGAATGCGTAATCTCCTTTGAAAATGCATACATTATGTCATTTATATAACTCTCTTATTACACATTAACAGAACATGTTTCCTTAATACATTTGTATAAAGTAATAAGAGACATTTAAAAAATATTTGACACATGTGATAATGTAAAATGAATGTTTATACTCTCAACAATTAAAACATGTATATTGTCTGTTGTCTTAAATGTTAAATTTATGTATTTTTGGGGAGTTCTTTTTTTATGTAATATCAAAATACATATAAAAAGCATCTTCTATGATAAAACTCTGGTACAATCAAGTCTATCAGATAGTTATTTGGATGAGACATGGTAGTTTAAAATGATATCAATCATAAAGTGAATAGAGATATGACAAATGACAAAATATGGCCTAAAGATATAATAAATATGTTCATATTACCTACATATATAAATATTCCAGGTAATATTATATAGTCGTTTAAGACATCTGGGATGAAACAGATGTTTAGCCAAAGGAAATATTCAATGTGTCACTTAATACGGGTACAATTAGTCTGGAACGGGACAATTCGTCCCCGGACAACCTGTCCCCAGACAATTTGTCCCCTGGTAGTAGTCCTGGGACGAATTGTCCAGGGATGAACTGTTTTTAGGGACGAGGTGTCTCGGGGTGAATTGACCTGGGACTAATTTTCCTAGAGCCCAATTAGCCTTGTTCAAATTTTTATATAGTCCATAATTATAATTACTTTATTTCTAACTTGATTTATGCTTTTTTATATCTCAAACTAACACTTCAAATCAACTGAATAATTTTTAATATTCTTTAATTTCAACTTAATTCACTATTTTCATATCTTCTACACAGTTCATTTTCTTTATTATAGAATGATCTTTAAAGTTTTACTTGTTAATCAATAAAATATATATATGGTGTTATGACAATAGGGAGTAAGTTGGTGGCTCGCTAACCAGGTATCAGATTATGGTCCAGTGTTGGCCAAGAAAGTTGCTCAGGATCTGAAGGCGTGGTTTTGCCTTGTCTAGTCATTCAGATGGGATGAAAAACTGAGGTCTGTGCACACATTGGTGTGCAAGTAACTTATTTGATTAAGTTCAAAATATAGTATAGGATTGTGTTGGGTTGATACATGGATGTCATTTCAATCAACGATAGGAAAGATTCATCAAAGTGAAAGTTTTGTTTCTAAAAATTAAGCAGAAGTTGGTTTGCTTTCTAATTCTTAATTTTATTTTTCACTTTACTGTGTCAATAACAGATAATCAATTAATTCTTAACATTGGCTTTATCGACATGTATGGACGAAGGGGTTGGGTTGCAGAATGGTCTATGGTGGTATGCACCTTAGATCACAAGGTCTGTCATTGAGTCAAGTGGGGTGGTTTTGATCCCTGCTTGTACATGTGGGTGACAAGGAGTAGGGTCACCTATCCGAACTTGTGTCCTCCCACTGCTAAACACCTATGCGCAAGAGAATGAAATTTAACCATATGCTAGCCCCAAAATAACCTAGTTTGTGTCAAGTGGAGATTAAACTCCATTTATCTATCTACGTTCGTAAAATTTTGAACCAAAAAAATTAACATATAAAATATAATTAATCCAACGACTGTTTTTGCAGCTGGACCAAAGAGGTTTAAAAACAGTATGCGAATGTAATTTAATAGTAATACAGACAACAGTTCATCCAAAGCTAAAGGATACAGAGGTCAAGAGTTATTTGATAGCATTCATCCATCTTTTTATACAGAATTTGTCTTCAGCTATACACCTAACTTAATTAGATTTCAATATCAAAGAGGATAAAACATCTTAAAGATTTCCAATCCAGGCTACTTCACATACAAACAACTATGATGATAATTGATTTTCACACCATAAAAACATGTCTTTTAATGGGGATTGCATTGTCTTTATGTCTCCAAGTGTGGCTTTATTATGGTTCTTGATCAATCTTTGCAAATCTGGGTGAAAAATCTATTATCTGCCCTCTTACACTAGAAGCAGGCCCCATACTGTGCTAAGTGTGTGTTCTGTGTGTATTACTTGTGAGACTTACATGTATGTGCATAATATATTGCTTATTGAGATTAAGATTTCCTGCATCAGTATCCATTTTCTACTGACAATCTGTCATTAGCAAAATCAATCAATTTCTGTCAAGAAACAAAGACCAACGAGATAGAATCGTCAGTGTTGTGAGGAATGGTTACAATCTTTTGTCCTTTTAATGTTGCACAAACTAAACGAAATCCAAGTGCCATACTATATTAGAAATTCATCTTTAATCTCTTTGTCTTCATACACTTTGTTCCACAGAGTCATTTACGGTCTGGGAAAACGGCCAACGTACTTGCTCAGATTTCTTCAGTGTCATCATACACTGTTTGAGCAACCATAATTCTGAGAACAAATCATCAAAATGGATTGTGGCACAGTGAGTAAAACGCTGGCTCGCTAACTAGGTCTCTGGTTCACTCCTGGTGTTGGCTACAGATTTTCCAACCCAGTTTCCCTGTGTCAGTGGTGTATGACGATGGGCCTGGCAAGGACAGTGTTTAGTTGTATGATTGAGATGAAAAACTAAGGTTTCATGTACATACATGTATCAACGTGCACGTTAAAGAAACCTTGACAGTTGGAATTTGAAATAAGAGTAAGCAGTAGCGCAACTGTATGGGCATAATATCCCTCATAGCACACGGTATGGTGTATGCCCATTTTCATTAGCCCAGACAGTGCAGAAAAGTAGGACGTTAAACCCCATTTCATTTCTTAATGGATTAGGGTATAGGAGTGGCAGCTCATGACTCTTAAGACTTACCTAGTTTAACATCACCATCGATGGTAAGCAAAACATTTCCAGCTTTCAGATCACGATGTATAACCTTCTTTTCGTGTAAGTATGACAGCCCTTCACACATCTCATGACACACAAATCGTATCTGATCTTCCGACAATGGCTTCTCTAAGTCCACCATGATACTGTCCAATGCTCCTCCTTCACAAAACTCAATAAACATCTGCAAAATATACACCAGAAAATTGTATCAAAGTAACACAATGAGTCTATAAATTTAAACTATCGACCCAAAGATCAAAATAACAATAACACATTTTAAAACACCTTTAATTTCTAAAGAGGACCGTATTTACAAATCTTTCTTTTTTCTTAAAATTCTCAGCAAAATCAGTTATTTTTCTCTTAAAAATAACAACAGACCTATTGGACATGCAAAACCTTATTTTAATTCAGTCGTGTGTGGAAGTTAAGAGAACACACGTACATCTGTGATGGCTTCTTTGATGATCAAGAAACTAAACTGGATTACCCAATCATCAACAATCTTAATCCCTGACAATTAAGGTGCCAATTAATTGATGAGATTAATAAAAGTTATTCTCACCAATGTTATAATATATAAAACATAGATTTCTAATGTATGGGCTATTCTCATTTGTTCTAAATTATAACCCCATCATAGGTAATGTGAATATGCCTCATGTTTTGTTACGAAAAGTGTGCATTGTGCGAGATAAATATTCCAGCTGGCAGGAAAAAATATATAAACACTTTTTTATATAAAAATTACTATATATTTTGGCAGAAATTGTCCGATCAAATTTTTACTACGATTTTGGTCTTCAGCACCCCTGATAACCTGCAGAAAGAGCTTTTAAATGATAAAATACCAAATAAATGGCATGGTTTCTATGTGATTCTGTTTAGGACCATACATGTACCGACATCTTTGACTTGCTTTTTCTCAAAACGTACTTTCCTGACTTGCGCAGCTTCAAACTAACACGGTTCAGTCAGTTTTTACCTGATTCAAACCAACCATAAACCATTTTGAAAAATTGGGTTGGAGAATGTGAAAATAACAATAATTCAATTTCCAAAATTTCCACATTACGACTCATTTTGCCAGCATGGGTCACATACATGTACATTGTGTATGTTAACTAGGCAAGTCAAAGATTCAACCCAGGCTTGCACTTTACAAAAGTCACCCGTCTAACCTCGTGGGTTTTCTTCAGGACAATTTGTTTCCATGCAAACCTTAATGTACATGTACATGCAAGCATGCTATTGAAAAATGATTGATGATTTTTTGAAACAGTAAAACTTTCTTTTAAAATTGAACATACATTAAGTACCCCCAGTATATATGCACATGTATGCTCACGTTAACTTTTTTTTTTTTAGGATACATGTACATTGTCTCCATCTTCTGGAATTAGCTACATGTATGGCCCTTTTCTTATTATCAGTACATGTACAGTGTATTGTGAAGTTAAGACGGTTTATAGCAGGGTGTACTAAATGATATTTACAATATAAAGCTATTTTTATTGTGGCCTTATGAAACTTTCCTATACCCCAGTAAATTGTGAGTTCCTGTTTGTTATAAATTAACATATTTTATCTTTACCATGTGTGTACAGTACATATAGTAGGAGTATTATAATAGAACATTACATTTAGTATACCATAAACATCCCACAAGGCTAAACTCAACTCATTTTTACTAACTATACTGTTAGTGTGGCAACTTTTAACCTGCATTTCAATCAAAAAATACCACCATATACATGTACCAATACATGTACACAACCTTAAAGGAGCTAAATCGCTAATATTTGTCACCTGGAAATTGACACAAATGGGTCTAAACGAGTATAATAACGTAATATGAATGTATATATATTGATTTACATTCAATCGTTTCTATTTTTACAATATTTTTTAATCAGTTATGTTTGGCGAAATACGCAAGAAGTCTCAATCGAATGGCAATCCCTAGTGTCTGGTTATTTGAGTATTTATTGCGCATGGTCACCAGATAAGAAAATGAGGTCACCGTGCTTCGTTCTTCGAGTCAATTGTTACAATTTCGCTGAAATGCATTATGGTACACGATTTTACCATGGTACACGATAAAATGTTTATTTTATCTTAAAAATTGGATATCAGAAGGTCAACTTTTCCAGGTAAGATCACAACATCAATGTTAATTTAAATTGACAAATTATTTGTAATGTCGAAGACTTTGGATGATATCTAGTTAGAGACTTAAGTGGGGGACAGACGAGCGTATTTTTTCGCCAGATCGCGGCGATTTTTAAAATCGCTCGAAAAATACACCCCTGTGCCCCTTCAGGGCGACGACGATTCTGCTTGGCGAACCATTCGCCCGATCAATCGCTCGTATCTAGCATGTTAGATATTTTCAGTTGAATATTTTTCGCCGGCGATTAAATTCGCTCGTGTGCCTGTGTCCAGCGTATATTGTCGGGCGATTCATTTTTATAAGCCAATCATCGAGATCGTTGATATCACATGATCTCAAAATTGCTGCCATTTTGTACAAGTCACGTGATGGACAAGTCATGTGATCGACATAATTACTCACAGAGTAATCGGCCGTAAAAAAATCGCTGGCAAATTTCAATCGCCGCGATCGGGCTGAAAAATACGCTCGTCTGTCCATAGCATTAGCTACTTCAAACATAGTGCTGACAACCTGTGACAGTTTATTAGGGAAGAAGGGTGGAATACATGTTTACTTGTGTCTTGTATGCATACAAGACCAGGCAATTATTATGTTTGTGGAAACTGTAATCAATTTTTTTCAAAGTTATAAAATATTGCTGAAGAGCACCTTTTCTGGGGCAATGATTGTGGGGGTAAATGGTCATTTGACATGATTCTACATGCATATCAGAATGCTCAAACAAATAATTAGGATGTATTTACATAAATTTTGAGTGTAAATGCAAATACATACACCTGGTACATTTTGCATGGATCTACGGGAATGATAGTGTACAGTCTTCATGAACATAAACATATATCCTATTGTAGAAGTATGATTTTGAAAAGTTTAAGGTGTACTGGTAATAATTACTTGGAAAAATCTTTTAATGCCATAAACGAAAATAATGTTTTGAAACAATTTAAGTTATCTCTATGTGTACCTACATTCCAATGTTGATACCAGATGACATGGTCTATAGTTGTAGGTACATACTGATTAAGAATGAAATTGAGGTGTGTCCTGATTACTAGGTATAAATTGTATCATATAACGCTGGCCTATATTTATATTTATAAAATGAATATATTGAAAAGATAGTTTTTCAGCTTCTTGTGTTGTAAAGTTCACAGTCCAAAATTCATGTAAATTAATGTATGAAACCAAACCAGTTACAGGGCAGGGTATAAAAGAACTACTATATGATTTATTTATGTAGGCCAACATATATACAGATACTGTGAATAGTGAATTTTACTATGGAGCCTGATACATCTACCTGACTTACAAGATAGGGACAGTTATACAAACTTTCTTGTCAACATAAATGTAATACATGTACCTACATGTATAAACTTCAAACCATACTTGTCATTGTAGTCTTACTCTCAGTTTTACATATAATGTTAAAGCAAGGAATATCTAATAAATGCTACATGTACATGTATATGCTAAAAGAGTTGTACCCGGTAGTTGTTAAAACAATAAATGTCACTGCCAAGTTCTATGCCTTTTCCATTAGCTTATCTGGAAGTTGTGAACTTACATGTACATGTACATGTATCCTTGGGTCTTATTTTCTTAAAGGGACAATATGCCACAGAATAAATGGCAAATACATGTATAGAGGATTTAAGACTGAACTTCACTGAACACAATTGAAGGTACTCTTTCCAAAAACATACTGGTACAAAAATTATTTAAACATACATGTACATTATGCAAGAGCTACATGTACATGTAAATCTGTCTTTCTTTAGGCCTGAAATGTTATCTAAATTATGAATTAGGCATTAATTAACTTATCCAGACCATAATCAACTCTCGATGCCATCGCTAGCCTGCGATATTTAATGGATTGGAACACATTTTTTTGAAAAATAATTAAATGCAAAAATGGATGGCCATGGCTAGCCTAAAATTCAAAAGCTAATATCTTGGTTCAGAGTGGAGCAATTGGACTGAAATTTTCAGCATATTCTATTTACATATGATCTTTTTTTTAAGTATTATAGCGAGAACTGTCAACTCTTTATCGAATCTCCCATAATGCCCCTTCAAACAGATCAGGCTGAACAAAGAATAATAAATTTAAAGTTTACATCGACTTCTATTTAATTCAAGCAGCCATCATTATGCACCATTATACATTAACAATTTGTTAGCCGGATTCTTAACAAATTCAGCCTTCTTTATTAACTCAATTTTCCAAATTATTTTTTTTTAATCTCTTTATTAGCAACAGGGGAAAGCAACAGAATGAAAATGAAATGATCATGAATTTGTAATCTAAATGAATGTATAATTTATTAGTTCAATCAAAGATCTCGAGGATACTGTCATTAAAGCATGATTCACACACATGTATCCAAATAAATTACATGCAGTGATGAATACTAAATTATACAAATTTCCACTGTAACTTCATTGTTAGGGAATATTGCTAGACATTGCAAGTGATAAATACATGCAATTTTGTTATGGAGACAAAAGCTGAAATGAGCTACATTGCACCAAATCAACACAATAATAAATTTCATCTTAGGCTATTCTCTCAAGGTCATCAAATAAGGTCATATCCGTCAAGAAAGCAAGTAATAAATTTCTGATTTAAAAATGTATTTACCGGTATTAAATGCGATTTTCAAAAAGATATTATGTTACAGGGTACAAGGCTAGATTCGGGACAAAATTCAAGTTAATGTACAACATGTAGGTCCAAATTCAACTCTGTAACAAACAGTAATATTTACTGTTTATGTTTTCAGTTGAGTGATTTTGTGAGTTTTCTAATTGAATGCACTTCAAATGGGATGTGACATGAAGAAGACATAGTATAGTATACTTCTTGGTACATTGATGACAGCTTGAAATTGAACATGAATTCATCAACCGTAACAGTTTTATTAAATATAATATATTTTTCACTTAGAAAACGTATGGAAGACCTTTATATTAATCTGGGTTTAGGTACATGTATATGTACAATCTTTAAATGTACATGAACTTGACTGTAAATTGTATATAACCCAAGGCTACTGAATAATTCAGTGAATTGTATCTTGAGATTGCTATCAAGATACTGCACAAGAGCTTTAAGCTTTTCGATATACATCATTTATTATACATGTAAGCCAGACAGTATCAGTTGTATCAGTATACAATTTGCTTTCAAAACAAGCTTCCGGAGAATCGTCAGTCTGTGAATTAAATTTGTACCATGTTTCAAAAAATAATCTCAATGAACATCAGGTATTTTAAAATTTTCATCCCATAATATGCCTAAGTAGATTTTGATCAACACCGCCATTCTTTTGAATCTTAAAGTTTGTAAAACTCTAGTTGTGTGTAATACTTACCGATAGTGTACCATTATGGTAAAATGCTTCATGTAGACCGACAACATTGTGATGTTTACATTCAGCTAAAATATTTATCTCCACAATAAAATCTTCTAAATCTTCTTCCGATTTTATTTCTACTTGTTTTAAGGCAGCAAGCAGGTTTGTTTCTTTGTGCTCAGCCTAAAAATAAAATAAAAATAACTCTTTATATTAATTACCTGCTACTTTTATACATGTATATGTATCAAAAGCATCCATCAAAACTAAACTAAAAATAACACAGTTTTTTACTTACATGTACATACATGTGTGTAGGAACTGTAAGGTATGGAATCAATTTCAATGTGAAGAAAGCATTACATGAACAATCATCATGACAACAATTTTTATGATCTCAGATTAGGTACATGTAATTTCAGGACTAACACACATACATGGTTTGATTTTATTTCAATAATTTGTTCCTCGTGGGGATCTTTAGCAGTAGGATGAAAGCGGAGGACCCGGAGAAAACCCACGAGGTTAAACAGGCCACCAACCATACTTTAACACCATGCCAGACCTTAATATACATGTACATGTACACCTAAAGAGCATGCATTACCCCCCCCACACACACACACACACACACACACCTTCCCTGATCTCAGATTATAACTTTAATGCAACTTTGCAGGGTGAAAGAGAAGGTGGTACCAAAGAGACACAATAAGCGTTAACTTTCACTTTTATTAACTTAAAAATGTATGTGTATATTCGGTATACTATTACTCAAGGTTTTATTGTGTAAATCTATTTCTCTTCTCTCCAGGTGTGTATAAAGTACATGTAGGTGTAGCAAAAGAAACCCTGAATGATCCACCAAGGTTATATAAATGGGCTGTATACTGTCCATCATATGTCAGTTTGTATAAATGAGTGTTTTAACACCTTAAGATTCAAGTACCAATGCCAAACATAGTCAAGCTTTGTAAAAAGTGTACATAGTAAATCTATATCCCACAAAATAGTTCCAGGCTTTACTTTGACCTATTTTTATTCTTCATACCTTGTTTACATTTTTACCTTTTTCAAACAGAGAAGTAAATTAAAATATAGAGAGTGTGTAAACTTATTTATGTACATTGTAGTATACATATAACCTATAGACATGAGTGTGTATACATGTAGATATATATATGCAATCTTAACTAGGTTAATATCTGTATTCTGTACATAATGTACAATGTAGGGCCTATCAACAGTATACCACACCTGCTAAAATGTTGCCAACTACTTACATTGTATTATAGGATATAGGTGTACATTTATACACTGACAAAACAAAAAGGTGTGACAAGTATCTGTTAACTATATATACCAATCTGGTTAAAACACAAATCCTATTTCGTTTCGTTTTTATAGTTTAAAATTTTGTTTTACTTGTCTTTACTACACTTGGATCTGGAAGACTTGTTATTTAACTCGTGTTCTGCTTGAAATGAGGGGTCAGCCAATCAAATGGTCTGTCGAATCGAGTGTTTGACCTTTTTTGCCCAGAACTGTGGGTAATCCACTAGTAACATCAATGCTGATTGGTTAATCAAATGTCTGACATCAAAGGTCAAAGGTCGGTCTTTTGACTCCTGACGTGACCTATCGCTATAATTTGTCAGATCTTCATGTAGTGTAGGCCATCGAAATTATAAAAAAACAAAACGAAATATAGATCTGTCTTTTAATCAGATTGACTATATACAAGCATAAGGGAACTCCTCAAGGAATCAGCGTTCTAGAAAGAGTAACCATACATAGATGTACATGTACCCTGCATTGTGCATGATCAGTGACCGCCCTAGACTCTTAAAACCTTTAGCCAAATTTTTAGCCAATTCAAAATTTTATTAGCCAATTCAGAAAGTTTTAGCCAAATATTTTATATCATTTTTATTCATATGTTTGTTAATTAAAAATGAAAATAAATGTGTGTGTGTGTTTGTTGTATTTTACGTCCGCTTCCACCGAGGTGATATCGCGGACAAAATAAATGTTTAATATGTACTTTTATTTTATGATCAGTAGTGGAATATCGCGTTTTATCAGTGAAATAAAAGTGTTATTCCACTGGCTAGTTGTTTTTAACTAAAATGATTGTAAAATCATAAAATAAATAGAACATTTGTCGTTTTGTCGTGAATAACATATTTTATTTCATCTCTAAGCAAGAAAACGTTTATGTTTTCACTCATGCTACGCATTCGTGAAAATATAAGTTTTCTTGCTTCTCGATGAAATAAAATATGTTATTCACTCTAAAACGACAAATATCCTCTATATATAGTACACAAGAATATTATTTTATCTCCTTGTTCATGCAAAAGTTCACATTATTGAGAGAATGAATGCAGATAACAAAAAAATGTTTATAGGACGTACTTCACAGTCACATGATTTAATTTACTTCATCGTCATAACAGAAAAGACACGACGATTCTTTTTAAGACACCGCTGATTTGAAATTTATGTCCGGTCCATCCATTTTTATAAGCATGAGGTCATTGAGGGTTAGCTCGACGGTCTCGGTTAAAGGTCTAATTTTTGTCCACATGTTGATGAAGCCAACGAAGGACTTGCGTCCGAGATGACACGCTCACTCACGGAAGTAGATTCTGGACTAACAGTAGTCGTAGGAAGGAAAAAGGAATCTATCCTTATTTTGGGTTTACTAGTATTAGTTGTCATTAATGTGCGTTTTATTTATTTGCAGCGTAAGTAAAGAAAACTTGTAGTGAAGCGAATGTAAACAACGCAGTGCCACACAAAAGGGGCGTAACTGTGTTTTATAGTCTCCAGACTCGATCTTTCGGTCGTTTTAATGCGTAATATTGTAACATTGACTGATTTGCGACTTGTAAGATTGAGACTAGAGTAATTAATGTACTAAAAATAGACACTCCATCGAGTCGATCGAAAGAAGCGTTTAACGAGACGATTTCAAGTTTAATATTAGCAGATTTACGAAATAACACTCTCTAAAATTCATTCGCCAAATTTTTCGCCAGTATCATCACTTTATTCGCCAATAAAAATAATTGTCGCCATTGGCGAATTGGCGAATGTCTAGGGCGGTCACTGCATGATTGGTGTGTTTATTGGCCATGGGGGGGGGGGGGGGTGTGTGGACGGCTGAATGGTTAGCGTGCGTGTGCTGTATCATAAAGTCTGTCATTGAGTCGACTGGCGTGGTTTCGAATCCCCGGTTGTACGTGACAAGGAGTGGGGTCGCCTGTACAACCTCGTGGGTTTTCTCCGGGTCCTCCGGTTTCCTCCCACTGCTAAAGATCCCTATGCGCAAGCGAATTATTGAAATAAAATTAAACCATGTGTTAGTCCCGAAATGACCTAGTTTGTGTCGTGTGGACGTTAAACCCCATTTCTCGTTCTCTCTCTTATTGTAGGGTCGCCTGTCCAACCTCGTGGGTTTTCTTCGGGGTCTCCGGTTTCCTCCCACTGCTAAAGACCCCTACGCGCAAGCGAATTATGTAAATAAAATTAAACCATATGTTAGTCCCGAAATGACCTAGTTTGTGTCGAGTGGACGTTAAACCCCATTTCTCTCTCTCTCTCTCTCTCTTATTGGCCATGGAGATAAAAGGAAATGGGGTTTAATGTTGTGTTGTTCTGTTCCGACTGGGCTAATGAAGATAACCATGGCGCCCAATTGAAAGCAGAGGTACATGTACAACGTACAATGCTACAAATACATGAAAATTTTAACACATACTTTATATTTCTTAAATTCATTCAGGAATTTGAGGTCGAAAATTAAGAAAAATGACCACGGGAACGCATCTGACTTTTCTTGGGTGGGATCATAATATGTACACTGAACAAGGTCTCATATAGATGGGAGGGGTCTGCATAACTATAAATCCTACATTACCTACATTGTAGAGTTTCTAATACGCCTACTACAAGTTCATGTATACTATGTACAACTGTACAGCTAGATGTATCTATTTGTAGAAATTTTAGGCTTTTCTTTTAATACAACATGTACAGTTCATGATAACAATTATACAGAACAATTAGAAATAGCTTCCTTTATAATATGAAAACAACTTTGACCTTTAAAATCATGGTCTCAACCTTATTTCATTGTAAACTTACAAGCCTCATAAAATGTATAATATACATGTAGGTAACAAGTACATGTAACAACCATGATGTGTGATAGATATGTCAAGTGTGTCATTTGGGTGGTACCAAAGTTTAAAACAATAAAGTATTGTCATAACCTATTAAATTACTACCTAACAGATCTTTTACTCTAAAAATAGACATTACTGTACGGTACATGTACATTATAAAGATTTAGATTTTTTTGATTTTTGTGGGATATTTATATTTCTTGGGTAGTAAATGTATAATGACCCCCATTTGTATACTAAAATGCTGATTTAACTGCAATAATATTTGAATTCCTGATATTCAAAGTCATTATTAATAATGAATATTCAAATCAATTCATATATGATCAATGTTTACACTGAATATATAATATTTATGTGGGCTAGTGATTCCAATTCTCATGCTTGGCTTAATCAAAACAGTATCTGTTGTACAACTACAAGCTTAGACACATGTACACATGCATGACTCTGATATTCTTCATTAGGCCTACAAATGTACTAAGCGAAAATTGTAACAATCAATTATCACATATGAGAAGTGTAAAACTTTGTGATTGCAAAAGAGACCAAAGAATCCTATTTTTACTGATTTTAACCATATACAAGAACAGTTTGATGCATGTATTTATAAGCTTATACATGCAAATGTAATGTAATAATAAAACAGACATGTAAATAAACTGGAAATGTGATTTGTTTGGAAACATTTCACGAGAAATAAGGATGACCAGCACATTCTATATTTTGTTATGTGATGCACTACATTTATAAGTGTAATACTGATATATCATATAAATATTGTACAAGTCACTGTCATTAAAAAATAAAGTATCATATCCAATACATGTAGGTCACAATGACACCGGTCATGCCTGACTTACTATACATCATGTAGTAAATTGAAGAGTATGGTATGGAGCTAATTTATATCTTGATAGTAATATCATAGAACAAATGACAGACATCTTATGTAAGAAACTAACAATACAAATGTAGATAATATACAAACAATGTAGGCTACATGTACATGTACTTGACTGTTGACTTGCATTAAATATCTTATATAACCTGTGTCAATACAGTGTCAATCATATCATTATACATGTACATGAAATACAATACTTTGTACTAAAGATAATAATATATGTATTATTTGACCCTGTAATTATGTACCTGTATTGACAAATTATGTCTAAACGATATGGAGCAGTGTGTCTAAACATCAGTATTACTGTTTAGGTTTACAATATGGTGTCGATGGACTGAAGGTGATTCTATAATTAACAATGTCCAATAATCAATAATCATTTTCAGAATTACAGGTCAACAGTACATGTACATTATCATTAAAAATGAACAGGTCCTTACTTTGTTAACACGAGCTTATCTGATCATGTGAACAGAGAAGATAGAATCATGTCACCCTCGAACTAAATACATGTAGATTGCATTGCTTTAGTGAGATAGATGTACATCTATATAGTAAACACAGTTTGTTTTCTCTAATTGGCATGTATAATTGAGCCAATTGAGGATGAACTTTGCAAAGACAATGGTATTTCTTCACTCATTATTTCAGCTGACACAATGACATCTAACAGTAACAGTAACACTGATCTCAAAAAACAAATGCCTTACATTTTTTTATCTCCATCAAATATAGAATACATTTACTTCTAAGGTGCAATAAACTGAGGATGATGACCAACTGTTGTTATTTATTACAATTTTAACATCCAATATTTAACCTGTGATATTATGGACAGGTTGATTTAATTAAAATTATATACCGCACACATGACGGAGGCATAAAAAAAAGTTGGTGACCAGTCATTTGTATTTCTAATTACTGATCAACTGAAGCCATCTCACATTGTATTTGAAAGAAACACAAGCAGATTAAGCTAAATCGTTATCCTTAATTCCCAATAAATTGGGGCTTAATTAGGAAAGGATCTCGCTGTACAATATACACAAAATAAGCTTCTTTTGTTTTTTTCTACTTAAAATAGGCAAAATGATGATTAATTAAATCTATGTTATTTTGTTTTCATTCCTAAGGGCTAACATATGATGAGCTGTTTTTCAAAAATGCAGCAGATTTACCATCAAGGGCTGGGGTTGTTTATCTAAAAACTCTAACACTACACTAAAATTATTTTTATTTAATTCCTTGTTGCCTGAACCCAACTTGTCATGGGCAGGGCAGGGCACGTGCTGGATTTTTTTTGACAAGATTAATGTTCTAATGTTGACATTTTTTTTTTCTACAGATAAAATATTGTGCGGCTACATTCAATTACCTTGTATACTTTTCCAAAGGCGCCATCGCCAAGCTCGCCTGTTATAGTCCATATCGCTAGAGGATCTTCGTCTCTCTTGATATTCACACTCCAGATATCTTTTTTCTTCACGTCCTCCGTAATACGGAAGAATCTCTTGACACTGCTAAGAAATGACATGACTACGAATCGAATGGCACTAAAAAAACTGGTTTGTTCTTTCAAATTCAAGTCATTCAAGCGGGCTAATTATGCAAAATGATATGATAGATTTCGGAAAGAACACGATAACAGAAACGTCTGTTAACTAGATGTTACCATATCAGATGTAACTGCAAGGCGAAGTAGTATAAATCCGTTTTAATATTACTCATACTTTCTCAACAAAAACACAGCATATTCCGCCATCTTGATTTTCACATTGCGCATGAGTAAAGGTAACGAAAATTATAGTCAAGGTTATCCACTAGACAGATGCGTTATAATGTAGGGAAATTAACCAAACGACCTGTATATCCGCGTCACAAATATGACATCACGGTTTCACACACCAGTTGTCGTTTATTACATGGGGCGTTAACCATTGTGTTCCTGGCGTTACATGTGATGCTATTTACGGAATATAATAAATAACTTTAATATCATCTTGTTTTGTTATGATTACTAATTATATGTAGTAGTATCAATTATTATTTCAATTGCCTTCACGTTCACCACAGGAAGTAAAATATATCCCTGCATTTCGAGACTAACAAACTGTCATAATGTATGTACTGATGTAGGGAAGAGAATTTTGCCCAGACAGTGGTGTTTCCCCCTACTTCTACTTTCCACCAAATTCCAACTGTGACAGACTCGAATGTGTGCATGGGTGAAATTCGTTTTGTTTTTGCCCCATCCAAATGACTAGGCATCTACCCCAAACAATAAGAAAGCATGTGGTTTACAGATGAAAAATTCAGGCCCCCACCAGGCTATAGCTGTTCCCTGATCCGTTTTCATCCGTCTGAAATAAAATATTGTTTACACAAAAAGGTCCTCCACGCTCTCCAAATCATGGATTGTATAAATAAAACCATATTACCAAAGGTATTTTTTTTTATGTCAGTAATTATCCACATGCTAAACTTTTGTTACCTCTAATTAATTATCAATATGAAAGACACTCATTATAGACGGAGAGATAAAATTTCTGTTTGTCAAGTTACCGAGAACAAATTGCAAAAGAATTTCTTTCACTGGAATCTAGTAAAGGGATGTATGGCTGAACTTGGAAGTTGTACACAAAGATTTTTTTATGATTGATTTTAGTAACCTATGGTGTCCTCTTAAAGAATCTGCCGATTGAACCTGGGTCACCGTTGACCGTTTTTGAGGAATTCAAGATGGCGTCCAAGGCGGCCGCCATTTCAAATAATCACCCATAACCCCCATACTATTTTGTCTAGGATGATAATTTTGGTGTCTAAACGTATGTTTTTGAGGCCAAGGATTACACCGAAATCATCCATTATGTTGTGGGGTGATTAGATAATAGTAAAATGCAAAATGCCAGACAATATGGCCCTTTAACTCGATAGCGGCGGTTTGGACAATAATTATTTCACCGAACCAAACTATATATTCATGGACATAGAAGCATGTGATTGATACGATAACACTACATACATGCCTAACAGGGGGTCGAGGGCCACATGGGACGGCCCTGAAAAGACTGGCACAATCTGTGATTTGATCATTTAAAAAAGCAAATTCTACCCGCAAAATACGAAAATACCCCCACAAAACAAGGTAATATTCAGTTTTGAGAAATTCAAGATGGCGTCCAAGGCGGCCGTCATTTCAAATAATCACCTATAACCCCCATACTATTTTGTCTAGGATGATAATTTTGGTGTCTAACCGTATGTTTTTGAGCCCAAGGATTACACTGAAATCATTCATTATGTTGTGGGGTGATTAGATGATAGTTAAATGCAAAATGCCAGACAATATGGCCCTTCAACTCGATAGCGGCGGTTTGGACAATAATTATTTCACCGAACCAAACTATATATTTATGGACATAGAAGCATATAATTGATACGATAACACTACATACATACCTAACAGGGGGTCGAGGGCCACATGGGACGGCCCTGAAAAGAAGGGCACAATCTGTGTTTTGATCATTTAAAAATGCAAATTCTACCCGCAAAAAACGAAAATACCCCCACAAAACTAGGTAATATTCAGTTTTATCCTTTAGTCGTGTGTCTGGTTGCAACCTGCGACTTCACAGGTGCAAAGTACTATACATTCTAAGCCACCCCTAGTGCAGCTACAAGCAAGCGTACTATTTGGGGCGTCACTCCTGCATCCGCATTTGATGAGCCACAGGAGCAATTTGACCGATTGTAATGTTCTCAATTTAGTCTCCTTAACCCAGCAATACAGTTCTGGATCAAGTTCCGATGGATTGCGATCTTCCAGTGAACGCCACACAATAGCATGGTGGTGACATCGTTTTACTTTCCATACGAATGCATCATTCGTTGGAGCAAGACAACATGGTTTAAATGTGGATGATGACGATATATTTCCAGTTTGCTCTGTCCATAACAAGCTGACAAGAATCACGTCACAATGGAATCACCAATCAAAGAAGAAACAACCGTTGACATTGGAATCACCAATCAAAGAAGAAACAACCGTTGACAAAACAATTATCATTGGAATCTTGTCAGTCCATACTCTTACTCGATATGACACGGTTGCATGCTGCTACAGGCCACTGTACATGTATTTATGTCAGTTTGTTATGGACAGAGTTCTAGCAAATCGATGCCTGAAACACGCTGGTAGGTATGAACAACTAAAAGTCATCATCCCCACTCAAACATGGTAGTCTTACTCAATGAATGATGCATTTACAGAGAACGCAAAAAGAGCTCATCAAGCAGCCATTGCTGGGTGAAGGATACTAAATTGATAACACTACAACCGGCCAACTTGCTCCGGGGTCTGTCATGTGTCTCATCAGATGCGGATACAAGAATGACACCTCATGCATTACGCTTGCTTGTAGATGCACTACGGATGGCTTAGAATGTACAGTATTTTGTGCTTGTACTGTCCTAGGTTGCAGCCAGAAATAAGACCAAAGGATTAAACTGAATATTGCCTAGTTTTGTGGGGGTTATTTTCGTGTTTTGTGGGTAGAATTTGTTTGTTTAAATGTTCACAAAACAGCTTGTGCTCCCCTTTTCAGGACCGGCCCATGTGGCCCTGGAGCCCCTAATAGGCATGTATGTGATGTCATCACATCACCCATATGCTCCTTTATCCAGAAATATGTAGTTTGTCTCTAGATATAGTTTGGTTTGGTGAAGTAATGGCCCATATTGTCTGGCATTTTAGATTTTACTATCATCTAATCACCCCACTGCATAATGAATGATTTCAGTGTATTCCTTGACCCGAGTAACATACGTTTAGATCCCTTGGTGGTGAGCTTGACAACATCCCCACCATTATTTAGGTTATTGTCGCAAATTATGCACGTATCCATGGCGAAATACGGCTCTTTTCACAAAATTAGCAAAAAAAGTTTCAAATATCTGAGGAAAACCCAGACTGGATTGCCAAGCCAATCACCAGAGCTTAACACAATGGTTCTGAACCCTTTTTTGCCAACGGCACACCTTGGAACACATGAAAAAATAGCGGCACACCTGTCTAAATATATATGAAAGATATTTGAATTTTGCAAATTAAAACATGGCAAGTCACAGACGGCATACAACCGTAGACACAGACTAGTCATAGACAAACAGAATGACTCAAATTAAATTTCAAAAACCCGCAGCCATGAACTTATCAGTAAATACTCGTTTGGGATCACGTAGTTTTTCCCATTTTCTTAGTGTGTCGTTCAAAATTTCGCGGCTCACTTATGAAGATCTCGCGGCATACCTGTGTGCCGCGGCACATTGGTTGAAAATCACTGGCTTAACAACATCCCCACTATTATTTAGGTTATTGTCGCCAATTATGCACGTATCCATGGCGAAATACAACTCTTTTCACAAAATTAGCAAAAAAAGGTTTCATATATCTGTGGAAAACCCAGACTGGATTCCAAGCCAATCACCAGATTGGATTAAAGTCCAATCAGTAAGTGTCACAAAAACAATCTAGGTCACAGTCCGCTTATTCTGAGTTCTCTAAGACATCAGAACTCACGTCAAACCCGCTTTTTCAGTATCCAAGCAGTGTTTTGACGTCCAAATAACGGCAGTGTGACGCCATGACGTCATTGTGACGTCAGGACGTCACACCATGACCTGCTGGTGTTTTGATAATTTTATTTTTCGAACCGTTGATATCACTATTGTATCTAATGATAATACATTTATTGCTCTAAAACGAGCCGTTTCCAAGATATGGAGGCCAGAAAGTCCAATTGGCGGCCATCTTGGATTTATGCTAATTATGAAAAACGCTACAGGGTTTAAGCGGACAATTTTGAGTTGGGAGTCCTTTAGACATCCCTTTACTAGATTTCAGTGAAAGAAATTCTTTTGCAATTTGTTCTCGGTAGTTTTTTATTTCTCTCCGTCTATTAGAAAATAATGGGTTAACAATAAAAGTATAATAGAGATATGTATAGAATAAGTAGTTACATTTTAGTGATTTACACAACGATTTAATAATCTTTCCAGCAATTCTTTCTAACTGATACAACAAATCTGTAACACAATCTAATGTTGCACATACAATATATTTAATATGAGTGCTGGACAGATTTACACCATGTTTATCATTAAAATTGATAAAATAGTGGGGCGGTTAAGCAAAAAATCGTGCACTTTGGATTAAAAGCATGAAATTTGGCACATAGATGGCATCAACCCTACTGATTATTTTGGGATGTGGATCCACCTCAGCAGCACCCCCTGGTGGTCGTTACGGCCATCTTTTCCAAAATGGCCGCCTATTCATTGATATACATATAACAAGGGGTGTCACAATAAGACATTTTTTTACAAATCATTTCAGGCCAGCAATTTCCAGATGCAAAATTGCTAGCTGAACACGATTTTTGAAAAAAAGATTTATCTATGACGTCATTTTCGTTTGGGGGTTTGCCTGATTTCAAAAATGGCCGCCAAAATTTGAAGAAAAATGAATTTGCATATAGGATGGGTGATTATCACGCAATGTATGCCTTGTAATATATCAAATTTTAAGGTTTTTGTTGTAATTGAACTGAAAAATAATCTCTAAAACTAGTTTCCCCAAATCAAAGATGGCGGAAATTCAAAATGCCGGCCAAAATATACCCAAATTGGCGGATTGATCAGATTAAAGGCATTTAACTGTTTGATTTGGTTTGTAATATATAATTTAAAGGGTTTACATTGTCACTGAACTTAAAATTAATCTAAATAAAAAAAATAGTTTCCAAAATCCAATATGGCGGAAATTCAAAATGGCAACCAACATTTATCTAAAATGGCCGATTTGTCAGATAAAAGTCCTTTCACTCTTTGATATGGTTTGTAATATGTAATATAAAGAGTTTTCAAAGTCATTGAACTTAAAATCAAACTAAAATAAAAAAAGAGTTTCCAAAATCTAGGATGGCGGAAATTCAAAATGGCGGCGAGAATTTGCCAATAATGATCAAATTTTAGGATAATCGTGAATTTTCTGTTTGATATACCTTGTAATATGTCCGCTATTAAGTTTTCAGAGTCAGTGAATTTGATAATTGTAGATGATTATTTCAGAAAAAAAGGGGCAATCATCAATCTTTCTATTGGATTGGTTTATAATAGCAAAGTGTAATAGTTTTTCGAGGGCAACTGAAATTGACTGGAATCAGGAATCTACCTGTCAGTCAATTAACCATGTGCAGAACTTACCAGTCAGCTAATTAGAATTTCAAAGAATTTAACCTTAAGACACAATAAATGTAGTTTAATTGTTTTATACATTAAAACAAATGATGCTAATGATAATGTTAAGAATTGACACATTCTTTGGAGAAAATATCTTGTTATTCCGACCCTCCACCCCATAACAATACAACGGGGCCAACTGAGGCATTTTAATTTCATCTCCTTTGTTTTTGCACCATTTTACCGGAGTGAGAATCATTTATGGTATTTGCAGTAAAGAATTTAAGTTCTCCTCTTGGTTCAGAAATGGTAATGTGATCCGTTTTTGCATCGAAGACTCTGTGTCCAGTAACTTTTGTGGTAGTCTAGATGTGGGTATATTTTGGCCGCCATTTTGAATTTCCGCCATCTTGGATTTGGGGAAACTAGTTTTAGAGATTATTTTTCAGTTCAATTACAGCAAAAAGCTTATATTTGATATATTACAAGGCATACATTGCGTGATAATCACCCATCCTATCTGCAAATTCATTTTTCTTCAAATTTTGGCGGCCATTTTTGAAATCAGGCAAACCCCAAACGAAAATGACGTCATAGATAAATCTTTTTTCAAAAATCGTGTTCAGCTAGAAATTTTGCATCTGGAAATTGCTGGCCTGAAATGATTTGTAAAAAAAATGTCTTATTGTGACACCCCTTGTTATATGTATATCAATGAATAGGCGGCCATTTTGGAAAAGATGGCCGTAACAACCACCAGGGGGAGCTGCTGAGGTGGATCCACATCCCAAAATAATCAGTAGGGTTGATGCTATCTATGTGCCAAGTTTCATGCTTTTAACCCAAAATGCACGATTCTACCAAAAATTCTTCCTTAACCGCCCCACTAAAAGCACTAATACATGTAATACATGATTGAACTTAATCAAGGTGTTGATGTACTGAAATCATACTCTGGCTTTGCTCACTTTCACTAAATTAGAATCATAGATATCATGTTCAAAAGTCTCAACCAATCAGAAAATACTCATCCTTGAACTCAGTCAAGGCAGCCACCTAATAAATAACTACACCAAAATTGAACATTCTAGCTCAATTAGAAGCAGGTTTATTGGGTTCCAAGTGTGACAGATGAATAGATTGATGGTATCCCATTCTAATAGTCCCCTGCTTTCTTTGTATGGTGGGGGACAAAAAGTAAATTAAACTGATAGTAGCACAAGAATGGCATAACATATTTCTCTGAAAAATACAGAACATTATGTTTATTCAAGAGTTAGTAAGATTTGCGTATCGGTCAACATAATGATTTCTCTTCATATTAATACAAATAAACAGATATCAGTCTAAAGACTACATGTATGTACAGTACTATAAATAAATGAAACAGGATTTAACATCCTACTTTTCTGCACCAACTGAGCTAATGAAGACAGAGAAGACAATAAAACACAATAGTAGGTCCACTGACCAAATTAATGGTCCATAAATGCAGAAGTCAAATTAGCTTGTGGGCATTATCAGGATATTTTCCAATATATCTGGCAAGCCATTGGTGGTACAATCATCTCCTAATGAAATTGTTATTAAATCATCAAATGATTACCATATCCATGAACTTAGAATAAATAAGAAAATAGGCAATAGCAATACCTAGATAAAATAACATGGTGTTATGTATCTTCAATCAGGTCAATGTAAAAATAATCATTGGTTAAAGATGTATTATGTAAGATTTAGATAAAGAGCTGGTCATTCTTACTATAATAGTTTAAAAAAAGATAATGAAAAATGATTATATTGAAAATTTCATTCTAATTACTTTATTCTGAAAGAAGTTATCACTGTTTGAAGTTATGACAAGATGTTACATAGATTGTGAATTATCGTAGCAATGGTAATCGATTCACAATTTTCAAATTAAATAATAGAATGGCAACCAGGTTTCAATCTGTTTAAATCTCAGCCATCCGTGTGTCTAGAGAGTTGATTATAGGTATAATAGTTTATATAATATTTAAAGCCAAAATAAAGACCTGCAATAGACATATTTAGCTCTTACATAATGCATCTTTAATAAGACACATATGGCCCAAAATATTAGTAAGATCTGAGCAGCGTAAGACATGTTTTCTCTATAAATGTAATTACATATATATATATATATATCCCATAAATTTTAATGTTTGATAATTTCAACATAAATAATTTCCACTATACATAAAAATAAACAGACAAATATGAAAACGTTCCATTCCAATACAAACATAAATAATAAATACTAATCAGCACAATTTCAAATTTCTAAATTACAACGTCTAAATAAAAATCTTGTATAGATGTGGTCCAGTACTGCTACTACAACATAGAGTCGGAGATAGTTAATGGTTTAATGATGATACACTGAAATGTATTTATTCTTTAAGGCTATAAATAATAATCTAATTATACATTTGATAGTTAAATAACTCTTTCTAGAATAAGGGTGTGACGATTAGTCGGTTTAGTCGGAGTCGGTTTGGTTTTACCTACAAACCGGTTCAAGTTTCGGGAAATCGATAGTCGTCTAAAAAATACAGATTGATATAAACCAGTCGCCCGAATATTATAACATGTTTTTTTTTTAAAAGATACATGTATTAACGATCGACAATTATGGGGGCGAATAAGCAATAAGCTAGATCATTGATAAATGGTCGACAATAATAATAACGAGACAGTATATACTATATTCCGTAATCGGTCGTGGATATTCTCGCGATTACAAGCGAGTGTGTTTTTGCATACCTAATGAAGTTATTTTAAGAATACGTTATTTGATTGGTCGGTCGCTAAGGTCAATGGTTGAAGTGCCCAATCAGAAACAAGCAATCCTCCAGGTTAGGTCAATAGGCATGATCACTGAGCTGATGCCCAGATACGATTTCACTAATATTATTGATCAATACATCATTGTTTGAAGTTTTTTATATGTTGTATTTATTACTTTTATTAAAAAGGTTAAACAGGAGATTTGAACAAACTACATAGTACAAACAAAACCAAATTTTTTAATGTACTGGACACATAAAACATAGAACTGTATGTTTGTCGCCATTACAGTTTTAAGCTCCGTATATAAAGGCCAGTATATTAGCGTGTATTGTAGACTATGGAAGACTAATATTTTTCAGTTAGTTTTCATTACCGACTAAACCGAATCGGTTCGGTTTTTTAGACGCCGACTAACCGGTTCAAGTTTTGCTTAGTCGTCACACCCTTATTCTAGAAGCAAATGCACCATTTTGGAGTATTCGATTTGTACACTACTGTTACTAATATCTATAAAAGACCAATTATTTTCAACAAAATCATTATTAACAAATAAATCTCAAACATAATCATGTTTGATATAAACATAATCATTTTTCATAAAACAACCGTCAATTCATATAAACATAATCATTATTTATACAAACATGATGCGTTCTAAGTTGTAAAACTTTTGCATTATCCACTTTTTAGAACAATAAAATTACAAACATGATCATTAATTTATATAAACATGATCATTATTCATATTAACATGATCATTATTCATATTAACATGATCATTATCCATATCAACATAAACATAAACATTATTCATATAAAAATAATCATCATTCATACAAACATAATCATTATTCAAATAAACATTATTCATATAAACATAATCATTAATTTAATTTCAATATTTAACACATATAATAACGTGTCAAAATCTCTCAGAGAAATAATTTTGTAACATTTATTAAAGATAGGTTGCCAGGCAACGAAATATACGCCCACAGCAGCTAAATCGCCCGGGCAGTCAACAACAGTTGTCGCATATTTTTTTGGGGGGGTAATGAAACATTTATAATACATTAAAATCTGATTAAGAGTAATAACTCATTAAATAATTATCAGAAAATCATTAGAATTTGTTTGGCTTTTATAAAGTTCTCCTCCATGCTAATGTTTAGTATATGATACATTTAATATCATGGGTTTAGCTGTTCAAATTATCAAAATGCATTAAAAATCAATAAACTTGTTCGTCTCAAGACCTTAAACTCTGTGTATCAATCTAAAGTCAATCGGATGATAACTTTAGCCTCTAGAGCATCCACAAGATTTTTTGAAGTGATCAAGGACCATAACTCTAGCAGTAATTATTGGAAATGGTTGAAAATCAATAGGCTTCTTCATCTCATGACCTTAGATACTGTGTATAAATCTAAAGTCAATCGGATATTAACTTTAGCCTCCAGAGCGTCCACAAGATATTCAAAGTGATCAAAGGCCATAACTCTGGCAGTAATTATCGGAAATTGCTGAAAATCAATAGGCTTCTTCATCTCACTAATATCAAAAACATATATCAATTTCAAAACAATCAGATAATAAATGTAGTCTGTTGAGTGTTCACAAGAAATTGTGGACGTACGGGCGGGGGCGAAGGCAATATACAACCACATTTCCAATATGGGCGTATTAAAAGCTTTGTGTGTATGTATATAGACACACAAAGCTTTTTAGTAAATATCACAAAAATTATTTCTCTGAAAATTGAAAATAGAACCCATTCTTTTGTTATCTTCAGTTCAAATGATAGGAAATATATTCTAACAAAAACTTTCAATTTTATTTCAATAAGCCAATAATGGAGAGTCCTAATGATTGATCAATCTCAACTATTTTTGTTGTAAATTTTCATCACATGGGTCAATGATTTGACAGGCTGTGTTAGATAGAAATGAATCTGAATCCTGTTTTTCTTCATTACTGGCAACTTTCAAATACAATCCCCCAGATATAGGGCTGCAACGATATATCAGGCCATGATACGATGCGCATCATGATTCATAGTCTACGATACGATTAATATCGCGATATAGGAAACAAATTTAAAGAATGCTGTTAAATTTTGACAGTGTTTTACTGTGAAAATTCGAAGGCCTATTTTTATGATTTACCTTGACCGGATTTTATTGCTGTCATGCTTAACGAGAAATCCTAAAAACTCCCATACTTTACTTGTGACTTATATACTTGGTATGGGGGATTTCGATCTCAATAGTGCTTTTGTCGATCATGTGACTTGAATTTGGTGATTTCATTATGAAACCAGCGGCTGCCAGGCAGCATACGCCCACATTTTGCAAGAGATGGATAGAGAACAAGCTAACGAAAAAGCGATTTGTCGTACAATCAGGGGCCATAATTCAGGAAGTTACGGTCCGATATGTGCGAATATCAAAAGGAACCGAGATCTTTGGGTTATAAACTTACATTTCAAGTTTCATCAAAATCAGAAGAAAATTGTGACCCCTAGAGAGTCCACAACCTTGATATATCATATTTTTATGCTATTTGAGTACGAGGAGCGGCCATTCTGTCTGTCAGTTTTGGTCCTATTTTTACGAAATTTACACTCAACCACCCTTAGGGTGTAACGGTGATATATTTAAACGGTTTATTAAATCGGATAAAAATTATGACCTCTATTGGGTCCACAAGCTAAAAACGTGATTTTCCATACAATCAGGGGCCACAATTCACAAACAATTGTGGACGGACCGACAGGGGCGACGGCAATATACGTCCATATGAAAATATGGGCATATAAAAATTTCAAGTGGCTGGTTCGTATTGCCACCACAATTTTAGCCAATAAAAAGCTTTCCCAGTCATACATTACCGAACAGCAAAGGAAATGATGTTGGGAAGATTTTAAAATCAAATATTAATATACATTGATAATGTGCTGATCAATGTATGCAGCATCTACAAATCACCATTCTTATACAGTAATATTTTCACAAATCTCTCATTTTGCTCATGGACTTATTTATGCATTTAAAGGAATATCAGCCTATTTTTGTGAAATTATTATTTGGATAACAAATCGCGGTACGGCCATCGATCATATCGTGCATTATCGTGCCCTACCCAGATACCAATCTACCAAAACTGCACCAATTTTACGTTTTTACATTGCATTTCATGTGCGTTTAAAAACAGAATAGTCAATGGTACTCAACATTTTAATTGCTACAGTTACTCATTCACACTCAAACATATCTAATTTTGGATAATGTACATGAAAAGCTAGCATTGTCCAAAGACAATAATTATATTTAAGTGGGCACCAGAATCCTTATTGACAAAAACTTTACAAAAAAATTCAAGATATATTAAAGATACTGTACATGTCCATGTCAAACTTCCAGCCCGTCAATGAAAATATTCTCAACCCTTTAGCACCTGGATAACCAAAACCCCCTGATCCCTCTAGCCCCTCACACCACCCAAGGCAAGAGAACAGCTATTTAGGGACAGTATACTAGTTCTCTGACAAAGGCCAAGGAGCAGTAGTTTCAGGCGGTTTCAAAAATCAGCTAAAGAACTCAAAGTAAAAAGTTCAACGTTTTTCTAATTTTTGAAGTAACTGGGGAAGTCCATGTTTCCATGTAGCAGGTGTTAAAGGGAATGTCCCAAATGTACAAGTGTATAAATATCACAGGAATATAGGATGTATCTGATTGACACGTAAAGATTTTCTACATGAAGGACAGGTATGAAATGATCTAAGTGATTGTTTAATACAGGTACTACAGAAAATATGACCACAAACTGTTGATGTTAACTGTCTCCCTGATCTCTTAATCTGAAATTACAATTTAATATACAATGTCTCATTTAATAAAATTGAATGGCAGGAAAGAGAGAGAGAGAGAGAAATGGGGTTTAACTGTACTCAACACAAACTAGGTCATTTTAGGACTTAGAAATAGTATATCTATTTTCATTAATTTGCTTGAACAAAGCAGTCTTTGGCAGGGGAAGGAAACCAGAGAACTCGCAGAAAAACCTTGAGTTTAGACAGGTGATCTTACTCTTTTTTACATACCATTCTGGGATCAAAAGCAAAACACTTGACTCAATCACTATTATGTAAAGTGCACACTCAGGATAGTCTAATCCTAATTCCACGATCACAGCATGGACATATGTTAATCATCCACAGGCAATTGGCCTGTTACTAACATACACTGATTACACCTCTAATTTAAACAGCAGTGAGTTTCCGCAGTTTTGTATTGTTTCTGAATATCCCCTACTTTTTTGAAGAGTATAGTGTAGTCATTTAACACATTGGTTTTGCATTTCATCCAAATGACTAACCTTCACTAAACCCTTTTTCTTTGCCAAGCCCATCGACCTGGGGAACGGGGATGGAAATTCATGAGAAACTTTTGTAGCCAACACCAGTATCAAATCTGTGGGGGCCCCTGAATAGTGAACCAATATCCTCCACATTGAGCCACTGTGGCAGAAATGCTATTATATTGGTAAAGCTCTCACCCATTAGTGGTGATTAAACTTTAATCCCACTCCTTTTCTTTATATAATACACTGACTATATGTATGACTTATCTTGTAATTTCTGACCTAATTAACAATAAAGGAATATATCTTTAAATGTGATATATGCATACCTGTCTATCATCATCCATACAGATAGGACATGTTATTTTAACAGGTGTAGGTGAGGTTATAATATCAGATTCTACTACAGATGATCTGAAAAGAAATAAAGTATATGGTTATGGTTGAGAAATCTAAAACCTGAACTTCCTAAATGATTAATGTTGTAGCCATTGCTAAAGTCTCATCATTGATCAGACTATAGCCCTGTTTACACTTGGCCGCGATAAGCCTGCCATTGTCGACACAGTACCAGGCCGCAAAAAATTTCAAGGAATTGAAATGCTTACATTACAATAATCGGTCTCAGAACTGTGCCAGGCACTCCAAATGTGACACTCTTCACAGAATAGGTAATTCCAGTCCCTATGCAAATTACCTGGAGAAAACAATTATGGCTGTGGATTTAGTTTGGGCAGCCATTTTGACAGAACTGATGACAGAACTGTCAAAGTTTGTGGGAAAAAATGTCAAGGTTCATTTGGCGCATGCGCAGTAATCCGTACTGAGAACCATTCTCAGACCAGATAGCATTTACACTACGAAAATTATATTTTTTTATAAGTGTCATCAAAATCGGACAAAAATTGTGACCTCAAGGTTCCACAACATTTGTATTACATACATTTATACTATTTGCGTAGCCCCTACAAGGTGCGGCCATTTTGTCAGGCGGGTTTTGTTTTTATTTTCCTGAAATTCGAACTTCATTATGGTGTAAAATCGTACAGAAATTGTGACCTCTAGAGGGTCCACAAGCAAAAAATGTGATTTTTCGTACAATTAGGGGTCATAATCCAGGAAGTTATGGTCTGATAAGAACGAATATCGAGTCAAGATCTTTGGGATATAAACATACACTTTAAGTTTCATTGAAATTTGATAAAAATTGTAATCTCTTGAGTGTGCACAAGCTAAAAATGTGATCTTTCATACAATCAGGGGCCATAATCCATGAATAAAATGCCGATATCGAAAAGAACCAAGATCTTTGGGAGATAAACTTATATTTCAAGTAGACTGTCCACAAAAAAATTACGGACAGACGGAGGCGACAACAATATACGTCCACATAAAAATGTGGGCGTATAAAAAATGGATAATCAAGACTATAATTGTATCGCCGATATCTCGGCTCAGAGTGAAGTTGTGCGACTGAAATTTTCAGTATATTCTCTTTTCATTATCTATTCTTTATCTACATTACATCAAGGCATATATAAATACAGTTAAATAATAAATAAATATGAAATGAAAACTAACACATACATTTTCTAAATGTAACTCAAATCTTACCCAGAAGATGGTTCTGATGTCACATCCACTATTTCTAAAGATGTCAAATTGGACGAATGATCATTCAAATCGATATCTGATCTTGATCTACGATTTCTATGTGGTCTCGTTTCTGGTGTGGAAATTATTTCTAAAGAACGATCTATTCTTCTGTTACTTCTGGATTGTCTTCGACTATTCCTACTCCTAATTCTTTCTTCTGTAAAAAAAATTAAAAAAAAAACAATTAAAATTCAGAACAGAATCTGAAACAAAAATAAATTAAATGAAATGGGGTTTAAAGTCCTACTGTTCTGCTGCGACTGGGCTAATGAAAACGGGCATACGCCATACAGTGTGCTATGAGGGAAGTTTTGCCTGGACAGCGGCGCTACCGTCAACTCATATATTTCAACTGTCAAGGGATCTTTTACATGCACGCCAATGTGTACACCGGACCTCAGATTTTTTGTTCCATCAGAATGACTAGACAGCCGTCCTTGTCAGGCTCTCCCGTCCTGCACCACTGACAAGGGGTAACCATGCTGGAAAATCCTGATGAATTTTCTCAATACAAAAATAGAGAAAATCACAAAATAGTTTTATGTTTAAAATATTAATTAAGAACAAAAGTTAAAATTGTTCATAATAATTATATTTACCATCTTCTGGTGATAATGGCAGGATCACCTACAAAAACATATATGAATATATTTACAATTCAAATAAAGAATATCTTCCCATACATGTATATATATTTACAAGGCAATATGGCTTTCCATACCACAATCCATAACTTCAGAGCCCATTCAAAGTTAAGAACCATAAAATGTGTTAATTTCTATAATATCTGCAGTGATATCTCGGGGAGTTGGATGAGTGGCAGAATAGTCTAATACATGTACTTTGAATCACAAGGTCTGTCATTGAGTCAACTGGTGTGGTTTCAATCCCACAATTGTACGTGACAAGGAGTAGTCTAAACCTAACCTCATGGCTTTTCTCTGGGTCCTCTGGTTTCCTGCCAATGCTAAAGAAGGTAAGACCCCTACATCCAAGCTAATTACTAAAATAAAGTTGTACCATATGTCAGTCCTGAAAATGACCTAGTTTGTATTGAGTGAACGTTAAACCCCATTTCTCACTCTCTATATCTATATAATATAATTATTTCTGGGGTATTTCTAGCAACATATACAACTTACTGGAACCATAGAAGGTGATAATCTTAAGGAATTGGTCAGATCTATTATTTCTGGTTCATCTTCAGTTAAATCTATACATGTTGTATTTCTGTCTCTATCATCTAAGATAACAAATTGTTAGCTATTATTTAATGTCATTGACATAATTAATGTCATTCACATAATTCACATCTTAAACATACATTAGTTAAGAGCTAAATCTGCCTATAGCAAGAATTTATTTAGGCTTCAGATGTTATAGAAATTATTAATTAGACCTTTATTTACACGACAAGCTCAAAATCAACTCTGTAGACCCACGGATGGCTTGAATACAGTTTGGATTTAAACAGTCATCCATTTAAAATTAAATCAATAAATGGCAGACCAAGCAAACTAAACCGTTAGCCAAGCGAGGCTACCATAGCCATTGGGCATGTTACTTGATAATCGAGAATATGTGGGTGGAGTTATCGTCTGTCAGTCATACGATCGCCAATTCTCATAGATGGTGCAGACACAATTGATGCCTATTTCTAGTCCAAATTTCCAACAGTGACAATTCCGTTCAGAACAAAGTAATTTGACTGAAATTTTCAACATTTTCTTTTTTATCATCTATTTTTGGATTATTGTAGCAAGAATGGCCAAAGCTTTATAAAACTCTTAACTAATGTATCTTTAATTTATCGCGTAAATGCAAAACAGGTCAATTTTAGGGAACGGAAAAAAAATTAATTCAACAGGATGGGAATGTTGTAAATCGTGATTTTACAGTGCAGACATGGGGTATAAATTGTGGCTTTTAAAAAGCTAATGGAGTATACCTCCTACGGCCCTGTGGAAGAGACAACAAAATTCATAGATTGACACCTGAATTCTGTGAATGTGCCATTGTGTTAACTCAAGAGAGCATGGGTACCAGAACCACAGGAAGCAGCAATGCAACAAGAATAGAGAGGGCTCCAACAAGCAGCCATTTAAAGGTCTATCTCAATAAGGCCTTATTATAAGGGACACACTGCATGCTAGAGGTGAACATATGCAATTAGTTTTGATTTTGACTCCTTGTGCCTTTGTTTTACTGTAAAGACGTTTGTGGCCTCTTTGTTGATTTTCTTGTGTCAGTAAATGACCAGCCTACAAGCATGCCAAAAATTAATTTTCAGCTGCCAGCCCATACAGTCAGTTTAATCAGTGGTATATATGTAGCCTATACTACTGGCATGGATAGACATTACTTAAATACATATAGGCCTACTGGTGATTGAAAACCATGACTGTATCATTTATTGCATGGTAAATTAATTACAGTTCCATAAATCTATACCTACCAGGATTTTCTACATTCAAAGGATCAGAACTTCTTCTTCTGGATCGTCTCCTAGTTGTTCTTAAACGATTTACCTATCAAACAATAAAATACCATTACAGAAAATAGTCTTATATAAATTCAGATGGAAACCATTTCATCAAGAAATAATAAGATTGTGATTTATATCCAGGGATGACCCAGGGATATATTTGGCACTGTGCTAAAATGATGCAAAATCCACTTCTGTTTCAGCTTCAAATTACTCCAACTTCGGCTTTAGTCTTTGTATGAAAATGAACACAAAATTTAGCACAAATTGATATTTCAATTGAGAACTCGTAGATACAGGTATCAAGACCTATCCATTACTGAAGACATTACATACATGTGAGCAAGGGTTATAGTTCGGGGGGTATGTGACAGTAATTACAGAGAACCATACTAGGTCGATCTACCAATCCTCTAGAAGGATCTAAACTCAAAGTGGCAAAAAATCACTTTACAATTGGTTGCCATGCTTTTAAGAGAGAGAGAGAGAGAGATGGGGTTTAACATCCACTCGATACAAACAGGGTTGCCTGTTCAACCTCATAGGTTTTCTCCAGGTCCTCTGGTTTATTCCCAGTGTTAAAAGCCTCTACATGCAAGCGAATTATTGAAATAAAATTGAAGGATGTTAGTCCCAAAATGACTTAGTTTGTGTCGAGTGGATGTTAAACCCCATTTCTCTCTCTCATGTGCATCTTTAATAAAAAGGAAATCATTTGTGCCAGGATGTAGATTACAATACAATAATCTAGAGGTTTTGGCGGAATTGAATAATAAGTTGGCCTATCATTCCCAATCTGACATCATATTTGTAAGTAGCCTACTTTAATTTGTGATTCATGTATAGCTTAAAGTCGCTACCCTCTACATGAAACGACCAAAAGTTAAACCATGACTATTACCGCAGGAGAAAACCATATTGCATTTATGTTTAGAGAGTGTGTGAAAGACTGTTTTTTAACACATGTGAAAAGCCCAACCCACTACAGAGCAGAACAGAGAGCCAATACTCTGGATCTCATTCACACAAATGAAGAGGGTTTGTGAAAGGACAATATTGGTGCCAGTCATTATCACATATGTGATAGAGCTAGTTAAACACATTCCAAATATAATTTTAACACAGAGATCATTGCTACGATAGCTGAGTAATACAGGGTTCCTGAACCGGAAGTGACGAACGCCAAATGAAAACACGAGTCATCCCTCTATATAACTGACTGATGTGACGAGTGATAACAGATACACGGCCAAATTTCTGCTCACTAATAATTCCTTCTATATGGAACTGTAAGAGGATACCTGACAATGCATAAGAAAAACTGTGCAGACAGCTGGAATAAACCAGTACATCTCCAAGACCCCAACCAGTGTACAGAAGTCAAGAAAGGCAATGTGGTTAAATGACATACACACTGGGGATAATACTACAAAAAGTACGCAAAGGCAAAAAAACAGGGAAGATAGGAATATAGGAAATTGAAACGCTGCAATATATGTCCATATTCCTGCTTTGATTGATATGGTACTTTTTAAAATGAAGAGAATAAAATATGAAATGGCTGTAATATGACAAAAGGCAAAGAAGGTTAGGCATTGGATTTGTTTTGCCAAATTTACAGACAAAATATTAACAAAAAAGTGGGTGTGACACTGCCCCAGGGGGTCGGGGCATGCACTAAAATAAATAGTTGATGTCTTTACAGTATAGGGAATAAATATGCAAAGTTCCAAGATGATCCATTCAGAATTGCAGTCTGTAGACGATAAATACAAAGATTGGGTGTGGCTCTGCCCCTCGGGGTTGGATATGGAACAATATAAATAGGTACCACCCTTTTATTGAAATGATTGATATGCCGAATTTGAACAAAATCTGTTAATTATTGCAACCTGCAGAGTATTTACCGATAAAAACTATGCAGTTGTCGTCCTTAGGCTATAAGGAATACATATCCCAAGTTCAAAGACGATCCATTAACAATAGTGGCCTGTAGGTAACACACAGAGAAACAAAGAAAAAATGGGTATGGCTCTGCCCCTGGGGGTTGGGCAATCAGCAAAAAACAAAAGGGGTCATTCTTAGGGTATAAGGATTAGGTATGCAAAGTTTCAAAAGGATTTGTTAAGAACTGCGGCCTGTAGGCGAAACACAAGACAAACAAAAAACAAAAGGGGTCATCCTTAGGGTATAAGGATTAGGTATGCAAAGTTTCAAAAGGATCTGTTAAGAACTACGGCCTGTAGGCAAAACACAAGATACACAAACACTGGGCATGCAGGGCTGGCCACGAATAAATTGATGGCGAGCAGATCACTGCTCACGCAAATTTAGGTTTGGGCGACCAAGGCGAGCAATAAAAATTGCTCACGCAAAATGTTGTTTGCGTGAGCACACATTTTGTAACATTATTTCAATTTAAAATCATAAGAAATTGCTATTCCAGGCTTTGCAGTAAATATGTGTGACCATCGCTTTCTGTTTTTGACAGTCATACGACTCTTCTTTAAAACCAATTTCCGTATGGATTTCTTCACCCCACGACATAAATGTGGATAGGGCAATCAGGTTTCCTTTGGCCATTATTACGCTCAGATTGAAAATTATACGACGGCACAATGGAATAAAAACCGAAGTTCTGATAAAATAAGAAATACCGATAAATATTAGTTTGAAACGTGTTTATTTAGCGTGAATGCCAAATGCCGGATGTAAACATTCTTTACTTTAGACTCGATTATCACGCGTTTGTTACTGGTGTTCGTAGGAAAATCAGTCATGACGTTCAGGTCTCAAGTGTATTTTTAGTAACACAAGTGGCGAGTAACTTCATTAGCCAATCAAATTTAAGGAGGAAATGCCGCGTGCAGCTGGGTGAATCTCAGTTTGACAGACGAATTTATGACGTTATTGACATTGTTGGGTTAGTTTCGGCAATAAACTTGTCAATATTTTGATTTTTTTACAGGTTTTTCTTAAAATTTTGCGCGAGCAACGAACCGCTCGCGTAAATGTAGATTTACGCGAGCACAGCGCGAGCGCGAGCAATTGCTCGCGTCTCGTGGCAAGCCCTGGCCTGGCTCTGTCCAAGGGGGTCGGGCATACACCAAAAATAATAGAGGTCAGCCTTAGGGTATAAGGAATAATTATAAAAATATTTTCAAGACAATCGATTAAGAATTGCGGCACACAAAAAGAAAATGTTCATGGCTCTGCCCCTGGGGGTTGGGCATTCACCACAAACAATAGGGATGTTCCTTAGGATAAAAGGAATAAGTATGCAAAGTTTCAAGGTGATACTATACGTTAAGAAATGCAGTTTGTAGATGACAAATAAATACAAGAAATGGGCATGGCTCTGCCACTGGGATTCGGGCATGCACCAAAAACAGTAGGGATCATTCTTAGGGTATAAGGAACTCATAGGAAAATTTTAAAGACAATCGATTAAGAATTGTGGCCTGTAGGCGACACAGACACACAAAAAGAAAATGGATGTGGCTCTGCCCCTGGGGCTTGGGCATGCACCCCAAACGATAAGGATGTTCCTTAGTGTACAAAAAATAAGTATGCAAAGTTTCAAGATGATATGTTAAGAAATTCGGCTTGTAGACGACAAACAAACACAAGAAATAGGTGTGGCTCTGCCCCTGGGGGTCGGGCATGCACCAAAAACAATAGGGATCATCCTCAGTGTATAAAGAATAAGTATGTAAAGTTTCAAGATGATCACTTAAGAATTGTGGCCTGTAGGCAACACACAGATACACACACACACACATCTATTCTACAATTAAATATTCCAATAAATAAAAAGGTTCTCTCTTGAAAATTTGATGTATTTACTTTTATTTTTGACTGAGTTCAAGACATTGTAGCTTTCGTCATGTGCTGGACGAAACCAGTGAAGCTGGTGTGGGGTTGGTTTAACTTTGACGGATATTTTGACAACTACGCGTAAATTGCCGTTGCAATCTAAACAAAGTGACATCTTTTTGATCGTTTGAGTTTTGGCAACGAAAAATATCAACTGAAGACAATTACAAGTTTTCGAGTATATCATCAATTCGATATCATTCTTTCAATCTAATAATAACCGTTTAATGACATCTATAAGCGCATTGCGGCAGCCCTTAAATTGCCATTTATAATGCTAAAAAAAACAGTAAGACCTGGTAAGCGCAGCATCACTAATTATATATCATATTAAAGATATTCATGGGTAAAATTTAAGCCTGTAAAACGAATGTCATTGTCATTGTTTTTGTGCCACATTTGTGTTCAAAAGAAAATTCATCCAACCGACTCTCCAATCAACAATTAGCTACGAGAACGTAGCTAAAAACGTTGAGATATACTGATGTGTTTGTTTTTAGCTACGATTGGATGCCTTTAGTTCCAAGTGGCAAACTCAATTTCTTTATTAATGCATGTATCATCTTTAAATAGATAAGTTTATGATATTATGATTAATTAAACTTACAGAGGCCAATGTAGTGGCACAACTGTCGCCTAACTCCAAATATTCGCGTTTAAATTAATGATGCGTTGTTTTTGTCTGACATTTCACCGCCATCGAAATTCATTCATAGTTACTGTGCTTTCGATTGTCCTTTTGATTGGCTGTTATAAAAGCCTTATATTTAGCCCCGCCTTCATGATGACAGCGTATCGTTTAAAAAGATGGCAGTCTTAGTAACGGCTTAGCGCCTCGATTTTAAAAACGACGATTTGTACCCGTTTCAGGTAGGATTATATGCTTAATTGTAGTTGGGTGTTGTAGAAATATTATAAATAACGATAATCAATCGTTGTTTTGATTAAAGGAGCTAAATCGCTAACATTTGGGACCTAGAAATAAACAAAAGTGGGTCGCAACGCATATAATACTGTAATATGAATGTATATAAACTGATTTACATTCAATGGTTTCCGTTTTTACTCCAATTTCAAATCAGTTATGTTCGGCGAAATAAGCCAGCAGTCTCAAGCGAGTGCAAATTTCTAGCATCTGGTTATTCCAGTCTACATACGCCATTTGATTTGGTGCAATGTGTCTAGCCTCGTCTCTCGAGTCTCTCTATACAAATGGGGCTGAAGCGCATTATGGTACACGATTCGTGTACCAATGGTAAAATGTTTATTTTGTCTTAAATATTAGATATCAAAAGCCCATTTTTTTCCGGTAAGATCACAACATGAATATTGATTTAATTTGACAAATAAATCGTGTTTTCAATGTTGAAGATTTTGGATGATATTGAGTTAGAGACTTAGCTACTTTAAAACTATTGTCAATTTTGTTGAAAAATGCCGGGTGTGAATCACCCCCGCAGCTGCAACGTTATAGGTAATGGGCTCATTTCTTATCTCGAAACACGGAGGGTTGAGAGATTAAGGTTTGTTATCTAATCAACAATATGATTAAAACAAAATATTTCAAAAGGTAAAGCTATAAACTTTGCAGAGATTTTACTACAAGTACAATGCAAATGATGGTAACAAGATAAAGGAATACGGGCAGTTATGTCTGTGAACACCCAAACGCAAAACCGAAGAGGATGGGTGTATGTATGTATACAGAGAAAGTGAAAGTGTAAACAACCCCAATAGGCTATTGTATGAAACCAAATGGCAAAGAAGGAAATAAATATTTGATAACTGCTAATAATGACCAATAATTTTCAAAAAGCAATCATGATATTGCAACATGAACATTGGGTCACTCTTTCATATCTTACACTCATTCTTCGTCTGTTTCAAGTTGAACCGTTGACAAGTTTTAATTTTTGTGTGATTCTTTTTTTTTAGAAATATTTAAAATCTTCAAATACTTGAGTGTAAGAACACAATGTTATCCAGACGCAATTTATTATAAAATAAATAGACATGGCATTTGTGATCCTGTTAATCGAATATATTTACACCGTTCCTATCTTTACATCAGTGAGAAGGGTTACTAAGGGAGACAATTCATTAAAATGATGAAAGATTGTTTTTGCAATTTTCATTATTTACCAAATAAAAACGATTTTATTACTGTTTACTGTGGCAATTAGAATAAGATAGTGAATGAATAAAATGTGGGGTTAACGTCCAGCCTTTCTGCACCAAAGTGCTTATAGCGTAATCAAGTTTTACTTTAATAACGTACCGTATCCACGTTGGCCAGTCTACGTGGCCGTGCTTTCAAATTGATCATTGATGAGGGTTTATTTTTCTTCTGTAGCCTACCTTCACGAACTATTTAAAAACACCGCATAGATGGTACCAATTTGACAGCTGAGTTTTTGAAAGCAAAAATGTCTATGAATGTGAAATCAAGTTCTTGCTTTTCTGTATATCTGAGGCTTTTTTTTAGCTGGTAATCAAACCACTTGGATCAACCAAAAGACAAGTCGATAAACCACTCGTCATGTTAGCTCAATAATAGGAAGACCTGATCATAATAAACATGGTCTTGCATCTGTCATAGAAAATCCAACATTAATATGTTCTCCAAATAACCATTGCTGAATAAGCCATCCACTTAAAGTATTCCAATGGTATTTAAAAATGAACTTGAAATACACAGTTATGGTATTGCTGAATAAGCCATCTACTTAATTAAAGTATGGTATTGCTGAATAAGCCATCTATGTAATTAAAGTATTCCAAAAGTATTTAGTAATGAACTGGAAATAACAGTTATGGTATTCCATAGAATTGTGTTCTGTACTGTGTATCATTAATTTATTGCTTTGAAAGGGGTCATATGGCATTGAACAGATAGATATGCCTATTAAATTCAATTTGTCAGATTTAAGAATTGAATTCTTGCTTCACGATTATCTAATTTGAAAGTTACTTTTCACATCAATTCAATACACTGTTTCATTCTAGACCGTTATCTTAGCCCCTGTAACATGGACAGCGGTGTCACATGTAAAGAAACTCCATATCTTAAGTATGCAAAATATATAATTTGTAATGAACAAATAGTATTTTGTCTTGTGAATACTGTTCTAATCCTTTGGCGCATTTCCCTTAGTTTAACATTCTTCAAATTAATTCTTGTACCTGGGTTGTGACTTCGAATTTGATAAACAAAAACAAACAATAATATTTCTTGTAAAAGGTTTAGTTCCATAAGGATAATAATAGTATGATACAAGCTAAAATGGCAAAATAAAGGTAAGCCCAACAACAAACAAAATGGTTCGACTTGCCAGGAGGCAAAACAATTTCAAATGTCATGCATTCATTTTCATACAATACAGGTCACACCATCCAAACAATTCAACTATACTTAGATACTGGGTATCATCAAAATAATAACATAACATGCTAAATTAAACCAAAATCTTAAACTCTTACAAGTAGAATCAACGGTTTTTTAGCATTCTTTTTTAAAAATAAATAAGTTACAATACCCAGATCTGATCATTTGGATGCAAAATTTTACTCATTTTTTTCAGAATAACTGAAAAAGACATTTATAATAAAATCAGCTTCTTGCATAGGCAACCAAACAGCAGATGAGATTATACAATTGACAATTAATCTTAATTGTCCATTCCATCACGCTACATCGCTCTATATACAAAGGAGGAATAGTCTGTCAACCAGATGTATAATACTTAAATAAATCTGATTCAACAAGTAATCATAAGTCGCTATTTCATTCCAATAATCCATTCCAACAATTATATATTCAGTAGTTAACTTAACAATTTGGAGTCTCTCAGAACTCTTTAATACATCTTTTACAAATATGGTTACAAATATGTAATTATAATCTGGTGTGGTTTCAACCCCATTAACAACCAACCAGTATTTGTAAAATACATTCTGAAGTTTACACACATAACCCCTCACAGTACAAAATACCATAAATCCAAAATACATGAAACATGTGAGTACGATAAAATTTTTTTCTTTTGTGAATAAATAAAACATATTTTCATAACAAACCACTAATCAATAGTCCAAATTTCTAGTGAAAAAACAAACATGTTCTTTGAGTGGAATAAATACAGTATTTTCATTAAGAATAGATCTCTTCCTATAATAACAAATTACAATAGTGGAAGGATAACTCCAATGGTAAACTAAGATCTGTATACATAATTCAAATATTTAATTCTTTAATTACTTTTTTATATATTACTTTTCAAAATCTCATCATTAAAAATAAGTTTAGGATGGATGTAAAGATATATAATTGGTAACATACATAAATTTAGGCTATTTTCAAATAATTTGTACTAAACTGGCCCTAAACAATACGTAAAAATAATTTGCTTCAATGGCATTTAGTAATTGAACTGAAAATACACAGAACAATTCTTTGAAATACAATTATTCCATAGAATTGTGTTATGTGTAATACATAAAGTATCCAGAAAACATATTTTTATGTTGAGTTGAATACAAGAAATGAAAGTATTTTGAGGTACATGAGCTGCTGACTAGTGGTATAATCTGTATCAGCTGTCAAATTTAACTACATCCAAGACCCAATTTCTTCTTGGTGAGAATATCCTTCAGGTTGATATTCACCTGCATCTTCTCTCTAACAGGTGGTTGTGGGGAATCCAAACAAAACCTAAAATGGTTACACAATAAACAATTAGCACACATAATAACAAATTATTATTAAGATTGAACAGAAATGAAATGGGGTTTAACTGCCTACTCCAACTGGGCTAATGAAAACAGACATATGCCATACAGTGTGCTATGAGGGAAATAAATTTCTTTTTGCAATGAAGAGAAAATTCGTGAATTTTTTTGCATGCCTCCAGATTGACCATCAGATATGTACAGCCACAGCACAAAACTAAACAATTTAATCTGTTTTAGAGACTGTTTAATGTCGACTTGAATATTTTCCAACAAAATGTCCTCCTTACCTTTTGAAATCTTCAATTTCTTTCTCCATATCATCCAATTCACCATTTTCTATGTCTGATTCTGATCTTGGTAAAAATATTTCATCTACAAAATACAAGACAAATTTAAAACAAGAAATCAATTCTTCAAGAAATTTGTACAACATGAAGGGGGGTCAGCATACATGTAAATGCATATACCTGAAACTTTGCTTTGAAAACACTGCTACAACCTATTTTAACTTTGATTTCGAACTGCCAGGAGATATTTAGTGTGCTGCCAATGGTATACATGCAAGTTAGATTTAGGTTAGGATGTAACGAATTATAATCATTTTATTGTTTTTCAGAATAGAAACTAATGCAATTGGTGGTATGTGTATTTGATTACAAGTGTATCGCTATTCCTGCTTTCGACACACGCGTGCATTCGGCGACTTGCACGCATGTACGGCATAATACATCCACATTATGTGGGCATATTAAAATGAGTATTGTCAAAAGAACTGTGGTTTATAGGGATTTCAATTGAAAGGTCACTTCCTTATGAACAGTTTCGAATCCCCGGTTGTACGTGGCAAGGAGTAGGGTCGCCTGTCCAACCTCGTGGGTTTTCTCCGGGTCCTCCGGTTTCCTCCCACTCTCTCTCTCCTTATGAACAATTTAATTGATGGCATTAGGCATCTGTTTAACAAAGAAAGGAAGGGAATATCTAACTGTTCTAATTACAGTGTCCCTGCAGTGAACACTGAACAAGTATGCCACATAAAACCTGTCTTACCAAATTCATCACTCTTGCTCTTTTTCTTCTTTTTCTTGTTCTTATTTTTACCACTTTTCACCTACAAATAAATACACAACTTTTGTAAATATAAAGTATATTATGTGAAACAATCACAAACATATTAATACTTGTATATGTGAGAAATTGTATTACAAATGTAAAATATTTGACAACATGCATTCTTGATTTCTCTTATCCAAACTCCAGTTACTATGAGAGTAATATGTTCACATAGAAATCATGTTAGGATACATAAACTTATGTTGGGTTAAAGGTTGTTTTAGCAAGGTTGTTCTACGCAGCATGAGGGATTAGAAAATGTAAGAATCAAATTAATTTTATTGATTTGGGACAGAAATATAATATTCTTTTCTAGCAATCCAAATCAAGAACCGGCTATTTTGTTCTAATTAAGGTGAAAGTTTGTTTAATGAATGTCAACCAATTAAGAACGAGTCCGTGAGAAGACCATGTAAATTCTGCAAAAAGTGATAAGGCAGCAGGAAACCGATTTTGATCAAACTTGGTGGTTGGTACCCCGGGGGCCCTCAGACCCCACAGAAAATAAAGTAGGTCTCTGCTCCGCCTGATTGCAGAGCTTGGTCGCCCCGATTTTTTGGGTTTAAGACGACGCTATTTTCAGTGAGAAAAATACCATACTTTTGACGGCAACTGCAGCTTCGGTACACATTTTTCGAGACTGTTCATAATGAAGTATGAACCACCTTGGGTTCCCCTCAATATATGCCCAATATCAACGAAGTTTAAGTTGGAGTGTAGAAATGAGACTAGTTTGAAAAACCTAGGTATCCAAAACACTGAAATTAGACCCATTTTAAAACGCGTTTTTCTCGACTGCGGCGGGGTGCATGGTCGACATCGACCTTGAGGGCTGAAGTATATTAGTGACACATAATTTATCTGAAAAAAGTTTCACTGCATCGGATCTATGCAAATCACAGGAACCCTGGGAACTTTGGGTATTTACTCGCTTTAGAAGGTATTTTTTGAGTGATTATCTTGATCTCTATTGATTTATCTTGATCTTAATTTTATTTCCACTCTGATAATGTTTCAGAAATCATGGCTCTTATAATATCCCGCCTCTGGGCTGTTTGTTTGACTGGTATCCAGCAATGCCCTAATCCCTTTGCAAGAAAAAAAAGTGAAAGTTTTTTTATTTCAATATTATGTTATTTTAGCCTCTAAAATGGCGTTTTCCACGCTAAAGTGCTCATTTTCTGAGCGGACTAAACACATAAAATGTGGTACGGTGAACAAGTACCCGAATGAACGTTGTGTTGTTGCGCTCCGCGCCTGTACAAAGGATATTACTATGTATTTTCATTTAGTGTGTTGAATCCAGTGTCCTTTTTCACGAGTACACCGTATAAAGCGAAACGGTGTGAAATCAAAAAATTCGAACCGAATGGTGATATGAGATACAGGCCTATATGTATTACTAGTTATAATATTGCTAGTAACTGTATATGTATGATATGTACATAATATATATGGAATACTATTCAAATTAATGATATCTTTTTATCATCGTCTCATATACTCAGATCAAGTTTGCGGCGATGTTTTTGGCCATATTCCCTTGACGTCTCTGTAAAAACGTGTGGTAATGACAGAATCGTAATGTACATGTGATGACCTTTTCAGCGATATGTCACATGGGTATATTAGTGTCAAGTCCAAGAAACCGGAAGTGACGTCACTGATACCGGAAGTGCCCTTCTGGGCTTTGTATTACCGTGGGGAAGCTACATTCGAAATTTCATCTTGATGTATGGCAGAAAAGTTGACAATAACTTAACTTACATCGTATCCGAAAGTGTCATAATATCTGCCGAGTGTGCCTACTTTCAACACTCGCTCCGAAAAACTGGGGCGAGCTGCATCCAATATTATTGTTGATATATAGTGGAGATAAAGTACTAAAAGCACATGTTTTCACCCTCGCTCCCACCCCCGCCGCAGTGAAAAGAAGCGTGTCGAAACATAGCCTATTTTATTTGATGCCATGGACTTCATGTATCGAAACTCTAACCCAGGCTCTATGGCTGGATTCAAGTGAAAATAATTTTGTGGAAAATATCAAGGGACAGTAGGCCTACAAAATCCCTAAAAAGAATTTCGTTCAGGTGAGTATCTGTTGCATGAGTGAGACTTAAAATTTAGTTAAGAAATGCATTAAAATTAGCCATTATTTTCAAGAAAATAACGAAAAATAATTTCTGTGGGTACTGGTGGGATTTGGATCGCAATATGCCCGCATGTGCATCTGGGGGTCCTAAGGAACCAACAGTGGTGGTATGGTCCGGATTCATGATTTAGGGCCTCGTCACATTTTGCATGCTTTTCTCACGAACACGTTCTTAAGAGATATTTATAGAAAAATTCAGGTTTGTAGACATACCGGCTCTGCATTTTTCTTGTCCACAGTAACTGTTAGACCATTGACAGGGCCTGTTGCTTTAAGCTGTATCTTCTGAGCATTACTTATATCGCCATTTACAGCTGGTATTAGTCCATTAGTTGGAGCTTTAACATCTTTCTTCTTGGACTTAATGGTATGACTACTGGGTTGTTTAGTAACTTGAGCGATTTCTTGTGATGGTTTTACTGATTGTTGCACTTGTCTTGGTGACTGGTTGGGCAATGATCCATTCTGTTTGACTTGCAGTGTGGCTTCTGCCTTCTTTTTACCTGATGAGTTAGCCAATTTGCCATCTCGGGGGGATGATTTAGATTGAGAGGGGTCTATCACAGCTGGTTTCAATTCTTGTTTCGGAATTGATTTGTTATTTTGAATCTGTCCCAATTTTGGATGGTTGCTTCCTGATGATGTTTTGTTCACTTCTGCATTGTTTGGAGTTACTTTATTTGAGGTGCTGTTTTTGGGGTTGGATTGGACTGATTTGTTAGACTGGTCGGTTTTACCAACAGGAGTATTTTTAACTTGCTGATCAGGCACTGGACTTTCTCTTGAATCATTCTTGGTCAATTTCTGACCTTTTCTTGATTGATTATTTGCAGATTGTTTGGGAGTTTGAGGACGAGAAGCTGATTTGGGTTCCTTGGCCTCTCTAATGGGTGTTGTTGGACTACTTGTGGACTTCCTGTTTGTATCCTCTTTTAACTTTGAACTATGACCTTTGGTTGACGCAGGTTCCTTGCTGGAAGGAACTGGTTGATTAGCACTGCTAGGGGTCGCTGTTGTTGTTGTACACGTTTCAACACTTGATCCTTTCGGCACCTTCCTAATTATTTTCTTTAATATCGGAGATTCTCGACTTTCCAAAGTTTCTGTTCTTTCAACATATTCCAGTTTACCAGTAGATGTTAATTTTTTCCGTAATTTTCTCTCTGCTTTACGCCTTTTTCTTTCCTCTTTTTCTTCTTGTTTTGCTTTTTCTTCAGCCTGAAAAGCAACAATAATACATGTGATTTAAATAGACCTCAGATGATGTTTATCACTTTCTATTCGGTAAGTAACACAAAGAACTAATTGCTATTAAAAGTTTTTAACATTCTAAATTTCTTGAAGGCTCTTTGTGAAATTCCATAACAACTAGCTATTAATCAATCAAAATCTTCTAATCTTAGCAGCAGAACTGATTCTAAAGTTAACGGCATATATCATCAAAACAAAAATGTGTAATATTTTAATGTCAATATGTAATCAATCACATTCTAAGATAAAGAAAAAAACAAACTTCATGAAGCAAGCATGCACTGGCATGTATGAAACAAATAGCAAAATTATCCCAGACAGTGTGAAATCAATGAAAACCTTGAAAATGCTGTATTGATTTGATATATACGTTTGTTGTTTATTGTTTGAATTGTCTGTGTATCGTGTCGCTGTCTGTAGTTTTGTCTTGTGTAATTGTCTGTGTGGTGAGGTCCTCCTGCACTTACTATAAAGAGCACATCAAGTGAGAAAACATTATATGTACGTATAGCCAGTGGTTACGATATACATATTACAACAAGTTCACACCAATCTGATTAAGATTATTCAACAAATAATCAACCTACCTTTCTTTGTTTCTGCCGCTGTTTTTTGAGTGATGTCTTTGGTTTTGTGTCGACACCATTGATAAAATTAATTAATTCTTCTAAGCCTTTGTGTTCATTTTTCTCATCTCGCTGTTTACTCATATGACATCCATGATTATAACATGCCACATCTTCTGGTCGAGCTTCACTCTGTTATATACACAAATATAAAACACAAAATAATGTTGGACTTGTCATTAATAATATGTACCGGTAGGCTTTTCGATTTAAAGATGCATCGTGTAAGAGCTAAATCTGCCTATTGCACGTCTTTTATTTTGGCTTCAAATGTTATATAAATTATTACTTAGACATTTATATACATGACAAGCCTATAATCAACTCTCTAGATCATCGGATGGGCGCGATTTAAATAGATTTTAAAATCTAATGATAAAATGGATAATCAAGACTTAATCCTGCTTGTCAAGTACCGTTGCTACAATAATAATCTACGCTACATCTTCATACACTCCTAACTTCGATCAGAATAAAGGAACAGAACAGTAGGATGTTAAACCCCGTTTCATTTTGATCAAAAATAAAGTAATTTGAATGAAATTTTCAATATACTAATTTTTCAATATCTATTTTTGAACTATTATAACAATAACGGCCAGCTCATTATCTTAAATTGTACATAATGCATCTTTAAACTAGTTAATCATTTTTGATTTATGTCAAATTACAGTGTTGAATTGTGCTGACAAGTTTGATTAGTGATTGCACAAGTTTTGCATGATTAAATTTGTTTGAAATATTTAGCTAAAATCAATTTTTAGTTTTAGTTTTGCCCTTACTGTACTGATAGTGGAACATTAAATCTCAACACTGGCTTTATCTATAATGTCATACAAAAATAGACAACTCAATCAACGGTTAGATGAGATGAGGTTCTTCAGGCAATTGCTTGATAATTTTAATAAGCACATATCTTTTGTGCAATCTACTAATTACATTTAATTACTATCAGAACCTATGCTTCAGTCATTTAATACATAACATTTCACACCAACTATCCAATCTGAACGACAGACTCACTCTACCTGCAGAGAAGTGACTCTGACACAGTGAATAGCCATGATATCCATATGACGTTATCTAAATGTCACAGGTCATAAGGTCACATCAACAAGCAAATGTAAACACCATCATTATGATCATTATCAACATTACAAGACACAATGTTACATTGTAAACAATAGCCTTCTTGCAGCTTTTAGGACTGTATAATCCGTACAGAACGTTATATCGCTTCTTCCAATGATTTTTCACAAAAATAACATCATCTACAACTCTAGATTTGACGTCGGCATATTGGCACTATTTTGTGCTTCGGTCGTGTCTATTTCAGATATACACAATCAATTCTGTTAATGTTTTTAGTGTGGGGATTGACTAAAAGTTAATTTATTTCAGTTCTAAACAAAAATTTAAAACTTTAACGCAATTTTAAAAAAATAGCCAAATTCTGGCTGGGATTACTGAGCAAAATGGCCATTCACTGTATACGTGCGAAAAAAAAGGCAGCTACCATTTAATTTTCGTACGTTAGTTACGTACGACCAACTATCATGCATTTGTTATTTCTTTTAAGATTGTCTTCCAGGACCGTGTACCCAAAAATATTCTGGTTCTCTTCCCAAAAATCTGATGAATGAGGGAGGTTTTTATTTTGTGACGTGATCACTACTGGGCTAAATGACTTCTCATAAACATCACATTTCCAGCTATTACATTTATCTCATCTAGTTGTTCATGGGAATGTATGATCATACAGTATAATTTACGATTGTCTAATAATTATCAGGGTAATGAACTGAACCTAATTAATCAGATTGTTTTTATTTTTAGAAATAAAAACAGGTCACATGGCTCTTTTTAAGCGACACTACTGGTGTATCTGAGAACCAGAATATATTTTTTTTGTGTTGTCTAAACAGAAGAAATTTTTAGATCTCAACATTGGCTTTTTCTATAAACATACAATTTGGTTTTGACAAGTGTCAACAACAGACTCACCCTATGCTTTAATCGTCGCCTTAATCTCTCTTTCATTTCTGTATATTTCTTACTTGTCTGAGAAACTGGCTGCTAGAAATAGAAAATAAAAGAATATTTAAAGACTTCAGTTATAAAATCATTTCAATTTATACACATTAATGGCTGCCAATAATGTAAGTCTAATTATATAGTTGAAATTATGGACTCCAAGATCGTATTCCTGGTTATTAAGCAAAGTGATTGAGAAAGAAAACATTAAAATTTATCGAAAGCAATGTACAAAGTCAAAGCATTCAAAAATCTTAAGATAAAGAAATTTTCAGAATAATGAAATTTTAGAGGTGCTTTGAAATTGTGACCTAAAGGCTATATTCTTTATACCATACATTTCTCTAAGCAAACATTTTCAATGTGCATGACATAATTCTAGGACACACAAAGGGATGGCGATATTCCATAAATAAGTAGAAGTCCCATGTGTGTTGTGATGAACTAAGTACTAAGTTTTCCAAAAATTAAAAAAACTACTCACGTTGCCATGGCCGAAGAATTCACAGTAGCAGCAATCACAGTATTTGCCTTCTTTCTGATTGGATGAAGTGGAAGAACTTTTATCTGAACAGGTATCATCAATGCTGTCACAGTTGTCGTCATGATTACCTTCACAGTCCGGATACGTACATAAAGTGGAGGTTCCTACGCTGACATTATTAATCGAGGTTGGAAGGGAGACAGCATTCTGACACGTCATTTGATGATTTTCTAAACATGATTGATGTGCAACTTGCTTGTGACCTTTGTTACCATAAGAACATGAATGTGGAACAGATGTACCTCCTGAGTTGGGTGCAGTATTCCTCGACTTCCCCGGAACATCATCTTTAACACTATGCTTGACATTATTCTGTAGTAGATCTGGTGTTGCATGCTGGTTGTGTAAGGTGTTTCTAGATTGATTTCTCGAGGACGAAGATGACTTGTCTAGTTGATGATTATGTTTTAGACAGTGCTGACTATGGTTTTTCTCTGTGCAGGTTGAGATTGGTGTGGTATTACTATTACCTCCAAGAGTAACTGGCCGCGTACACGGTGGGCCTTGATTCTTATTCCCTGCCGTTACCTGGGAGCTGGTAGCACTACAACTATTATTGGTTTTGGCACATGAATCAAAATGGACTACATCGTACGCTGAACTACACGAGATATCAGAGTTTGGGGCATGGCTGTGGGGTACAGTTTTAAAAGCACTGCTGGTTGAAGCTGATGCTGGGGGTGTCTGTTGTGAACTGAGTAACGTAGGATCGGTGATGAATGGGTTATTGGCCGTAAGTGGAGGAGGGGGAAGTAGGTCTGTCGGGAACGTACCACCATACTGATGAGACCCGAGAAAACCATGTGGATCATTATCCCAATCACCAAAGGCTGGATAAAGATGTTCTTGCATACTTCCAGGACTGTCAAAGTCTATTTTACCCGGTAGTTTAGTTTGCCGTAAAGGATTGTGCAGATCATAAAGTTGTGGTTGTAATATAGATCGTACATGGTTTCTGCCCTGTAAACCATGTAGACCATGTAAACCAGGATAACCGTGTATATGAGGGTAGATATGTAGATCTGTCGGTCGTGTAGACATGGGATCATGTTGAGGTAACGCTGTGTTTAAAAGATGACCCGATGGTTGCTGTAAACACAAGTGACATTGACAGGGATAAGGCTCTTGAAACTGAAAATAAAATATATCAATGAATTAATTAGTGTTATAACAAGCATTCTGAGAGTCTTGATGAAGCAATACATGTCCTCTACCGACATCTTCAAAGTATACATGCACAGTGCTTGCCATGAAACCCGAGTAACTAATGGCATGCAGGCTAAACTTACTTTCATAGAACCAAAATAACCGAAATTATAATTATGTTCCCTTTTAAAAAAAAAAAAAAAAAAAAAAAAATGTCAACCAAGGGCCACATTAACAGATAACAGATTAGTATTGGCATTTCAGTTCTTCTTTCATAAATTAATTCTTGCAAATGGCTTTGTCCATAAATTACTGTTTCATGCTTTCTAGTATACTACAATCCTATTTATTATTAATGAAAATCATTGGTATTAAATTCCATATTAAAATAATCACAACAGTCCACTGGAAGAGCTTGACAAGAATTACAATTTGAAACCTGATGTATTCTGAGCTTAAATAACTACCACACTTCACAAAATGAACTTGATGTTTTGAGAAATATAAGGCTACACAAAATAATGTCTTGTTTCTCGGGTGACTGACAGCTCACAATGTAGGAGCGAAGGGGAGGGGAGCTTTTTTTTTTTTTTTTTTACTACTTCATTGCTGGCTAGAGGATGGTGCAACAATTAGTTTTTGTTTCTGGGTGTGAAACCCTATAGTGGTATAATGTATGACAAAATCTTACAATTTCTTCAGGTTTTGGTTGTACACAATGATGACAATCACAGTCTTCTGGTTGATCAGCCATCCATGCTTGTAAATCACCATGTGTTGTACCAGTTGTTTTAGTTAGGGCTTCTTCAAATGTTTTTTTACCTACATCAAAACCATCACTACCATCATCATCATCATCTTCTTCATCATCATCTAACTCATCATCTTCTTCATCATCTAACTCATCATCACTATCATCTGACTGACTATCATCCACTATCTCATCAGGAATGTCGTCAGCAGTCCTAAAATATCACAAAACAATCCAAATATTTTAATAAGATAATTAGATATGATACAGATACTATTCAATATGGCGAATCTCAACAACTTTAACTGAGCTAGAGTTATCCACAATACCGCAACATTAGACTTGACATGTTTAATTAGTGATTATCTTATTTATCAAATGAAACAGGCATCAATAGTTTGAAAGTTGAAATTGTAGCAAAAAGTAAACCCACAAGGTTTATCTTTAGCAACGTTCTCATAGATTGGTCATAATATGCCAAAATGAAGTAAAAGCTGTATCCAGACATAGTCACTTTTAAGCTTACATAATTATTTTCATTTATATAACTTAAACAGTTTATTTGGGAGTTATCCCACATATATTTTATGTAATTTCTTAGTGTGAAATAAAACGGATAACACATATTGCATTTTTCACATTAATATTTCTTAAAACAAACCTCGATTGCAAAATAAATTAAAGAAATTAATTACTTGCATGTTTTTTAATTAATAAAGCATTGAGCGATCAACCTGCTTATCGTTGACCTCAGTCAAGGCATTTATTTATTTAAATGAATAACTAAGCCAAGTTTGAAATTCTACCTCAAACTAAAGCAGACGTTTAAAAGAGTGTGATTGACAGACAGAAAACCCAATTTTATAAACCGTAGGACCCCCACCCCACAAAAATTCTTGAAAATACAAAGAGGAAAGGCTTGACAGAATGCCCTAAAGAGACAAAGTACTTACTCGAAGTCTTCAGGACAATTACCAAAGGGATTAACAAGTCTTTCTGGATCCACCATGATTGGACTAGCAGAACCACTACTTGAGTTGGTACTAGATACAGAAGGTGGTCGAACATTGAGATAATAATCACTAGAATCAGGAGGAAAGTTCGGATCGTGTGGAAAGTTAAATGTATGAGATGTACTGTTATTTTCTAAAGCGTCAGGGTTGATAATTCCACATGTTATCATATGAGTAATTGTACATTCATCACAGGGACACCTGCAAAACATAAGAAAAAATTTAACATATACATTATATTAAAACAAATAATAAATTAAGACAAAAAAAAAATAAGACAAAAGGGGGGCTCCATTCAGCATTAGCTTCAAAACAATGAAGAGTGGACATTGCAGTCTAATTCATGGCTCAACTGTACCTATTAGACAACACAAATAAAATAAGTTGTTTCTCGGCCACCGCCCGCACGCAAAATTGGTTGCGCGTGCGGCCTATTTATTAGTCTTGATGAAAAATAAAAAATATGTAACGCCCGCCCGAACATCGATAAGCAAGTCATAAAAAGAATATGCCGCATGTATCTACATGCCCCATACGTGAATATCCATTCAAATGTATTAAACTGATTCAGATGCAAACGCTCATTTACGGTTCTTTTTTATTGATATCGAAAGAACCTCCATTTTTGTATCACATGATTTTAATTACCTCCCCTTGTGAACTAGAATTTGATTCGTGTTAAACACCGAAAGTCATTGACAACAATGCAATGTATTTCAATCATTCGATCTCATTATTGCCGGCTTCAGTCAGTCCATGTTTGAAAAAATCCTACTTATAAAACAATGAATCGTAGAACAGGTTAATCATTATAACTTGTGGCTACGAATACGATACGATGATAGTCACCATACCTTAGTCAGAATCTGGGTCATTAGCACATTTAACGGTAGTTTTGATAATCCGGAAAATAATAATTGGATTATACATTTGATGGTTTTACTGACCAGTTGTTAGTAAAATTTAAATAGTCATTTGATATAAACCCCAGATAGAACACTGAATATCCTGAGAAACACACCGAATATCCTGAGAAACAGTCATTTCCCGAATCCCAATGACACGTATGTGACATGCATTGGTTGGAATTAGGTCAATCATTATAAACCAGCGATACTAGATTTAGATCTAAGTGTCGTTTACCGTGATGATTATTTTTGATACACATGCTGACAGAGGCTTACTCTTTAAAATATTGTCGTTATTATGGACGTCTATTAATAGTCGTACGGAATTTTATTTTAAACCAATTTTAATTATGGTTGTCACCATTACCATTAGTAAGCTACATTACGTGAATTAAATATGGAAAATTATTTTCCTTTCTCATTAAAAAAAAATAAAAAAATACAAGGCCGCCCTCCCGCCCCAACAATTTTCAACAATAGCCAAATTTTATTTTGCACCATCCTCTAGCCAGAAATGAGGTAAAAAAAAAAATAAACCCCCCTCCCCCCCCTATAGTTTCAGCTGTCAGTTGCCCGAGAAACAAGACATTTATTTTGTGTAGCCTTAGATGTATATGTTAGTCATTTAGATTGTTTTCAATGACAGCTTATAATTTCAGTAGATAGTTAGGGGGATGTGATCATGTTTTTAAGAAATCCAGAGATCTACATGCTACTGATCTAAAACAAGTGGGCTCTGGATATTGTCTGTTGCCAAATCATGTAGTTAACTGTTCTGAATGGATCTATTACAGCCAACTTAAGATTCATTTATCTGTCAACATTAAGCATATTATGTGTGCCATCTTTTTTTATTCTCAAATCTATGTGGTTGGTTGTTGGACTGTATTGTCACTAGATTCCGGACTGGGTCATAAATTACTCATTTGAATGCAATTCTAAAATTATCTTTAAAAGTCACCTAATTTTTATGCTCATTTAAACAAATTCATACTTTACCTTTTTCTATTACACCTGGGACAATGACAATCTTCTACAGATGGCCGTGTACCTTGTAATAAGTTTCTCATTGTCTCTGTAAATTGTGCTTCCATATTGTGAGAAGTACTGAAAAATACATATATATAACAAACCATTATGTTTTATCTTCTATTATCCACATGAGGGATAGATGCTATAATTAGTCTTTATCCGAGCCCTTGTTTCTGTCTTAAACGACTGGAAGTGGAATTGATCAATGAATTAAATATTTAATATATGTTGTTTATTTCTTGCCAAGTATGTGTAGTTTGTCTCGTCCGGAAGTGCAGTCCTCCTGCAGTTACTTATTAATCTATATACAGAGAGAAAGCAGCATCTTTACATTAACAGGGACATCTTTTTGTCATGTATCCATCCCACCAATCATTATAATTCAATTTCCCTTCCGCAGATGACTTTGACCAAGACACAACACATGGCAGATAAAATTTAAACAAATTCTTCAGATAAGAGAGCTTAGCCTTTGCAAAGAAGTTTAAACAGGTTAATTAGAACAGTTTTCTGGATTTTACCAAGTAAATTCAAATAGTTTCAAGATAAACCAATAAAAGTAAGCTGTTATTTAACCTAAATATATTAAAATAAAATATTTATTACGTTGATTGTGCAGCCTTTGGATTCTTCAACATCTGTTGTTCTAGAAGTTTTCTCTGGGCTTTAAAAAATTCCCAATCTTCTTTTAACCATTTCTGCTTTACTTTTAGTGCAGTCTGAAATATATTTAATAAATCAATTAAATTTTGCATAACAAAATTTTCTAGTTCATTTATATACCTTTATCTTCTTTTTAAGTCTTTTGAAATACCCCCAAAAAATGAATCAAAATTAAACTGTAAACTCTTGAAGTTAGACCTGCTATTAGGTGTTCTGGGGAAAAGCACACGTTGCACCATGCACAGCACCCATCACTACATTTGGACTTAAATTTCAGAAAAATTGGAAAAATGGGATGAAAATAATCTTGAAGACACAGGCAACAGACTAGTGTTTTTTAAAAAAAAAACAACAAAAAAAACCCCCCTTATATCAACTCCTCATGCTCTAGAAAAACAAAGATATTTCAAATGGGACAGTCCATTTAGTATCTATATTTATAACATATTTCCTTACTTGTTCTTCATTATAATTTTCTATAAGTAATTGACAATCTCTCCACACTGCTAATATAACAGACATCTCATCTTGATATTTCAGAAAACGACATAATAAATTAGGATAGGAATCATCACAAGTTTCTTCAGCCACACCCTTCCTGTAATGAGAAAATAATCATTCTTTAAATATAATGATGAAATATGAACTTTTATAACTTGAGGCCCAGTCAGCATGTCATGACACACTACATAAAATTTCCTTAAGAACCTGATACAGGGCCCATTTATTATTTGAAGGATTACATGTAGCACACAAAGCTGGGCACTATATTGACCAATAGCGATTTGTCTTTGTGTGGGACCCAGTCACTGTGGGTCCTGGTTTATCATCCAATCAACTTAAACTAGGTTATTTCAAGGCCAACATAATGTAAATATTTACACAAGGGGCACTAGTATTGCACTAAAAAGAAAATAAATTGGTGTTTAACGGCCTACTGTTTTGCTCTGACTGGGCTAACGAAGAAAGGCATACATCTTACAGTGTGCTATGTGTTGAATTTTGTCTAGACAGCGCCACTAGTTTACTCTTATATCAAATTCTAACTGTCAATGGATCTTTTACATTAACCCCAATGTGTACACAGGACCTTGGTTTTATGTCTCATCCGAACAACTAGACTGCTATAATTGTCAGGCCCTCCTCCCGTCCTGACAAGGGGAAATGCCAGAAAATCTTGATGAACTTTCTCGGTCAACACCGTGACCTCCAGACCAGCATCATACACATTTAGCCACTGTGGCTTTCTCTGATTACAAGTGGCACTGTACACCCCTGTAATAATAATACAGTAAGGCAGTAAGCCTACTCATTATTTTTAGCGACGAAAATTATTTTGTGCAGATCCTCTTCTTTCACATTAATCTGTTTTCAATTGAAAATATGCATAATGAATTAAACTAAGAAAGTTGGACGTTTATTCTGAAATAGTTCAGTCAATAAACCAATATTTACATGAAGAGTTGTATGGACATCTGAATTCGTGTATGAACAAATTGTTGCTCTGTATGTTAAAAGTTGACCACTTCTCAATCTGATTAAAACACAGATCCTATTTCGTTTATTTTTTTATAGTTCAAAATTTCGTTTTACATGTCTTTACTACATTTGGATCTGAAAGAATTGTTATATGACCCGAGTTCTGGATGATGTGAGGGATTAGCCAATGAAATGGCCTGTTACGGCGAATGTTTGGCGTGAGGTGCACAGAACTTGGAGTATTCCACTTGAAACATCAACGCTGATTGGTTAATCAAATGTCGTACATCAAAGGGTCAAAAGCCGTTCGTATGACCCGACACGACCTTCCACTACAACTGGTCAGATCTTCATGTAGATATCGAAAGTATAAAAAAATGTAGCAAAATATAGATCTGTATTTTAATCAGATTGGCCACTTCTGTTCCTGATAGCAACCCAACATTATCTAAGGTACTGTACCTTAGTGTGTCTCTAATAGCAGGAAGATTATGATGAATAGCAGGATAGGAATAAACAATATTTTGAAATAAATGTTTGTTGTGTAATTCCCACGTTACTTGAAACCTTTTCAGATGATCCTTCTGAAAAAAAAAAAAAATTTATTACAAAAATTTGAAAAAACAAGTATGATCATACTATGGACCTTGAACTGACCATGTTGTTGAATGAAATTCAAAATCTAATTCACCAAATCGATGCAAAATTGTTCAAAGAACAAGCATGCCAATTTTTATGTCGATCGGATTTGAATTGACAGAGCCTTAGGCTTTTTTGAAGAGCGTCACGCCAAGAAAAAGATGAGTAGCGGTTAGCGACCATTTCCTGGTCCCAAAAAAGAAAATGCAAATAAGATGAGACAAGATTAAATTGTTGATGGCTATAGTTTTTAGATTTGTATCGCATGCTAAATAATTCTTGTCATTCAAAATACTTTTTCCGACCATATCCCATGACTGATGTCTAGAAAGCTTTTGAAACATCTATTAAACATACATTATGCAAGAGCTAAATCTGCCTATTGCAGGTCTTTCTTTAGGCCTGGAATGTTTTCTAAATTATTAATTAGACATTAATTAACTTATCCAGGCCATAATCAACTCTTGATGGCATCAGATTTCTAAGCTATTAAAAAGATTAGAACAGTTCAGCCATATTTTGATTTAAGCTAAAAATGGAGTAGCGAGACTTAGCTTCGAACAACCAGTACGGTGGTTGAAATGATTGCTCACGTCTTGTCAAACCTTCAAAGGCTAATATCTTCGCTCGCAATAGAGTAATTTGAATGAAATTTTCAAATTATTCATTTTACATTATCTATTTTCAAACTATTATAGTAAGAATGGCTAGCTCTTTATCTAAATCGTACATAATGTATCTTTTATTGTCTGATCCTTTAATGGCATTTAGCAATTGAATACAATAAAAGCACAACACAAGTTATATGGAAAATGATCACTAGTCTGTTCCCATAATAGCATGTTTCAACTTATTGTTTTCAAGCTTGAAAACGATAAGAGAACCGTTGTTGAAACATTGTTCTATGCCTACAACTAGTGATTGTTGTGTTTTTATATCAATTGTAATGGTGACAGGATATTAAGGTAGTTACCAGATCTGCTAGACATTCTGATGCTAATCGTGCAGCTCGACATAACTGACCATATTCTTCTAATAACATATGAATAAACGTCTGAGCTTCACTTAATGTAGTAAAACCTTTATTTAACTGTTGAACAACGCGAACTTTCTTTTCTAAAACAAAATCTCGAACTTGTGATTCAAGCCTTAAAAACAGTTGATGAGGATCTCGACTACATAATCTGAAAAAACAAAAACAAAACAATATTTTTGTGAATGTTATGAAACGCCCAAAGTTGACTGGTACGACCTTCATTGTTTTAACAGACATAAGTCAAACGGAATAACCTGCACAAGCCTGAAAAGTGGAATTAATGACTTTATTTGTACCTGACCAAATGCCAGACATCAAATGTCCTAGAACCTGAGATTTTTAAAGAGTATAATAAACATAACCGAGAGAGAGAGAGAGAAAGAGAGAGAGAGAGAGAGAGAGAGAGAAAGAGAAAGAGAGAGAGAGATGGTGTTTAATGTCAACTTGACACAAACTAGATCATATGGTTCAAATTTAGTTCAATAATTCACTTGCGCTTACGGGTCTACAGCCGCGGGAGGAAAACAGGAGGACCTGGAGAAAACCCAGGTGATTGGACAGGCAACCTTACCCCTTTTCATGTACAAGCGGGGAATCAAAACCATGCCACTTGACTCAAAGACAGACTTTGATTTCACATGACCATGTTTAACCACTAGACCATTCAACCGAAAATGAAATGGAGTTTTACTACTGTTCTGCTCCTAATCTGGGCTAATGAAGACGGGCATACGCCATACAGTGTGCTATGAGGGAAATTTAGCCCGGGCAGCGGCGCTTCGGCCTAAGGGATCTTTTACGTGCACGCCAATGTGTACACGGGACCTCGGTTTTCCGTCCCATCCGTAACGACTAGACAGCTGTCCTTGTCAGACCCTCCATCCTGTATCACTGACAAGGGGAAACCATGCAAGAAAATCTGGTAGAACTTTCTCGGCCAATGCATAGATCGACCACCCGACCTTCAGGCTAGCGAGCCAGCATCTTACCCACTTAGCCATGTGATCCCCTACCATTCAATCTCCCACCTAATGAACATTAAAGATGTACAAGGCAAAACTCCATTCAATTCTTTAAGTAATCACATTTTTTTATTATTAGCAGAAAAACATAGAAAAATAATATTCTTACTTTACAACTAAATCTCTCATTTGAATACTGTCAGCTTCTGTAAGATATGGATCATCTGATTCGTATAATGTTTGTACAACCTTCCGTAATTCTACCCAACATTTCTGTAATTCTTGTGTTTCTTTGTTGTATTCATCAGATATTTGTCTAAGGGGTAAGTAATAATAAATACAGTCAATCTGAGCTTTCAAGGTAAATAATAATTACAGACAATCCTACTCAACCAGTCACTTGGGTTTTTTTTAATGACTTCTCTTTAATACACTGACCACAAACACAAATGGGAGGCTTGGAATTTAAACTGATCTTTCAAGGTAATAGGGGTTGTGAATAACAGAAATTACTCTCTATTTATTTACTCTGAGATCTGATCAGTTATTGTTCACTTTCTATGAGGTAATTAAAACAACCCTTATGTGTAAAGGACTGAAACTGTTCCGGGGTGGGGTTCAGAACAAATTTTACTATTAGAGAAAACCCAGGAAGATGAACAGACGACCCTACTCCTTGTTACGTGATAGGCCAATCAGCTACCCCCACCCCCTTCTGTAGTAAAAAAACCAGGATTATAATTATAAGAAAGTAATATGATCAGAGAGACTTACCTTCTTTCTTTACAAGATTCACAATGACATATGGAACCATTTTCAGTGACTGGTTCATTAGTATCTAAATTAATATCGGGTAGAAATGGAAATGGGATGGTTTCTGGTTGTAAATCTTCATCCTATAAAGAAAAGTGTACGGTTTCTACAGTGTGTGTTGTTTATGAAACTAAAGTTAGTTAATAGACTAGCTGTGACTTATTAATAGAGTTTGATCTATAACTTATCCGTCTGACATTTTGACTAAATTAACAATTTATGCCCGGAGCGTTTCCATCTAACTCAAATTAATATAACACTGGTATTATCCAAGTCTGAACTTTTAATTATAGAGTTATTGACTGGCTGTAGATTTATTATAAATATAATAATAATGTTACCTACCAGAAAGGGAATATCAGGATCTTTTTTATTCATATACTCAGAATCAGCAGCTTTTCTACATGCAGGACAAACCCATAAAGGAAGCTGAAACAATTCATACAAATTTCAATCAATATATATTCAAACAACAAAAGGGGACTGTCAGGCCAGGCAACTGCTATTATACGCCCAAGTCGTCTACACCACTAGTAAGTTAGATGTATAAAACTCTTGAGTGTTATTGAGAGTCAAAGTATAGGGGGGGGGGGGGGGGGTAACTTAACTTGCTGTAGATATATTCTATATTGTGGATGGTGACGTAAATCCTACAAAACTTTGGAAACTGTAGACAGCCTAAGGTCTATGACTGTTTATTTAGAAACTGTTGAAAATGAAACTGACAAGACTTGGTAATACTTTCTCATGAATACCTATTTAATTCAAATCAAAACAGCTTGTGAAATATAAAGCATTTACCTGGCATGGTCTTTACAAAAAGCATTTTCAAAATGTATTTCAACATACCTTAGGTACAGCATCACTTTCTGTGTTTTTTGTATCTTCAGACTCTGTTAAAACAAAATGATATGATAAATCATTTATCCTTATTCCTTGAAATAAAAGAAATAACAATACTGTCTTGAATATTTGATTAACCCTGAATCGGGATATGTTAACATCATTACTTAATTCTTTTCATAGACAGGAGAGGGAGCAAAAATAAATATGTGGAAAGATATCAATAATATTGTAGTGTTTATTCATTATTTTCACTTGAATAACCAATATTCTATGCTGTATTGTCAAGGGAAAAACTATTTTTATGCAGCTTCTAGAAATCTAAAGTGACCTCTGCTAGTATGTGAGCAGGTGGTTATATTCAAAGACAATATCCTCTAACAGTATGCCGGGTAGTTATATTTGACCTCTGATAATGAGCTGGGTAAGTTATATTTAAAGACAATGACCTCTAATAGTATGCCGTGTAGTTATATTTGACCTCTGATAGCAAGCTGGGTAAGTTATATTTAAAGACAATAGCATTTTGTATAAGCAGTAAAAGGAAATAATATTGAGGGGATCAATTACCTGATTTGATTTTATCAGCCTCTGGAGGATCAATACGTTCACAATCACACAATAAACAACGCTCTTTCATAAATGGATTTGGCCCTCGGTGAAAAAATGGACTAGGTAATGAATGTAAATCATCATTACTGTCGATCAATTGTTCCAGTTTCTGAAATAAATATTAAACATCATTATTGTATGTAAACAAAGGCAAGATCTCATATTTCATGCATGTCAGTTTTTCAAGGACACACATACATATACAGACATGTAACAGTTCTAGTTACCACATGTGATATCTTAAAGATTTGTACACATGTCTGTAGGCCTACTATGTCCAAAATGATTGACAGTTACATGTAAGTCTATAAACCTTCATTTATTGTAATCTTACAGGAAGAGCCCAGATGAAGTTGCCATTTTGACACAGCCACATGATACAACATGTGATCTTTTCAGACCAATTTGTATATAATCAGCTCTAGAGCATGCAGACCAAATAAACAGTTCACACAGACCAAAGAAACCGGTCACACAGACCAAAGAAACCGGTCACATAGACCAAAGAAACAGGTCACATCATATTACAAAAGCAGAACAAGAGCAACAAAATCAGTTTGTCAGTTGTATGCATGCATAAAACAAATTACTTGCAACTAGTTGTACCCAGTAACAAGATTGCTTTTCCTATGCCAGGTTTTCCATCTCTGACTTTTTTTTAACATACATGTACATGTAGGCCTACATATAATTGGGCCAATGTGTCAAGAATTATTTGGCATTAATTTGTTATATTAAAGAAGCATTATGCAAGATTTAGATAAAAAAAAAAAGCGGTTGCCAGTGATGTATTTAAACATTTTTTTTTAAAATCAAATAAAAAAAATGTGACTTCTAGAGGTTCTACAAGCTAAAAACTGTGATTTTTCACACGATCAGGGACACTGCAGTTCAATATGCACGAATATCGAAAGGAACCAAGACCATTGCATTATAAACAATTAAACATACATTTCAAGTTTCATCTAAATCGGATAAAATCTGTGACCTTTAGTGTCCACAAGCTAAAAACATGATTTTTTCATAAATCAGGGGCCAAAATCCATGAAGTTTCGATCCGATACATGCCAATATTGAAAGGAACAAAGATTTTTTCACGATAAACCTGTATTTCAAGTTTCGTAAAAATCAGATAAGAATTGTAACCTGTAGAGTGTCCACAAACAAATTGTGGATGGACGGATAGGGACTACAATAATATACGTCCACATGAAAATGTGGGTGTATAAAAACGACCATTCTAGGCATAATAGTTTAAAAATAGAAAACGAAAATTACATGTAAGATATTGAAAATATCAATCAAATAACTCTATTGGGAGCAAAGTTATGAGAGTTTGAAGATTTGGCAAGAAAGAGCCAATTTGTATAAAGTACCATTGCCATAAACAAAGTCCCAATTGACAGTTCTTTCACTGAGTCCATTTTTATGTTAAATTATTACAATGTACATGGAGTTGATGGTATATATAATTCATTCAATATTTCAGCCATCCAGTTATCTAGAGAGTTGATTATATTGTAAATGGGTTCAACATCCTACTCCGAGGTTTGATTATAGGCTTGTCATGTGAATAAATGTCTAAATAATTTATAGAACATTTGAAGCCAGAAAGATCGGCAATAAACAGATTTAGCTGTTGTAAAAATTGGGGGGGGGGGGTCAATTAATTACTATAGATTAACTTTATACACCACTTATTACACAAGGTACATGTACAGGTACCGATCTAATAGATAATTTAACCCATCAATGGATAATTCTGTTGTGGTAGCCTAATTACCCCATAATAATACAACTGTAGATAAGAAACTAATTACAATAACAAACAGTATCTCTAAATTGATAAATGAAGCCTTCTAATTGAAGGTCTTACTTAAGTCTTTAAATGGACTAAATATCGACTCCAGTGATAATAAGGTTTGGGATGGCCTAAGATGCCATGCTTAAAGCTCTAGTTCGCCAGTCAATTCTGACTTGTGGTTTCTATCTTTGGTGTGAGTATGTAGCCTCGCCTTATCAACCTTGTGGGTTTACTCTGGATTCTTCCTACAGAAAAGATCCCTTGTCCACACGCAAACTCATACATATACACAACTATTGGTTAAGTCGTCCACAGGGTATTGGGTATGTCGCCCACAGGGTATTGGGTATGTCGCCCACAGGGTATTGGATACATGTATGTTGTCCACAACTAATATTTGACACGTACACACGTTAATTGTATGGAATAAGTAAGTTTCACTCATATGTTTGAATCTTGTTTTATTTACCCAAAAATTGATGAGCTTGACTGACTGATGTCGACCAAGATTAGTTCACCTACATTATGTATAAAGTAGACATGTTTTGTTTGTTAGTTGGCCTTATGATTTTAGACATAATGAATACAAATTAAAGATTAAACGCAACATCCATTAAAGATATCGTACTACATGTATGTAAAAACTGTGTGATTTAATGATATATGTGCAGGGCTGCCGACAAACAGTATTGCAGCGCAATTTGCGATACATATTTTGTCCATTGCTAATCGAAAATTAAAATCTAATGTTTTTGATTCGCAATAACTGCGAATCATTAATATGCCTGCCATTTTGGATATTGACAGAAAGATTATCCACAGTTTGAAGACTAGGAGGCTTTCTCAACACTTTCAACGTGTATAAAATGTCAAATAAAATTTTATAAACAAAACTGAAATCTCCGTGTGACATTTTCTTCTCGGTTTACCCAGACTCAATTCATAATACAATATCAATGAATATAATACAGGGACATAACTCTATGAATAGGGACTATTAAACCGGAAATAGGGAATCAAGTAGTACCACTCACGTTGCGAGACATGCCAATTTCAAGTAATTATATGAGCATTCATTTTGAAAGAAATAAATCCAGTGTATCCCCCACGTATTGTAAATAAAATATAAAATAATAAATACATGTTAACATATTGTAAAATGATAAATCAATTCCCGTAAAATATCTAGTTAATCGATGTGCGCCCGATTGAATAAAAATAGTAATAATACACGATAAAAAGCAGACAAAATTGTTTTCTAACGAAGATTTCTAAAGTAACGAAGAAATAACAATTAAAATGAGTGGGGCATCGGAAGACACTGCCAAGAATTGGCTTCAGACATAAGACCTAACCAAAAGTTTACATCACATACACAAACTGTCACAACTACATGTGGCAGTGCTAAAAAAAAAATGGAAGAATGAAATTTAATCATAATAAAAGAAATATCTAGTTATTTGGGTTGTTTTATGTTGAAACTGAAAAACTGCTAACCAATTGTTGCTTTGCTAATCAAATTTGGCAAAATTGGACTTTTTGATTAGCAGTGCTGCTAATGAACTGTGAAAAATTACCGACAGCCCTGTATGTGTGGACTAAAAACATATTCAAACTAATTAATGTATCAAAAAATTGTATTGGTTTGGAGATACCCCAAGCTATAAAAAATCTATTTCAGAAGCCATGTTTGTCACCTAACTTGATTGAGTTAAGCTGGCAGGCAATACATCAGGTTGCCAGTTTGTGATACCCTGGCATTTTTCCCCAGTGCTTGCCCCATGGTTTTTTGGGGTAATCCAGTATCTTTCTATTAAGATTGGGCATCTATACTTTGCATACATGTATGTACATCGAATTTGCCATACTTTTATTGGAAATAACCACCTGAAAAATACTTTCATGAGAATGAATCTTTAATGTTAAGACAAATTCAATTGACTGGATATGAAATCTGAATATAAATTATTCAATGGACAAACATTTGTGATAAGCTTAGTTTATGATGTCTAACATTGTTTGTCTTCTTTATTAAAAAGGTATTTTATAATTACATGGACAGGTTAATCACTCAACAAAGGGCATCATGTGTTTTTGTTATCCATGTCCATGAAGATCCTCCAATTTTCGCACCAAAGTTAACCTTATTTTACTACCTCTGTGTGTGTGGGTTAGTTGTATTTTATGTCCGCTTCCACCGAGGTGATATAGCAGACAATCTACCTCTGTAGTATGCAATGCCTTATACATGTATATGACATGGAACTGTATATGGTAATCGAATTCGCAAGCGTTGATTGGCTGAGAAATGATAGCGATCTATTGCTATGCATCGTCATTGGAAGATTCAAATGGAGTTGTGACAAAAGTTGTTGTTTGTGTATGTAATATAAATGGGGAATATTATCAATATATCTAATAATGATTATATCGACGAGTGAATGGCACCATTCATATTTCTGGGCTTATGGAGAATAGTTTGGAATATCAGTTGGCCGGCCAAACAGGCTTATGCAAGAGATAAATTTGCAGGTTTTTATTTAGGCCTTAACTGTTAAATAAACTATTAATTACACATTTATCAACATGACAAGACCATAATCAACTCACGATGCCATTGGATATCCCTGATATTAATTAGATTAGAACGGCTCGGCTTTTTAATGATTTAATTTAAAAATGGTGAAGCAAGGCGAAGCTCTGAACAACCAGTATGGAGGTTACAATCAATGCACACATCTTGTCAAACCTTCAAAGGCTAATATCTTTTTCTCAGAATAAAGTAATTTGAATGAAGTTTTCAATATTCAATTTGTATTATCTATTTTTGAACTATTATATTTATAGCAAGAATGGATTTCTCTTCATCTAAATCGTATATAATGTATCTTAAGTATTGGCCATGTTATGAAAAACCAGCAAGTTTATGGGGTTATCAGAATTAACGGTAAATGTGCTAATTGCGGTGCCCCGCTGATCAGATAAATAGAAATGTGAAAATAACAATAAACCCAGGATTATCTGTCAGTTAATCTTTTGTTTTATTAAACAACCAACCCGCTCGTTGTTTTCACGCGTAACGAAACATTATTAGATACTGATTGAATAAACTAAAAGTACCGAGGAGTTTTGTCACGATCATCTAGTATCTTTTTCCATTGCCACTTTGTTGTTAAACAGACATTTAAGCGCCTCCTATAATATAACATGCAGAGTTACACCCCCTCATAATAGGTGACAAATTCAGCGATGGTTTTTTAAGTTCATGTGCTTGTTTGATAAAACAAAATTAATTCATGTGCTTGTTTGATAAAACAAAATTAATTTATGTGCTTGTTTGATAAAACAAAATTAATTTATGGATTTTCTTCACAAAAATGGATAAATATTACCGAACGCATCACAATGGTAGACTGTAGTATCGTTGTTGATACAAAATAACACGTTTACAGAAGTTATGTCAGAGATTTGAGACAATGAATTTTCGTTCCAAGCAAGTTTTAGCGATGGCCAAAATTTACCGATGCAAGTATTGATGTTCGCTTGATGCATCCAAGCGTAATATTTAAATGATGTCAGCACAAAAAAAAACACTGAGATTTTACTAAGAGGCCACTCCCGTCAAGCCGTCAGTCGTTAAAAATTCCCTTGGGTGGCTGCTTAATACAGATTCTACTGTACATGTAAATGTGCAAATTGCTTGGATTGTCTTCATTTGCCACATGGCCTATTATCACAATGGCAACTTACTTGACCTACTCCCTATAAATAATCAACTTGTATATTTATGGGATTGTCAAATCTACTGTTAAACGGTTTTCAGATTGTCTGCGGCGTGGTAACCTACATTGTATTTATATGGCAATTTTTTTTAATTCACTTGTCCTGGGCTAAGGTGCAGGGAATGGGGGGGGTGGGCGCAGTAACAAAGTTTGGCATCATGGGTGTGTGGGTAAGTCAACCAATGTCACTTCCACGACTCAACCAATGCTGTGTGGAAGACTCAATATATTTGATATTTGTGGACGACTTAACTCGACTTTTCATATGGAAGACTAAGACTTAATATATTTGATATTTGTGGACGACTTAACTCGACTTTTCATATGGACGAGTTTGCTTGTGGACGGGTTAACTGGCATTCTTTTATATAATGCAGATTCTGTAATATCTATTAGTATTTTTTTTGCTGGCCGTTAGTTTAAACGATCTGCTTAAATGGCTTATGTGGCAATGGCGAATGGGTCAAAGCAAGGCAAAAGTTGTCAGTTAATTAACATGATTTCAAATACAACCTAACAAACTTCATAAGTAATGTAGACATCAAGTATATTATATTTACATTGGGAATGAATTCAGGCTCAGGTATAGTTTAATTAGTTGTTGGAATGTTACATTTAAAAACTCTGCTGAGGCTAAATATCAGGGCACAGGGCTAAAAATAGTGACATGAGAGTGTTTATAGTTTATATGTGCAATGGATGTGTTATGAGCAGGCAAATTAGATTTCTGTATATAAATAAATTATGACATAAGACAAAGTCTTCGATATGAATTACCTCTTTAACCTCTTTTCCCTCTGATAAGCCTAAATGGTTTTGGGAGGGTGTTTGCAGAAGGCCATTCGTCGAGAAAGAGACGTTCGAACTTGCACTCGACTTGGTAACTGCATTCTTAATTTTCCGTCTCTTGGTTTTCTTACTTTCTGAAGTACTCATGTTCAGAAGTTTAGATATGAATAAATCTATTATTCGATCAATGTTGAAGTTATTGATAAATCAACACACGTGTGAAATGAATGTACAACAGTCGGATGAACTAGCTGTCATCCCATGAAATATCACCATCAAATATGGCGGATCTGGGGATATTACCCAGAATTCAATGTTGGCAAGGGATAAAGGGAGGCAATCTGGGCTTAGAAAAATCTTGACACGTGCGTGTTTGCAAGGTTAAAGAAAGTGTCAGATATTGCTTAATTTAGACAAAATCTGTACACGCACTGTTGTAGATGTTAGTGGTTTTGTTGGCCTTTTATTTTATAACAAAACATCAAACGAAACCATGTAAAGCTTGACTCTGATATCATGCCTGGTCTTTCACTCTTTGTCACCTAAAACTAAAAATAGAAATTAACCGATTCAGAAAGCTGTCAGGATAATCGAAAATGTGAAATGACGTAGACTTGGTCTTACCAGCTATTGTTATTGTCTGGCGGAAATTGCGTATTACTGGTTACTTTCACTTATTGACGTCAGTTTTATAAACAAAACTAAAAAAAACCCAAACAGCAAATGTGGAACAGTCAAGGAAGCTTTGCAACTATGTAAATAAATAAATAATTTAATTTTTATTGTGTAAAACCAGTTCATCCTGAATACCATACTTTCAGCTTTTTGTTTCATTATGAAATAGAAATGGTTCCACTTGAATTATAGAAGGACTGAGTGATAGATAATGATTAATACCTTCCGTCTGACCCCAGCCACAGTGGTCAGTGGATGGTTCTTAAAAGAAGGCTTCCTTTGAGCAGGTTTTGTAATCATTTGATTACAAAACAGTTATCGGCCTGTAGTAGCATGAGAATGCCAGTTAACTCGTCCAGAAAGCAAACTCGTCCACACAAAAAGTCAAGATAAGTTGTCCACAAATATCAAAACTCGTTGGTTGAGTCGTCCACAAGGCATTGGTTCACTCATCCACACGACATAGTTCAACTTCGGGATATAGAAATATGTTGGTTGAGTCGTCCACACGACACTGTTTAATGTTAGGGACACAGAAAGTATTCATAGTCAATATAATCTAGTGTAAAGTGTAGGAGCCTACGTAACTGCATGAGTGCTGAGTGCTGTTTTCATAGAATTATGCATGAGTATAATTTTCTTCATGTCAATTAGCACAGACTCGCCAAGCTAGAGCGGTCGCGTTCATGAATAACAAACAACAAAATAAATTGCTTAATTCAATAAATATTCAATAACAATTTCATTACTGGTAATAATAATTTGATGCAAGCTGGTTGTTCACAGGGAATAGATCCAGTAAGTTGCCTTTGTGAAAATAGGCCATGTGGCAAATGAAGACCATCCCAACAATTAGTGCATTTAATGTTAATTTTGATAACCCTGTAATACTAATCATTATGTCGAAAATCATAGTGCTCATCAACAAACAATACTAGTCTTCTTTATTACAAAAAAGATTGGAGAACTAATCTCGGCCGTGATCGGTCAACCACGCTAGTTGATTACTGGCTAAATAAAAGAATTATAAACAACTGATGAGTAAAAATTATTTATTCCATACAATTAAAGTGTGTATGAGTCAAGTATTAGTTGTGGACGACATGGCCATTACCCTGTGGACGAGTTTGGCTATGGACGAGTTAACTGACACCTGTAGCATGATTTACCCCTAATCCACCATTATTTCAACTAATATCATAATGAATTTATATTGATGGAAGGAAAAGGAAAGGAAAGGAAATGGGGTTTAACGTCATACTGTTCTGCTCCGAACTGGGTTAATGAAGACAGGCATACGCCATACAGTGTGCTATGAGTGAAATTTTGCCCAGACAGCAGCACTACGACCTACTCTTATATCGAATTCCAACTGTCAAGGGATCTTTTACGTGCACACCAATGTGTACACGGGACCTCGGTTTTCCGTCCCATCCGAACGACTAGACAGCTGTCATTGTCAGGCCCTCCGTCCAGCATCACTGACAAGGGGGGAACCAAGCTGGAAAATCTGGATGAACTTACTCAGCCATTGCAGGGATCGAACACCCAACCTCCAGGCTAGCGAGCCAGCTTCTTACCCACTTAGCCACTGTGACCCCAGTTTATATTGATATTTGATAATATAGTGTTCTTTAGTCTTTATGCCAAATTGTCATTTTTATAATAATAATAATAATAATAATAATCGTTTTCTATAGCGCTGAACATTTAGTCAGCCTGACTCCTCTGTGGCGCTTTACAATGTAAATATGATTATAAAAATCATACATACATTAAATTGTAGCGCTTTTGGAAAGTTATTTATCCACTAAAAAGATTAATTTGAAATGGAGAGTTCTTCTCAGCCAGTCTTACTAGTCTTACCTTATCGTTTATCAGTTTAAAGCCTTAAAAGTTATTCAAGACCCTCACTCTAGAGCTGGATTATTGAGACTAACCTACTTCATGATATTGGGCAGGACAACAGCCTACTCACTACTGAGGATTATAAATATTAAATTATTTCTTTTTTGTAGATTCTTCATATAGAGTTGCATAAAACAGATGTTAATTAGTATAAACCAATGATTAACTTGAAATGGAAGAGAATATTGCAGAATTCTCAGCCAGCCACAGAGGAAATGGGGCCAGAGGCAATTTGAAAATCGATATAAATAACAGTAGTCAAGACACAGAAGAGGTGGCAGGTGAGCTCTGTATTATGAAACTTTGAACTTTATTACAGGTGAATCAAATTGTTAGCTGTTGCCAATTAAGAACATGATATACAAATATAAATAGAATATATTGATATAAACATGGATAACAATAAAGTATTACCCCCACACACTTGAGTCCAGACTCCCATTGAAAGGAACCATGTGTGCGTATGAAATGAATCTTAGTACAAATTTGTGTAAAAGAACTGTCATATATGTTAATTTCTAGGTCATTTCTGTATTCAGAAATGGATATGACAATTGAAGGAATAGATCCTACTCCTAGTAATTTATGAAGGGCATAAATCAATTAGGGATACTTAACTTCTATGGTTATTGGAATACTGACACCAACAAATTTGTTTAAATAGGGATTGGTTTCAATATCAAAATAAATGGAGTTGACTTTATGTAAAATTGGATATTCAGAATAAAAATGACCTGTTTAAACTTGTTTGTGTGATCTACGACTGATGTAGACAATAATTCCCTCTGGGCTCAACAGTGTCTATTCTGTAAAAGGTATTATGTTGTCTGATCTCATAAAATATTTCATTATTTTTATTTTTTACAGGAAATCTTTCACCAAAATCATTAAGATGTGTGGAAAAACTGATTCATGATTTAAAAAGCAAAACAGGTGAGCAGATTATCCATATCTCAATATTTTAAATACAGCGCTCATGTTGAGCAATAATTTGCGTTCTGTCAAAAAACAATTCATCTGTCAGGCACAGATTTGTCTGTTTTCTAGGTTTTTGTTAATATTTTGATATTTATTTGCCATAAGTTCAAAATGTTATTTAAATAGTGCCTGAAATTTGCCAAGTACAAAGAAAATTGTCATTTCTAGACCAGGGCTCCATTGCCATTTTATGAAGGCCCTACCTTACATGTTCATAAATTCTGGACTTACTACTTTGGAATAACATACTTTTTATTAAGTCTAGAAGATAGCAAATAAAGCAAAAGCTGTATATTTTTATGACTTTATATAGTAAAGAACAGATATATTTCTATGGCAAAGGTTAGGTACAAAGCTACAATTTTTACTTGTGGTGAAGACCGTATTTTTTATAATTTGACCAGAAAAATTCCCTTAATAAAAATTTCTAAAAGCTTTATAACCTGATCTTAAAAGTATTAAAAAAATAGCCATTATTGAATAAAACCAGGATCAGTTTTCATAAATTAAGTGTTCCATGTCATTTCAGTCATAATAGATGAAGATGAAACCGGAAAGGTCAGAGTGGAATATGAAAATGAAGTGAAGAAAAATAAGAGAGATGGGTAAGATAGAAATCTAGACATTATTTACAATTCCATTTACATTCTTGAATCTTTCACGACATTCGATTAAAGACAACAGGATCCACTAGTGGAGTTTGTGTTGCTCTTGCAATCATTGGGTGGCTGAATGGTCTTAACACATGCTCTTCAGATGTCTAGTCGTTCGGATGGGATGAAAAACCGAGGTCCTGTGTACACATTTGGGTGTACGTAAAAGATCCCTTGGCAGTTGGAATTCGATATAAGAGTAGGCGGTAGCGCTGCTGCCCGGTCAAAATTTCACTCATAGCACACACTGTATAGTGTATACCCGTCTTCATTAGCCCAGGTTAGGAGCAGAACAATAGGACGTTAAACCCCATTTCATTTCATTTTGAATGGTGTAGTTCCGAGCCCAAGCTTGTACGTGACAAGTAGAGTCGCCTGTCTAACTTTATGTGTTTTCTCCGGGGCCTCCGGTTTCCTCCCACTTCTTAAGAAGACCCCTACGTGCAAGTGAATTAATGAAATAATAAATTTGTACGCATTTTTTAGATTGGTAAAATGCCAAAGCCTATCGAATTTCAACAATTTCTGTTGATTACTTCGTGTGTTTTGGACCTTGTTTCACTATCTAGAGAAGACAAAAGTTATCCGATTTGTATTGAATTTATTTGCATAACTAAATTAGTAAAATGAAGAAACCTATCGAATTTCAACAATTTCCATTAATTTCTTTAGAGTTATGGCCCTTGTTTCACATTGTAGAACTTTAGTTGCCTGGGAACTTATCTTTAGTGCCGAAATTCATATTGTAATGAACCAAAATATTTGATGGAATATACTTCTAACCAAAAGCAATAACCTGTCATTATTGTTTTTGGTCTGGCTTTCAACGATGTTAATTCATTTCTTACTATTTTCTTTGTTTTTTTTTAATTTTTTCTCAGGATTATGAAAGATAAAATGGCTCATATAGATATGTCAAAAAGCAATCTGATTTCAACTCCCAAAAATAAAGATGACATGACACTACATATAGAGGCATTGTGTGAACTGATTGATATCTATAAAAAAAATAAATATCCAAGTGGAGTTTGTTCAGATAACAAAATGGTATGGCACTAATGGTTGCTTACTTAATACTAATGTTGTCTTTACATATATGTATTGTTATTATTCCTGATATTGCATAAATCTTTGACAGAAGTAAGCATGGCTGACATGATTATTAGATCAAAACTGATTCAGGATTGCACTTCAAAAATTCAATTAAAAAAAATGGACAGCATAGTGGGTTTTTTTAAAAAAAAAAAATACCTTGTAACCACATCATTTATGAAAAATACAGTGTCTGTGATTAAAGATTACTTCGTACGTACTGTATTTAGGAATACTAACCTTAACCCATTAGATACAGTATTCATGATATAGAATTACTAACTCTAACCCTAGCTGATCGTTATTAGGATTACCCTAACCCTAAACCAAATTTAACCATCACCTTACTGGGGTTAAATGGTTAACCTCTTTCTAACAAAACCTGTTCATATTGAAATTGTTTTTATTTATCAATGTTCTTTTCTAGGTGACGCCAAAATGTGGCCTTTATAGAGAAGGAAATGAATTTACCAAAACAAAAGAAATTCTGGGTAAAGGGAATGTTGCTGGGGAAATCATTGTTGTGAAAGATACGGGATCCAACAAAGAACATGCCCTTAAAACGGTAAAAAAATAAACTGTTGTTAGTCAATAATTTTCTGTTAAAGACTTCACTATAACATTGTTAGGGTCAACGGACTACTATATCCTAACTATAGCTGGTTGATCCCTTTAGTCTTGAAACCTGTGATCACAAATTGCAGAATTATCTCCCCATTTTCAATAGCTTGTGAACACAATACAGGATGCTTATATTTTTACAACTCAAATTTCAAAATTTCAGATTACAGATTTATCCTTCCTGTTATATTTTAACCTTTGAACACAATCCAGGACAATTTTCATTGTGCAGTTTCTTAAAGAACCTTAATGAAATTTCAAAATAAATTAAACTTGAATTTATTTGTGAAAAATTGTGAACGCAATACAACACTGAGTTCTTTTTTGTTATGACATGAAGGAAGAGCAATGTTGAATTTCCAAAATTTTGAATTGAATGATTCCATTCACATTTGGACTTTAAATGTTTGGGAACATGAAAGGACAAACTAATAAAAAAACTTAATGGGATTTAACCTTGGATGAGTAGTATGATAATCAGTGCTGGGTATTGCCATCGTATTGCAATTTGTGTGCTACGATACGATTTGTATCATAATTCATGACCAGGTCCAGCCGATGTTGAAAAACTGTTTTATATCACGATATTGGTGTAGATCAAAATATGAACCGAAACAATTTAAGAGCGTATGTGTGACTTGGATAATTGAAAGTGACAGGTTACTTACTGAATTGACAAAAACATAAAAAAAAGAATGATGATACATTGATTCAGCATCACACGATTCAATGCACAATTCACAAGAATGTGAATCGTGATACATGGATTCAGCAATATATTGTGCTAGTACTAATATTAATACTATACAATGAAGAAATATAAAAATATCCTTGAAATGATTATCTATTTTTAGGTGATGATCTCATCTTTTAGACCAGAAGAGTTAAAAATGTGGATCAATTTGAATGATGAAGATTTTGTTCCAAGTCTTCTTATGGTTCGACTTGAAAAAAATAAATGCATATTTCACATGGAAAAACTTGAAAATGGTACAGTGATTTGAAAATATTATGTCACTCAGGACTTTTTGAATTAATCAATTAACATTTGATTAAGAAAACAAAGACAAAAATGTCAACAGTAGTAAATCACCTGGCATGGATTCATTCAGATTCTAGCCACTGCTTATAAATGGCACGTTTACCTCGTCGGCAGAGGATACAGAATGCTGTGAAATTTTCATTCATCCTATTTTTGTAAATACGGAATGGAATTGAACTATTTTTGGACTGTTATTCCTTTTAGAGATTTGAATTTCTTAATAATTTATTTTCCGAGGAATTAAAAATCCTTCAAATGATATTCAGTGATATTTTTAGAAATCTTGAATACTCTCTAAATGAAGCATTTATTCATATCGTATCAATTTGTATCGTAGGGGAAGTTATTGACGAACAGATGAATCTTTTAAAATCTGATGAAATTGGTCCAGTATTGCTGTGTATTTGTGTCATATTCATTCGTATCATTTCTATTTCAGCTGTAACATTACGGGAAGTTATTGATGAACAGATTAACCTTTGTGAGCCTAACATTCGTCCTGTATCATTGTGTATTTTACATGGTCTACTATCAAGTATTAATAAGATGCATTCGAAAAACGTTGTTCACCGAGATCTTCATCGTAAGTATATATGGTTGTGTTTTGTATTCAATTGTGTTTTGTATTCAATTAAAAACTAGAAAGGGAGAGTATGGGGTTTAACATTCTCTCAACACAAACTAGATCATTTTGGGACTAACAAAATATGGTAGAGTTTTATTTAATTATTAACCACTGCAATGGTTACTGAAAAGTGGGAGGAAACTGGATGATCTAAAGAAAACTTAGGTTACTCTACTCTTTTAATTGTCACATACAGATGTGCGATCAAAACCATACCACTGGACTTATGACAGACATTATATCATATATCACACTGCATAGTGTAGGCCCATCTTCATTAGCCAGTAGTTGCAGACTTTTAACCTCATTACATTCCATTCCCTTCAAAACAGCTCTTTAAGACTTTAAATATTGATTGAAGTCAAAGTTGCAAGTATGAAATAAATATTAATGTATTGTTCTGTCTTACCTGAATAGAATGTTATTTGTTTTATCCTAGCTGGAAATGCTTTAGTTCAGAACAACCATGGTCAGTTGGATTTGAAGATAATTGATTTTGGTCTTGGACAAGAGAAATGTCACCCAGATGGTCCGGCTGGCGTTAGAAATGACATTCTCATGGTTTTTCGAATGTTCAGTGCCTTATATCTAGGTCAAGAGTTTGATAGTATAGATGATGTGGTTAATAACGGATCATCTAAACTTGAGGAAGTAAGAATTCTTGTGTCTTCTGTTTATCAGTGTCATCAGTAAATCAAACAAGAAACAGAGATGTTTTCATATTATCCCTTCGTTTAGATCTTGATATGGTTAGTTATATATCTATTTAATAGGAGCCAGCGGTGGCTCAGTGAGTAATGCGCTGGCTCACTAACCACAAGATCTGGGGGTTTGATCCAGGTGTCGGCCTAGAAAATTTCCAGCATGGTTTCTCTTTGTCAGTGGTGCAGGATGGGGGCCCTTGCAAGGAAAAGTGCCTTAGTATGCCTTAGTTCCTGTGTACACATTGGCATGCACAGTTGGAAATTAAAATAATGGTAGGCACCTGTATGGCATATGCAAATCTTTGCAAGTCCAGCCAGTGCATATCTTGAATAATTGAAGATATCTTTGCATCTGAAAATACAGTAAATATTCAATTTATATATTCAAGTATAATGTTGTCACCTGTTCAATCTTCATCCTCTATTCACATTGTTCAAATATACTTTTTTCTAGATGTCATATGAATATAAACTAAACGAGGAAGATAGAAAAGAAATATTGCAGTTATTCAATATCTTCTTACATGTAACTAATTTGAAAAGTAAAGATTTTGGCAAATCCGAAATGATACTAAAACATGTGGAAGGTGTTCTGGATAAACGTGGTAAGTTAATTGTTTTATTGTCTTCTGGTTTGCAAATGTGGGCCTACAAACTCATGGAGGAAAATCATTCCAAGAATCTGTCCTACATTTGATACAAATGGGTTTATATTATATAACAGTTTTTGTTGTGTAAATAAAGAAATGAATATTCAATGAATATTCAGTAGGACTTACTTCGCAAGCATAAAACAAACAGGTTACCATACAGTTGTAATTTATATGTACATGTATATTCAGATACAAATGAAGCATTCAGTCTAGAATATGGCTGAGACATGACCACATATGAAAAAATGACACAGATTAACCAGTTATATTCAGTACAATTCGTTATGGACAACCACTTTAACAAAATAGTCACTGACAGGAAAAATCCCAGATAGGCTCAGTGGCTAAAACTAGTGAATCCTTTATGAAAGACTTCAAGATTTTTTATTCTAATACCAAGCATTTGAAGCCTGGTGATATGTTTTCAAAGAAATACCAACATCCATTTTAAATGAACTGTCTAGTGTCTTTAAAATGTTATTAAACCAGTGTTGAAATCAGTTTGTGTAGGCATACCTCTTATCTTTTCATCGTTTACCCTGAAACAAAGTAATGCAGCTTTACGGTTGTTCTAATATTGCAGACAAGCTTCTTGACTAGCAGTGGGTTGGATGGTTAAATGGTTAGCACGTGCACGCTGTATCATAAGGCCTGTCATTTAGTCAACTGGCATGGTTTCGAATCCACGGTTGTATGTGACAAGGAGTAGGGTTGCCTGTCCAAACTCGTGGGTTTTCTCTGTGTCCTCTCGTTTCCACCAACTGCTAAAGACCCCTAGACGCAAGCGAATTATTGAAATAAAATTAAACCATATGTTAGTCCCAAAATGACCTAGTCTGGGCCAAGTGGACACTAAACCCCATTTCTCTCTCTCTTCTTGACTAGCCATCACTTTTGTGTCTGATATTATAAGCATATCTATAAATAAGATATAGTGACAACTTGCTGCTATACTGTTCAATTATTGTATGTTCTAAAACAACGGACCTAATGGTAAAATGTTACAAAAAGAATTTCACTAAATAAAACATAGAAGGTGTAGAATTTGTTATGTTTTATTTTTTTCAATTTATTTAGAAATAGATAAAGATGAAGTATTGCAATTTGCTGCACAACAACTCTTTCCTGACAAGATACCAGTAAGTTTGATCCATGTGTTGACTGATAAAATTCATCAGGATTTTCTGGCTTTGTTTCCCCTTGTCAGTGATGTAGGATGAAGGGCCTGACAAGAGATAACGTATAGTCAGATGAGATGAAAAACCAAGGTCCCATGTACACATTGTTGGATTTCGATATAAGCGTAGGTAGTGGCGCTACTATCCGGCAAGATGTGAGCATTGATCGTAACTACTGTACTGGTCATTCCAGACTTTGCCTTGCTTCTCCATTTTTAAATTAAATCATTAAATGGCCAAACCATTCTAGTCTACAGAAAATTTGAGGCAGTTAAGTCTGAAAGAATGACCAGCAATAGGCAAATTTAGCTCTTACATTATGCCTGTTTAAATTTGCTGTAAAGTGGATATAGTAACCATTGGCTATACGTACCGAAAAGTAATGTGGTCCATCTTATGTGCCCTTTAAATAATCAATCTGAGTGATAATTTTGATAGATGCAAATCAAGCACAGTTGTTTTAACAGATATTTACAGGAAGATTTAAGCTATGATTTGGGGTCCATCATGGTAGCTTTAAATTCACATAGTCCAGGCAAGATAGCAAAAGTGCGGGCAGTTGCTGCAATAGAAATGCCGATCACGGTTTATGATCGGTTTAGACGTATATTATGACCAAAAAAAAGTCCCAGTCCGAAATCCGTGCCCAAATTGGCCAAAATCCAAAATGGACACCGCTTTTGGCTTGTAAATTCCAATTTCCACCCAATTATCACAATATGATCGAGTTTGGTATCAAAATATACATTTTCGGGGTAACTGAATTCATTTCCATACACATTTTTGTGATAAGTGTTACCACTGAGTCAATATTAGGGGTTATTCAAGGTGGTGGTCAGTTTTGGCGGGAAAATTTGAATTTTACATAAGGATCAAGTTTGGTGTCAAAATATATGTTTTCGAGGTAGCTGAATCTATTTTTGTACATATTTTAGTGATTAAGCGATTCCCTGTGTCAATATAGGAGAAATTCCAATTTGGGATTTAGATTTCCGATTAGGGATCGGAGATTAATGATACTCCTACCTTAGACCTAATACAATGACTTTCATCCAGTATGAACTAAATTTCATTTGAAGTGTCTCCCAGTTCACTGCGGTAGCGGCATAGGGGTATGTCGGCTGTGGTTACTGCGAAAGCTGGTCGTGCCTTTTGAAGTACGTGGCACAAAATGATTCAGATGTTGAGACACAGATGGATACAGTATCGCCTGTTTGTCAGATATGCAGTGAACCATTTAACAATGAACAACCCATAGTTATTGGTCAATATTTTAAGGTAAATGAAGTGGAGGAGTCTGTATATCAAGGTCTAGAGGGTCCGCGGTGCCAAAATTCATTTTTGCGGACCGTTGTCTTTTACATTGTCTGTAGGAAAGACTAGCAGACGGTCCATTACAACATATTTAATCAGTGACCGCTGTTACAACAGTAAACAGTAGAACTCGAAATGCCTATTTTTTGGACAAGCCAAGATAGTTCAAATGACGACTTAACATAAATCTAGTTGTATTTAAAAATAAATCAGCATTGAGGCTGGTGTCCCTAAATAGATGACACTTATTAATTACTTGCACATCTAACTTATTTATAAAACATCGAGCACAGAAATTGTTCTTCATTCTGTGTAACCTAAGCAAAAAATGTAATTGCAAAGGCCTGCCGGCCAGGTAGTCAACCGCCTACCCTGCCCTCATAAATGCAAAAACAAAAGAAACTCGAAATGGTTGATAACGCTCGAATCCGTTTTTCATTAATGATGTAAGGGCCCCATACACGCTCAATCAGACCATGATTTCCACGGATGACTTCCAGAATAGATTTTACAGACGGATTAATATTTCCATAATATTCAGAATCAACTAATTTGTCTTAGTTTTATTTATATATCTAAATGAATTTAGGAAAATTGCAACAGGGCGACGAGAACCATTATTGCCGGTTAGCATACTCAGGGCCAATACGCAAACCGTCACAACGAATGACATTTAATCTGTCACCAGTAACTTCCTTGGCCTGGCTTAAAGTGTATTTTGATCGTCGTCATTAAGGAACAGAATCGAATGAAACTTGGCAGGTACCCTTTGTAAGGAATACCAGTCCCTTTTGATGCTTGTTTTTCGTTACTCACGGGTTGTTTAGTTCTTGATTGCAGCTAACTATGTTCATGTTCGGATCTTTGTGACTTAATCAAGTGTCAATGTATGGTATGTCATGGCATATACGTCAAATCGCTTCTACCATGTGCCACAGAACTCAAATTTTACCCGATCCTACCCCCGCCCCTCCTAAAGTGTCTTAACTTTGGTCTGCCTACCCTCGGAGGCCCTAGCACGCCCTTGGTTTATTGTTGAACTTAGTCATGACTTTACACAAAGTTTTATTCTGTCCTAAATTCTCTGCCATTGAAATTGGTATCTCCGCTCATTTTTTAACGCAAGCCAAGAATCTTAATCGGCTCATTATTGTCGGCTTCCAATACCCGTTATCTTTCCGTCATTTTGGGAATGACGATGGGCGGTTCACTGCATATCTGACAAACAGGCGATATTGTATCCATCTGTGTCTCAACATTTAAATCATTTTCTGAAATAAATTCGCCACGTGCTTCAATAGGTTTGGCTATCTTGGCTCAATTTTCGAGGTTCGTGATCGAAATCGGACACACCCACGACACTGCGTCCACAGTGCCTCCGTAGTGAGCAGTGGTCGACCAGAGCGTCTAAATGAAATTTAGTTGATGCTTGATGAATGCCATCGTATTGATGAATGCCATCTGAGGCGGACTCGACCACTCGTAATCCCCAAATCTCCAATGGGATTTCCCATTATTTTGACCCAGGGGAACCAGTTAATTACCAAGATGAAAAAAATGTGTCGAAAATGAAATCAGCTGCCTCCAAAACATATATTTTGACACCAAATGTGGTAATTTTGTAAAATTCGAATTCCCAATATTGACTCCGTGGTATAACAAATCACCAAAATGTGTATGGGAATGGATCCAGCTACCTCAAAAGGATATATTTTGATACCAAACTCAATCATATTATGGTAAGTGGATAAAAACTGGCATTTTCCAGTCAAAGCCGGCGGCCATTTTGGATTTTTGCCAATTTGACCCATTTCGGCACGGATTTCGGACTGGGACTTTTTTTTGGTGATAATATACGTCTAGACCGACCATAAAACGTGGTCGGCATTTCTATTGCAGCAACTGCCCGAAATGGTGCGAAATTGAGTTAAAATGCCTGGACTAACAATATATTTTCTTAATAAACTTGTTTGTTGTCTATTTCAGCTTCCTCTCAATATAGAAGATGATGTTGATACAGGAGAGAAATATGACTCTGTTGATATGTTAGAGCCAGGTGCTATCACATTTAACAGTGTTGATTCAAACATAAGTAATGTCAGTGTTGAATTTATTGATGAAATATTAAATGACATCAACCTACAAGCTGGACCAGCTGGATAGAAAGACTGCGTTATTGAATCTCTGTTTGCAATACTACCCTTGATGGAATCAGAAGTAAGTCACTATTAGTAATAGTGGAATTGCTCTGATTCTATTTGCATAAATAAGTATAATAGGTATTATATCTTTAAAGGGTATTTAGTGAAAGCAATATATAATACAGACAGCTCTAAACGGATGTTATTCACCAATAACTGTAACATTTAAATGTTAATTAACTGTAACATTTCAATGTTTATTAACTGTAACATTTCAATGTTAAAGGTATATTATGTAATATTTAGATAAAAATGAATATATTGAAAATCTGAAGGGTTGACAAGATGTGTGTATTAATTGCAACCACCGTACTGGTTGTTCAAAGCTAAATTAAATCAAAATATGGCTGCACTGTTCTAATTTACTTAATATCAGAGATATCCGATGGCATTGATTATGATATTGTCATGTTAATAAATGTCTAATTAATAATTTAGATAACATTTAGGCCTAATGAAAGACCTGCAATAGGCAGATTTAGCTCTTGCATAATGTATGTTTAATTAATTGTAACATTTCAATGTTTATTAATTGTAACATTTCAGTGTTTATTAACTGTAATCTTTCAGTGTTCATTAACTGTAATGTTTCAATGTTTATTAATTGTAACATTTCAGTGTTTATTAATTGTAACATTTCAGTGCTTATTAACTGTAACGTTTCAGTGTTTATTAACTGTAACGTTTTAGTGTTCATTAACTGTAACGTTTCAATGTTTATTAATTGAAACATTTCAGTGTTTATTAACTGTAACATTTCAGTGTTCATTAACTATAACGTTTCAATATTTTAAACTGTAACATTTCAATGTTTATTAATTGTAACATTTCAGTGTTTATTATCTGTAACGTTCCAATGTTTTTTGTCTGTAACCTTTCAATGTTTATTAACTGTAACATTTCAACGTTTATTATCTGTAACCTTTCAATGTTTATTAACTGTAACATTTCAATGTTTATTATATGTAACATTTCAATGTTTATTATATGTAACCTTTCAACGTTTATTATCTGTAACATTTCAACGTTTATTAACTGTAACCTTTCAACGTTTATTATCTGTAACATTTCAACGTTTATTATCTGTAACCTTTCAATGTTTATTATATGTAACCTTTCAATGTTTATTAACTGTAACATTTCAACGTTTATTAACTGTAACCTTTCAACGTTTATTAACTGTAACCTTTCAACGTTTATTGACTGTAACCTTTCAATGTTTATTAATTGTAACCTTTCAATGTTTATTATCTGTAACCTTTCAACATTTATTATCTGTAATGGTTTAATGTTTATTAACTGTAACATTTCAATGAGGGTACTCTCTAACATGTTCGATTGTATCAGTGCTTGATAACGATGAGGGTACCCTCATTGAAACAATGTACATGTAGTTAATAAACATTGTGAATGTTATTCATATACAGCTGTCTGTATTATTATTAGTTTTACTTGATCCATTCATAAGGTTTTGTTTAATGATATTTGTAATTTTTTATGGTCCCATGGGTAAATTTATTCTAAAAATCTCATGTTGGATGAGATTTGTTGTCAAAATTTCAGGAAGGACAAACTGACCATAGGTGCTACTGTTATCAGTTTTGTCCAATCTAAGTCAGTATTGGGAAGGACAGATTGAATACAGGTGCTAATACAGAACATTGATGCTACTGTTATCAGTTTTGCCCAATGTGATTCAATAATTTTTTAAAACTATTTATATTTGTTAAAGATCCCTTGAGTGCATTTGTTATTATTTATGCCCTGTTTAATGAGGATCATTTACCAAAATAGACAATTATTATACATTGTTGGATTGTTGATTATTTACCACTGCCAAGTTATTGGATATTTGACGGTTTACATTCATATGTTATGTCATAAACTACATTCATAAAATAACTAATATATTTATTTTATAAATCACAAGTGAGTCAGTTACAGTCATGGTCAGATCACAGTGTAATGAGATTTAATTCATTTCTCTCATTAAATAAGCTATCATGTTAAGATCAGTTCACAGTGTAATGAAATTTAATTCATTTGTCTCATGACATTAAATAAGCTATCATGTTAAGATAAATTCACAGTATAATAAAATTTAATTCATTTGCTATATGACTTTAAATAAGCTATATCATGTTAAGATCAGTTCACAGTGTAATGAAATTTAATTCACTTGTCTCATGATAATTAAATAAGCTATTATGGGAAGATCAGAGTGTAATGAGATTGAAATAAATGCTAAATAATAAATAACGTGAGGCATAGATATTATTGCAAGTATATCACAGATATCATTACAAGTATATCAGTCAGTATCCATTGTTATATCATTTGATATATTTCCAAATAATTATAGGTTTTATGAATTACACAAAGTAACATATACAACAACCTGTTCTAGACAATTATTCAGTGGAAAGTGGGGTACAAGACACTCCAAATAACTAACATAATGAACCAAAACCAAAAAAGTAGTGTTTTATGAGTATTTATTTCCAAAAAGTTGTATTCTTCGTAAATATTGATTTATTTATGTCATTTAAATATGATATAATATTTGATATTTAGTAGTGCCTTGGAATGTAAATTGCATAGCTACGAAGTAATGATATTACTTATAATATTTGATATTTAATATTGCCTTGGAATGAAAATTGTTAATAACATATAGATTGTTTAATTCAGAATTTTATCTGAAATATTATTTTGATAGATTTATTTCTTATATTTAAAACAAAAACTTGATCTTTCCAGTTGTGGCAATATATGAAATAGAGGTTTTGTCTGCATGTAATGAATTTTTAAGAACGAAACACTATTATTACTATTTTGTTCTTTTATATTTTAATGTATTAATGAAATATTTATTACTCAATTTACTTCATGTTTCTTTGTTACATAAATTGCTCAATTTCTACTGCATAATACATGACCGATTAATCTGTGCCAAATGTTATTATATTTTGAAGATCATGATTGATTGTTCTGTATTGCTTCTTTAAAATAGTTGCTTCTGCTATATACTTTGCTTAATTTAATATCAATGTGTGGAGATAAAAATATGTATGTTTATTGTTTACATAAACAAACTGTATTAGAGCTGTTATATTCAAAAGAACCAGTGTCATTCACAATGGCTACTTCCATCAAAGTTACTTGGTCCTCTGAATCCAAGGAAGTTCTTATTAATATGGTCTACTTAATTAAGCATGTTTTTGCCACTTGGCTAAAAGGACACATTTTTTATTACTAGTCGAAAGGATAGTTGTCTTATATCAAAATATTTGTCATACTTGTTTACACAAGAGTTAAGTCAAATTAAATTTTTATGCTGCTTGTACTATATGTCTAGTCGAGGCAATGTTTCTAGTTTTTACTACGCTAGTTAAAAAGTTTATTTACACATATGTATATGCCCTATAGATAGACAGATGAGATTCTGTTAGTTTTTATATGTTTCATGAACAATTCTTTGAACATGATTTTCGAGACATCTGCTTGATCTTGTAAAGGAATATGTATATCGGCTATTTTTAGTTTTACATACAAAATATTATTTAAAATATTGATCTGTTTTCAGCAAGTACATGTTTGATTTATGAATTGTTTTGCTTGTATTTTTTTTTCCCCCACATAATGTGATATTTGGTGCATGATTTATATCAAATATTTTATAAATGAAATGTTTAAAATATTGATTCAACATGAATTGTTTTGCTTGTGTAGTTTTTTTTTTCCAATTTGCTGCATGACTTGAGATCTAAAATAAAAATATATTTCTTTATCTTCCTTTTTTCACCCATATATAAACTACATGTATGGTCCTATATATCACATCCTTATTGCATACCGTACGTTGAAAAACATTTTGGTCGTAAAACATTTTGATCTAACTCGGTGATCCAGTCTCATGGGTTCAACAGAATCCTATGAAACAAATTATGATTTTATGTTTTTTGTTGCCCTTGAGATTCTCGGGCGGTTTGTTACATCATGAGTTTTCAATTGGAGAATAAAAGTCAGAAAAGGAGAGAGAGCAAAATGGGGTTTAACATCCACTGGACTTAAACAAGGTCATTTTGGGACTAACGTGGTTCTTTTTTTTTTTTTTCAATAATTTGTTTGTGTGTAGGGACAGGAAAACAGAGGGCCCGAAGAAAACCTACGAGGTTGGACAGGCGACCCTAATAGTACAAGCTTGGAATCGAAACCACTTGACTCCATGACAGACCTTATGGTCTACAGTGCACACAAAAGACCAATCAACAAAACAGGTCATCCTACTTATTGCCAGGTGTCAAAGCCACAATACTTGCATTGATGACAGACCTTTTAGTCTAAAGTGCTACCATGTCGTGGTACTAACCCTGTCTGCCTTGCAAGTGGTATATGGTGGTCTGCTTTAAAGAGAGAGAGAGAGAAATGGGGTTTAACGTCCATTCGACACAAACCAGGTCATTTCGGGACTAACATATGGTACAATTTTATTTCAATAATTCGTTTGCACGTAGGGGTCTTTAGCAGTGGGAGGAAACCGGAGGGCCCGGAGAAAACCCACGAGGGTTGACAGGCGACCCTGCTCCTTGTCACGTACAACCGGGGAATTGAAACCACGCCAGTTGACTCAATGACAGGCCTTATGATACAGTGCGCGCGTGCTAACCATTCGGCCATCCAACCCCCGGTCTGCTTTAAAACACAGCTCACAGCAACATCTTTGTGAAATGAAATTTAAGATTTTTAAAATCACATCTATACAAAACATGTGAAATACAATATTCACGAATAAATAGGCCAGATAATTTACACAACAGACAAATAAATAGGCCTAATATACACAACAGACAAAAAAACAGGCCCTAATAAACACATCTATACAAAACATGTGAAATACAATGTTCTAAATAGGCATTAGGCCCTAATAAACATAACAAATACATAGGCTTAATCTACACCACAAATAGACAAAACAGACAAAATTCTGTATAGAGAGAGAAATTGGGTTTAACATCCACTTGACACAAACTAGGTCATTTCGGGACTAACATATGGTTAAATTTTATTTCAATAATTCGATTGTGCATAGGGGACTATAGCAGTGGGAGGAAACTGGAGGACCCCGAGAAAACCCACGAGATTGGACAGGCGTACAACCGGAGAATCAAAACCATGCCAGTTGACTCAATGACAGACCTTATGATACAGCGCGCATGTGCTAACCATTCGGCCATACAACCCACCATTCTGTATAGAAAGAATGTACTTGACAATGAATAAATATTGATTTGTTTTGTAATGATATAACATCAAGTCACTATTATGACTATTGTAAACAGTATTATGTTGACCAGTAAGTAAATTCAAGATCTTAAATTTATCCAGTTTAATACCCCTCTAATTGCTCTTAGCTCTTTAACCATTCCAATACAAATCAATTGATATTCAACACACATTATACACAAAATAATAACAACAAAATTCATACAATAACTCAGACGTAAATATAACGTTACATATTTGAAAAATACAATCTTGGAAAATTAATAGGCAAGAAATCATTAAAGGAAATTATTATGTTGAATATTTTGATGGCAGAAGAATTAAAAACTAGTAAAAGTTAATTATCATTTGGTCTTGTATGACATGAGGGATGATAGTAGGACATTTTACAAGAGTAGTGTACTGGGTACTTCATTGTAAGTCTCTAACACTCAAGTTGATGTCTGCTGATTAAACTAGCATTATAGTAAAACGGTTATAAACAGATACATATGGTATGACATGAAGGAAGATTGTAACACATTCTACAATGGTAGGACACTGGGGACTTTACTTCACTGTAAGTCTGTAACATAATACTATAGCAAAAACCATTCATTATAAACCGATACATATGACGGTATGACATGAAGAAAGATGGTAAGACATTTTACAAGAGTCCTGGGTACTTCACTTCACTGTACGTACCACCCAAGTTGATGTCTGCTGATTACCATTATGGTATAGCAAATACCTTTTATAAACCAATACACAAGACGTTCTTGGGAGATGCAGTGAAAACCAGTGAAATTTTCTATAGTCAGATCCAATACTGTCCACTGACTCAATGCCATATTTTTACCTCACTATCACTTTGTTCATTTTAATTTATTGAGGTGACAAAGTCTCAGCCTGTCTTATAACTCATATAAATTAATATACACAATATTTCTCTAACACAAATGAAGACAGTTTGTTCCTGAAAAGTTTATGGTTAATATTTTGATTGAAGAGTTTCTTGGAAGAAGAATTATGGAAGATGTCCATTTTGTCTCTTTCTAACAATTCTACCAGCAACTTTTCACAGAATTGATATACATCAAATTTGTTTTCTAAACAAAACACTTCATAATATATCCACAAACCGAGATTGCAAACTCAACAAATATTCTTTATTATGTGACACATCATTGAAAAAATTTATTTATGTTGACTGTTTATCTTTTAATATCAGGAATTTCCCTACAGTTATTTTGATATCGAGCACCACAGATTTAAGGGGTTTTTTTGTTGACTGTTTCTTTTCTTTTAATATCAGGAATTTCTTTCCCTTTTTTTTTAATATCAGGAACTTAACTACAATTATTCTAATATCGAGCGCCACAGATCTAGTTTTTAAGGCGTGTTGATTGGGAATAACCAGATGTGATGTCCGCTGTAAAAGCTTTAAACCGGTACTCGAGTTCACCACGTTTAACCTTCAACTGTTTGTGCAGTTCTTCAGCCTGAAAGATAAAAATGAACATAACTTTAACTGTGCAATAATACTTAAACTTACCTATCAACAACATTTTGTTCCAATTCTCGAGAATGTGAGCCACTTTTGAGGCTATAGTATATTTTAAGGGGTTTGTGGGTCACGGAGCACTCAAGATGCACTTCTAAATTTAAACTGAAAAGAGAGCTTCGTGATTGCTACTATTTTCCCTACTATGGCATCATGACTGAGTTCAATATTTCCCCCCAAAAAAAACACCCGATTCCCTTTTCATATTTATTAAAATAAAGATGTCCAAAATTAACTGATTATAAAATAACTATTAAAATATAAAAGTATTATAAATATAAAATTCTAATATATAAAAACTACCTAATATAAATAAACTGCTCAAATTTTATTAGTGGAAGGGGCAAAATACATATCACATTTGCCAATCAGGTTGCAGTAGGGTAATTAAATATGGGCAGATTGCATTGATATCTGGACACTGAACGGATACTTATTATGAAGATATATTCATTTCTTTTGTCAGAAACCAATCAGACTTCAGTAACCTTATTAAATGTGCAGATGACATTGATGTTTGAATTTAGATAGGAGATTATGTTTTAAACAAGGTTTATTTATTGTCTACGATATCACCCTTGGCTGAAGGTGGACGTTAAACTCCAGGAAAGAACGAATAAAAAAAATATATATATGGACATTAATCATTGCTTTTTTAACTGGGCAGGTCACTCAAAATGGGTCTCTAATAATTCTAATTATATCTGGAGAGACGGATATTATAAATATAAAACCTATAACTGAACTGATGGAGAAATATCTTTAAACTTCTATTACTATTAAATGTATTAATGTTAGAAATTTTATAATATATAGTTGAGGGGAGCACATGTTTAATTCATATTTAATATCTATGTAGTTACTGGAGGTTTAAAATCTACAATAAATCAAACATTAGATGGGAAATAATTATATATCTAATTGTCAATATCTAAAGGTATAATATACATGTACACATATTATAACATACTGTATTCAATATAATTTCCCTGTGTAGATCTATAAACACCTGTAAATTAAACAATATACTTATTTGTCTTAATTAATATTGTATTATATACCTGTCAATTTAAATCAATCAAATAATACTATACTAGAACTTGAAATCCATGATATATAAAATTCTAAAATGACCAATAGTAAATATTTTAATAATATGATTATCAAGTGTTTAAGCCCAAAGAAATCAAAATTCTATGATAACCAGTAGCAAATATTTTAATATTTTTGTGAAAAAAATGATTACGGTGTCTATATTTTAACTATTTCATATAACCCCAAATAATATGAAATCAAGATATTGACATCAATGATAAATTTAAATCTATGATGTTCATTGTATATAATTTTATGAAAATATCTAAATGATTACAGCCAAAATAATGTGGACCAACTGTATCAAACATGAAATTACTGGATTCTGCTAAAAAAAAAATTACTGAAGATAAGAAATTAAATTTGTTTCTAAAATTTAAATAGTCATAATTTTTACCTCACACAATCTGATAATTACAGTGACCAAAATGCATAAACACCAGAAAAAAAAACCCAAAGTGCCAATATTAAAACAATATATTATATTATAACTATCACAACCTACGGTTCAACCATTTAACACAGCAATCAAAACTTCTATAGCCTCATTAATTAAAATACAGATTTATCTTTCAGTGGGAAAGGCAAGGATTGGAGTTTAATCGATCATCACAACACTTTGGTATTATAAAACTAACAAACAATTTTTTTTTTCCTATGGCCAGGCCCTCTGTCCTGCACAATTGACAGGGGGGAAACCACGCCAAAAAATCCTGATGAACTTTTTCGGCCAACACCGGGAGCGAACCTGCGACCCCCCAGGCTAGCAAGCCAACATCTTATTTACATAGCCATCGTGGCTCCCCCAAGCCAATAGAAGCAATTACTTTAATGTGAAGGCAATTAATCAACACAAATTAAGGTATAAGCTGAGATCTAGACAAAAGGTCATGTTTTTCACTACACGTTCACTCAGACCATTTAGATGATATTAATATTAGACCTTCAATAATATGATACTTCATACTTGTATAAAATCTGTATTTCAATTAGAATGGCAATCAACACTGCAAAACATCTAGACTATTCCAAAACTCAACTCTGACTGACCTCTAACTACCAAATCTAACTTACCACCATGAAGATTATATGAGAAGAGAACTTTTAACTCGTGAACGAGATGCTTAGAGAAAAAAATTGAAAGTTATTAATATAGCATTTACATGTTATAACAAGAGACCAATTTCTCCATTGGTTTACTATTTTCACCTCAACACCTTAAAGGCAGGCAGTTTGACATTCTATTAAACTGTTTTCGATAGATCAGATTCCAGTGTATATAAAACGAAAATTTTTACTTGGAGCTAATTACCAGTTGGTATTCATGTGTTTTTCTAAGTAGGCGTTCAAAAAATGTTGGTTTTGACTTGTATGCTTATTATTTTTATTTCTAAATTGGTGTTCTCAAAACACTGGCTTTGTATTTTAAATATTTTTCTACATAGGTGTTCTAAAAACACTTGATTTGTATGCATTACATGTATGTTTGTACTGCCATTTTTGCATCAAATGAACTGGACAAATTGGTCGAATTAGAACTATAATTACAGTTACTTTACAATTTTTGAAATTAAAAGGTAATATTATTTATCAATATAAGAGAAGACATTATAAATGTATATTATTATTAAGTCTAAGTTGAAATAAATCTAATATTATTATTAATATAAAAGTATTGAAATTATTAGTTGTAATGTCAGGGCTAAGATTTCAAAATTGTGGTGGTGGAATGAAATTGCACAGATTATGAAGACATTACTAACTGAATTAATTATGTCTTAAATTTAAATTCTGTGTGATATCTTACCATATGACATGTAAATTGTTGGACAGGTAAATCATCAAGCTGGTCAATTTGACCAGTAGCACAATTTATCCAAACTACCATTATTTCAACCCAATAATTTGTATATCTGTATTTGATAACATACTGTTCTTTAGGGCAAATTGTCTTTTTTAAATTTAAAATCATAACATTTTTGATTCAAAAATGTGCCTCAAAATGCAATTTCCAAGCAAGCGATATTGTGCAATACATGGGTTATGTCCCTTAGTTGCAACTTCCAAACATGCTTGGAAATCGCATTTTGAGGGGGAATTTTGGCTCAAAAACGTTGTGATTTTAAATTAAAAATGACAATTTGGCATAAAGAACAGTGTATTATCAAATATGGCTATAAATTACTGTGATATGAGTTAAAATAACAGTGGATTTGGTTACAACTTCCAAACTTGCTTGGAAATTGCATTTTTAGGGGCATTTTGACATAATAACTTTACGATTGTAAATTGAAAATGACAATTTGGCATAAAGAACAGTTTATTATCAAAAATTTATATAAATTATTGTCTTTGTGTAAATTTGGGTGGATTTGGGTAGATTTGTGTAGATTTGGGTAAATTGTGCTATCCCAAGTTCAATGCCAGTTAGTGAAATATGACTGAAACTGGAACCGTGGGTCCTAGTGGGAATCGATTCAAGATGAATTTCAACACTGTTCACAATTTCAATGTTATAATTTTATATGTTAATTAATATAAGACTACCCTAATAATAGTAGTATATATTCACAGCAAAATAATGTTAATCACACACTCGAAAGAATTAGGGGGTTTTCACAAGGGGGTTTTAACTATACTTTTAGAAGAAGAAAAATCTAACTTAGTATTCTTCTATTGTTATATTATATACTATTTGTTTCCCCTCATAAAAGTACCATGAACAGATAGTCTGTAAAATTTAAATTGTCAAAGCCATATTCTTACACCTTAAAGAGAGAGGAATTAGCATTATGGAGATTTTTTCTAGGCGATTAAAACAATAAAACCTTTTTGATTATAAATCAAATAAATTGGGATTTTAACATCATAATTTTTTATTTTTTGCACCAACCAGACTAATGAAGACAAATGTGTTCATTAAGATACAGCTGTACACAATTTAAAATTGTTTTCAAAGAGTGTATTAAATGTTTATTCCTTAAGGGGATCCACAGTGACTAAGTGGGTAAGACACTGACGTGCTAGCCTGGAAGTCACGCGTTCGCTCCCAATGTTGGCCGAGAAAGTTCATCAGGATTTTCTGGCATGGTTTCCCCTTGTCATTGGTGCAGGACAGAGGGCCTGACAATTTCCCTTATAGCACACTGCATGCTGTATTGCCTGTCTTCATTAGCCCAGTAGGAGCAGAACAGTAAGATAGATGTTAACTTAAACCCCATTTTATTTCATTTCATTTATCCCTTTAGCCCTAAATTTACGCCTCTTTAAATTTAAATTTGAGGATTAGACAAACATGTAGATCATTTTCCAACAAAATTGGCTAGATTATAAAGGTTAATACAAATGTTAGAAGTACCATCACCAGATATATATAATGTTTAGTATTTTCAGACTTTTCTGTTGGGAATGAATAACAAATAATCAACACAACCTTCAAAGTGAAATTGTGACCTTTTGGTCCATAGTGCACAGGTTAGAACAAATTCTGAAGATTGATTTAATTATTTGAATTAATCATTCCCTTCTTATCAAACAAGATGCATTACAATATTTTTGGACCATGAACTGGTCCCCAAGTACAACTTATCTTGTTAGGAACGATGCTGTGCGTAAAAAAGCCTAAGGCCTTATGGTAGTATGTTTGATATGAAACTTGCCATGATTGTTCCTTGGACAGTTGAGCACTGATAGACTTCGATTTTTGCTATGACATCATATTTGCAAGATGGGGTGATGATTTCATGCTCAGTTCCTGGTCCATACTAGAAAATGAATTGGGGTTTAACGTCCTATTGTTCTGCTCCAACTGGGCTAACTGCCAAAAATTCTTTTACATGCATACCAATGTGAACATAGGAACCCAGTTTTTCGTACCATCCGAAAAACTATACGTTGTCCCTTGCCAGACTCTCCGTCCTGCACCACCTGACAAGGGGGGAACCATGCCTCAAAATCTCTATGAACTTTCTCAGCCAACGCAGGGATCGAACACTGGACCTCCAGGTTAGTGAGCCAAGATCTAACCCACTGAGCCACCATGGCTCCCCGGTGCATACTAGGGTCATATTTGTTTAAGTCAGGACTGCAAAAATACACGCAGGATTTATTTATTGATCATAGTAGAAAAGTAATTTTCTACCTTGATCAGAATAAAATATTCCGAAAATAATGGATATTGAAATGTTGGGAAGATGAAGCTATGTTAATACTCTTTAATAAGGATATTGGACCTGTTTCACTAAATATCACAAGTAAAAAAATCTTACTAATGTACACCTCTCTTAAATTGTATTTCAGTATGATTTATATACATATGGTTTAGTGAATCAGATATTTTCCCTTTCTGATTATAACTATCACTTGTCTTGAACTTCATTGTATTTCTTATAAAATATTGTAATGCAAGCTTGTGGAGATCTTCACAATCTCAAGTTACTACAGCACAGACTAAGACCTTTACTACATTAGCTGACTATTTAGGTTAAGGAAATTTATCTGAAACAACATGCACACTCACTAACTGCGCCATTCACGGCATCCAAACAAATCATTGCATATGGATGCACTGAGTCTCCGAACCTAATCATTTTTCTTGTTCTTTCAATCCAGACATACCTCAAGACTTTCAAATGTAATACTGAGTCGGCTAATGCTGTCCAGGTATTGTAATGACTTAACATTGTGAAGATGCAATTTTTAAAGTGAATATATCTCTAATAATATGGTGATGATTTGTCTACAGAATAGATATAGATTGATTAATATTAGTAACTAAAACTATAGAGGTAAAGAAATGAAATGATTAATCTGAATATATCAAAGCACCTGATGTCCAAGTCTTTAGCTCCTGATATCGTCTTATCAAGTCTTTCTGTAGGAACTTCACCTATGACACAGTATGTAAGTTGAAGTAAACAAAGCTAAAACAAACTTATCATAAACTACTCTAGTCTACTATAAAGATATCTTAGTAACAAGTTTGTTTACCATAGTAACTCGTACATTGTATTCAAAGTTTTCTTATTTATGTAAAGTTAACATTGTAAATGTTTTATAAAGACTATTACTATTATGAACTGTTGGTATTCTACCACTTTTCTGATATGACGATTCTTAGGTAAGGATTTAAAAAAAACAATCAAAGCTAATACCTTTAATATTTGAAGAAATTCAATAGATTTATCGAAAATTTTGATGATCCAAGATAGCTTACAGATTTATCCCGAAAAAAATCGCAATCAAAGCCTTATATTATAAATAATTTAATTAATTTTAATAATTTATTGAGAATTCTAATGATCCAAGATAGTAAAAAATTTTATCCCAAACTATTACAACTAATAAAGTTTTATCGCTAGGTATTTTCTACATGGGTAAGTAGTAAATATGTTGACTATTATATCCTGCTTGTTATCACAACAAAATTTCCAATTAATGGTTTTTAAAATACAGATGTGACGTCATCCTTTGATGTTGGAGTACCATTATTTCAAATAATCGTACGGGCAATGTGCCAAGCGTAACTTGGTAAAATATTGAACTCGAGTGACGTATTTCATTGCAAAGCATGTGCAAGTGTCTGTATTTTAAGTTGTTTAATGGTCTCGAGCTTAAGACATTGCGTAATATATTGTAAAAACATTCGGGCCTCACAGCCCTCATGTTGTTACAATATATTACTTAACGTCTCGCTCTCGACCATTAAACAATACATAATTCACCATTAGAAACATTTGTCAATTGGGTGAGGCAGTCACAAATTTTCAGGCAATTATTGTATTTTTTGGACATTAGGCCTCCAATTCAAACAAGAATCTTCAAGGCTAATAATCCAATCCATAGTATCAAGAATCAGACAAATGTCATCAATAAGAATATCCTTCCAAAAGTATAACAGTTCAGTTACTTATTTATATTCATCTATACTGAAGATTGGCAAAACTAGAGAAATTCAGGTACACAAAACAATGCTTCTGCCCCCCAATTAAATATTCCTGTACTGAATTGACTTTAAGATATTAGCTAATTTAAAGGATTTGTGAAGACAAACCATCTTATTTAATCTGATAATAATAGTAACTAAAAGGTGATCATATATTTTATCTAGACTCAGAATACCATTCAACATTAATATCCTGACAAATCAGGTCAATGGATGGTTGATTTCTTAAAATGGTGAAAAGTTTGACCCTGGTAAGCTGATTCCATTTTTAAGCTAACTCATAGGGTGACTGTATTTCAACAGTAATTAACATTTAGGTAAACACGTATGTTAAACTAGATATACAGTATTAGCCTCAGCAGAACATTTAGATGCCTTTTATTATCAAAGGCATCACAATTTTGTAAATAAAAGTAGAATGGAAAGTTATAAGAGATACCACAGAAATTATACATATTCAAAGAAAAGATCATGCAATAAATAAAAAAAAAATAAACAAATAACAATTAAACTCACTATAGCTAATTCTTTCTTGGCAGCCTCCATTTCCTCTTGTGGTGAACCTTTTGGTTGTTTTCGTCGTTCTAACATCTGTGATGAATGTTCTTTAATTTTTTTCTCTAATTCTTTGATTCTAGCCGTCCTAAAAATACACATCATTCATGTAATATATTCACTCTGAATTACATGTATTCGAAAACTTAGAATGTCTCTTTTACATCAATAAAAAATGAAGCCATTTCTAACAAATCTGATTAAAATACATTGATAAATTCAGTTTGATCTTTTCATTGATGACTTCATCTGCATGTAGATCTGACTGTATTTTGATAAAGGTCAGGTCAATTAGCATTTATTTTTAGTCCGAGGTGAAATAAAACAAAATGAAATGGGGTTTAACATCCTACTTTTCTGCACCGACTGGGCTAATGATGGAAGGTAGATTATAAAATAGTTAATAAAACATTGGCTAGTTTTAATGTTTTTCATCCACATCCATTCAAGATAACTTCATTTTATAGCACTCAAGGGTCTAATTGTCAAAATAAATAAAACAGTGACTCGTTTACAAGATTTTCTAATATCTGCTCAAATTTAAAAATTGCATTTTCACTCAGTCAACTGAAGAAAGACAGGGAGACAGAAATGGATTTTAACATCCATTTGACACAAATTAGATCATTTTGGGACTAACACGATTTTATTTCAATAATTCTCTATTGCGGAGGGGTCTTTAAGTAGAAGGAAACCTGAGAACCCTACTCCTTGTCATATCCAGGGGGAAATCGAGACCACGTCACTTGACTCAATGACAGATAATATGATTTAAAGCGCCCACATTAAACCATTAGGTCACCTCACTTCCCCAAAATGGAATAAACATTTCTCGGACAGATTATTACAATCATTACAACCATAACTAGAATAATATATAAATAAGTTGAATTATTACTTCTCTGCTTCTATTCTCTGTTTAGTACCAGGTGATATTGGACGTCGTATCTTTTCATGAGCAACTTTTACATCAGCCTGAATTGGAAAAAAAAACCAATATCAATCATTTTACAATGTAAGTATATATATTTCTGTTAAAGATACATTAGTTAAGAGCTAAATCTGATTATTGCAAGTCTTTCTTTAGGCTTCAGATTTTATATAAATTATTAATTAGACCTTTATTTACATGACAAGCTCAAAATCAACTCTGTAGACCCTCGGATGACTTGGATACAGCTTGGATTTAAACAGTCGTTCATTTAATAATGTCTGTTTACTGTTAGTCACCAACGTCACCACCGGTAACTGCCGATGAAAGTTCTGCCAATCGAGGGTACCGAAGCCATTGAGAATGTTACTTGATAATCGAGAATATGTGGGTGGAGTTATCATCTGTCAATCAAATGATCGGCAATTTTCCGTGCGAGACAGTTAATGCCTATTTCTAGTCAAAACTTCCAACAGTGACAACGATGTTAAAATTTCAAAAAAGTAATTTTACTGAAATTTTCAATATTTTTTTTTTTTTATCATCTATTTTTGAGTTATTATAACAAGAATGGCCATCTCTTTATTTAACCTTTAACTAATGTATCTTTAACTAAGGAGGGCAAAGTCTATAATAACTTAAACATTCTCTGTTTAACTTGTATCTTTTTTTCCAAAATTAATTATTATCATAACTTTATAATCATACATGTATATTACTCATCAAAAATAAAATATTTGATATCCTTTTAAAGCATAAGGTTAATATATGATAACTGACCTTAATTCTCTCTTCTTTAGACATAACTTTAATATGATCTTTTTCTATTGCAAATGGGGCCTTTGTTACAGGATCTTCAAAATCTGAGATAATAAAATATATAGAATAGAAATTATTTTATCACATGTTGTATTGTTTTTCCTATTGGTCTCAATTTTAAATTTACATTTCATTTAATGGGGCTTGGTGTCCACTTGATAATCACAAGGTCATTACAAGAATTTGCATGTATGTTTAAGGACAATATTGGTGCCAGTCATTATCACATATGTAATAGAGCTGGTTAAACACATTCCAAATATAATTTTAACACAGAGATCATTGCTACGATAGCACCAATATTGACTGGCACCAATATTGTCCTTTAAGGGTCTTCAGAAATGGGAAAAACCAAAATTCCTGAAGAACATCAATGAAGTGAGGTTGGCAAGTCTACTTCCTTATCACATACAAACCCTTGAATGAACCCATGACTTGTATCAATAACAGGACTTAAGATCTACAGTACACACGTTAGACCACTCAGCGGTTTTCTTTTTTCACTATATTTTGTGTGTTGATAACAGTTGTCAGTTTACAAATCAAAACATCCATTTATTCGTTCATTTGATTAACTCACCACCCTATGACAAAAGTTATGTATGTGCTAAAATAAACAGAAAATAAAGAGAGTATTTAAGTTATCGCACCTATGTTACCAGTATGTAAAACATGTATATATTTCTTCTGTTGTAATTTTTTACTTTCATCTCTCCAATCTTTTAACAATTGTTCATCCCTATAATAACATTAAATCATCATTTTATATAATACTGATTGGGGTCATGTCATCATATTAGCGATCGTCAAAGGTCACACATAACAATTACAAATTTTAGTGACAGGTCGGTTGAGGTGATAGGTTGTCTGGATAAAGTGATTCCATGTAGAATTTTCATCAGTTGAGAATTCTAATATTAACCCTATTTCTTGGCTTGTGTGAAATTATGACCTTCCAAACCAGTCTGAAAATAGACTTTCACTCCCTTGTCCAAAAGCTGGGAACCACAGTGATAAAGATTCTCCAACCTTGTCCTAAATCAGGGTGCCATTGTGAAAATAGACTCTCAGTCTCACTCCCTTGTCCTAAAACAAGGTGCCACTGCATATCCTTTCTACAGAAAAGAAAATGGTTAGATCAAAATTCATATATCATGGGTGTAGTGTATCGAGCACAAATTAAATATCATGGTTGTAGTGTATTGTAAATAATGAGAATCAAGCACAAATCAAATATCATGGTTGTAGTGTATTGTAAATAATGAGAATCAAGCACAAATCAAATATCATGGTTGTAGTGTATTGTAAATAATGAGAATCAAGCACAAATTAAATGGTTGAAGTGTATTGTAAATAATGAAAATTTTAGAGACAGATAACTGAATCTATAAATCATTCAAACCTCCTTCTCTGTAATATCGCATCTTGTCTTTCTTTGAATTCTTTAACTTTAGCCATTTTTCTTTCTTCTGCCATCTTAATATCAACAAAATCATGAGCAGGTGGTTCTGGATACTGATTTACTCGCCAATTCTTCACATTTTCTTTAACAGGCTTTTTGTGACTGGAAAAACAACATTCAGTTAATTTCATTGTATACACTGCTCTATGTTCTATTTCAAACTAAACCTGGTCATTTAGACTAAAACAAATGAACGTAGGTATAACTATAATATTAATAAAACATCACCATCCTTTTTCATGCTATATTACAGTGCTTGAAACAAAAAGAATAAATGCAAATAGAACAATAATCCTTTAAATTTGAAGAAAATAAAAACTGCTATGAAATCACTCATCTAAGCTTTTGATAACATACTTAGGAGAACTTTTTCCCTCCCAAAATATTTGTATAGGATCACATAGTGTTTTTGTGTTTACCCCACTGCTTTGCTATATATGATGTCGGGCTTCCTGGAATAGATTCTTACTAGGTGGAGAAACCATCATGAGGACAGCTATTTGATAATGTAAGACACTTAATAAGAGGCTCTCTCAAGTAACTTTCAGAGCAAGAGCTACCTACTTTCCTTTTGTTTCAAGCACTACAATTTTTCAGGAAGGATGAGCTAAATAGCTAATAACAGTTACAAATTTTTTATTAGTTATTTAAATATAAAGCTACAGTTAGGATTAAAAATGAAGAACATACATGCTATTATTTCAAATTTTTCAATTACAAATTAGTAATACAACAAAAGTGTTAACATTTAAAAATTTAATTCGGGTTGTTACTACTTGTTAGGTTAGGAAAGCAAGTTATATATTATATACTCAGAGCTTTCATTTCACTCATTATATGCCAGCCCTGACAGAGAGGGAGAGATGGGGTTAAATGTCCACTCCCAACAAAAAGGTCATTTTGAGACTAATATATGATCCATATATGGAGTCTTTAGCAATGGGAAGGAAACAGGGGAACCAGAGAAACCTATGAGGTGGGACGAACGACCCTACTCCTTATCATGTACAAGTATAGGATTGAAACCATGCCACTTGACTCAATGACAGACCTTATGATCTAAAGCGCAAGTTAGACCACAAACTTACATTTTATTTGCAATCAATAAAATTATATGTATCTTATATAATTGAAAACACCATCAAATTTGTAATTTTCTTCCTAAAAATAATCAAAGCCATAGCAAAATTTTACCCAATTTGATTAATCGGAGGTAAATACCAGCGGCTGCCAGGCAGGATATGCCCACATTTTCGAGAGATGGATAGAGAACAAGCTAAAAAGAAAGTGATTTTTCCTACAATCAAGGGCCATAATTCAGGAAATTACAATTCGATATGCGCAAATATCGAAAGGAACCGAGATCTTTGGGTTATAAACTTACATTTCAAGTTTCATCAGAATAGGATTAAAATTGTGACCTCTATAGGGTCCACAACCTTGATATACCATATTTTTACACTATTTAAAAACGAACAGCGGCCATTTTGTCTGTCAGTTTTGGGTCGATTTTCACGAAATTCGAACTCAGCCATCCTTAGGGTTTAACGGTGATAATAATACGTTTTTTTAAATCGGATAAAAATTATGACCTCTATAGGGTCCACAAGCTAAAAACGCGATTTTTCGTAAAATCAGGGGCCATAATTCAGGAAGTAACGTTCCAATATGCACGAATATCGAAAGGAACTGAGATCTTTGGGTTATAAACTTACATTTCAAGTTTTAACAAAATTGGATAAAAATTGTGACCTCTATAGGGTCCACAAGCTAAAAACGTGATTTTTCGTAAAATCAGGGGCCATAATCCATGAAGTTACAGTCCGATACATGCCAATATCGAAAGGAACCGAGATCTTAGGGTGAAAAACCTATATTTCAAGTTTCATTGAAATCGGATAAAAATTATGACCTGTAGACTGTTCACAAACAATTGTGGACGGACGGATGGACAGGGGCGACGACAATATACGTCCACATGAAAATGTGGGCGTATAAAAATCTGTGACTGGCTGGCTAAATATTGAATTGAGAGCAGTGTTATATATATCCTAATATACCTGTTAGAATGTAGTGCTAGATTACCACTGTAGTTTGCTAGTTTAATCTTTTTTTTTCTTCTACGTCGATTTAACATGTGTCTTCTAAATAATTGACTAATAATATAAGAGTTAGTGTTAGTGCAATACGTAGTGTATTATATCTTGGTAAAACCACGACCACAAACATAAAATTACCAAGAACGGTTCATTATTATCTGAAATGAAATCCTGTGGGTTAATTTTTATTTTTCTCTTGGACCTCAGCTTTTCGTTTCATCCCAAAGACTACACACTTTTTCCTATCAGGCCCTCTGACCTGCATCACTGACAAGGGAAACAGCAACCTCAAAAATCCAAAGAAAATTTCTCAGTCAACACTGGGATCGAATCTGGACCCTCATACTCGCTGAGTCACTGTGCCATCACATGTAGGACAAGTAGACATGTCTCCGTACTACACTACTCTGAACCGCACTGTACTATCAGTGAACAGTGACAGTCGTCAAATAGAGATTTATCAATAATAACGCCATTTAACCAAGTGATGATGATAATACGGTGGTAATGTTAAGCTATGGATCGTGGTTTTACCAATAAAGGCGTGTTTCTGCTGACCTCTAATAGAGATTTATTAATAACATCATTCAATCAAGCGATGATGATAATATGGTAGTAACGTTAAGCTATGGATCGTGGTTTTACCAATAAAGGCGTGTTAGTGCTGACCTCTAATAGAGATTTATTAATAACATCATTCGAGCAAGCGATGATGATAATACGGTAGTAATGTTAAGCTATGGATCGTGGTTTTACCAATAAAGGCGTGTTAATAGTGCTGATAATTTACATGTTAATATACAGAACATAAGAGTATATCTACTACTACCATGTATTTCATTGGAGATCACTTGTCTTAGATAAACTTGTAAGCTAATTAAGATGGCTTTTGCTGTCTTGATAGATAATCACATTAATAAAAGATACATTTTCCAGAGCATTTATTTTTTGTCAAGTAGATTAACTGATCAAGCAAGCATTCCACCATTTTTTGTTAAGTAGATGAACTCTTGTATCTGTGTGCCACATCAAGGAAGCATTCCACCATTTTCAAGTGAAAAGTGCATGCAATCTATTCCCACGGAATAAGAATACCTTTACATGTAACCTTAAACTTTACTCAAAGGCTTTAAGATCACACGTGTTTGTGTTCACTGCTGGAATCATCTAATTAAAAGCTTCATGCATGAAAACATACCTAACTTAAAATATTTCCAGGCCTCAGCCTTTGCAGAATCCTGAACCTATAATTTTAGTACAGAATTTGAAAATGAAAAGACCGAACCCCTAGAATATTTTAGGTTAAGTTTGTGTGAAAAGATAGCATTTATTAAATCTCTACATATTAAAGTGCAATGCATCTAAATTTATATTTATATTTATTAAAGTACTGGATTTAAGATTTTGAGAATATTCATTTCACTGATGGCTTAAAATCATTACCGTATTCGTCTTTTTATCTTTTTTAACGGCTGAGAAAAAATTGTTTCCAGATAAACAATTCATGGCAAATTATTCATGAATAGATTAATCATAACGCTAATATTTTAGTCACAGCACATCTGTTGGTAAATTTAGTAAAAGGTCATAAATTTGCCTGCAATAAATGTGGGTCGCTTCATAATTTCTTATACGAGACCAACAGAGGAGAGTTAAAACAAATATCTAATTTCCACGTCAATCATAATAACCCCACAGCAAGTCAAAAGTAAATTTAGTTAAAGGTCATAAATTTGTACGCAATAAATATGGGTCGATGGGAGGAGACGGAGAGAGTAAAAACAAATCTAGTTACACATCAATAAGAATCATCCCACAACAAGTCAAATTAAACGAAGCATTATTCAAGCTAATATCTTTAATTATACTAAAACCAGTGCACACCTCAATTTACCTGTAATACGCACACCTGACGCTGAATGTCTGAATGAAGATAATTAAGCTTTAACCATTGAATTCTTATAAAAATATTTCAAAAGGAGCATGACTGCTCTGATTTAGATCTCCACAAAATATGATTTTGAATTCAATTAATGTTATGGGTTATACTGTTACGTCAAAGAGTCAAACCCTAAACCATTAAATTTCAAGTTAGCTGACATTGATCTATTTACAATTTTTCGCTTTGTGTTTGACTTAATCTGTCATCTGTTGGACACAAAACACGATATATCTCAACTCAGACTTCATCTACTGATGCTTATTTTTCTTTAACAATGTCAAATTTTTGCCAAGGCCAATCGGCACATAAAATTCAATTGATTATCATTTATCATTTCTTTACCCAAATTTAATAAGTTTTGTCGTTTTAAGATAGATAAGTCGTAAAATTCTATTTAGGTGCAATTCTTTGTGTTAAGTCAAAATTTGAAAAAACGGTAGGCAAATTACAATCTTTTTGAGGTTTTATGAAAGTGAATTAATCTAATTACAAATAAACAATTCATATTCATGGTGAAGCTTTACAGCAAACAGAAGCACAACTTGTTAAATTACAACGGTGTATCCATGAGTACGTCGTTAAATGTCTAAGTGTAGAGATGTCTATATTGTACCTGTCTATAGTTCCCAATGCACCAGCCTTTTTTAATCTCGCAAACTGTTCTTGTTTTCTATCAGAGTAACTGACTGGTCGATGTAATTCAGCAGACTGAGGAACTGGACCACCCAAATCTTTTCTACTAGGATTTTGTTCCTGATAAGTTGAGTCTCGACTCTTCAGATTGGATCTATCCCGTGTATAACCAGTCATCCAATCATCATCACTTTGATCAGAATCTAACTCATCATAGTTCGGAATATCATCATCAAATTCTAAAAGAGAAAAAAAAAAAAAATTCTGACGAACTCAATCAACAAAACTGATACAAAAATTATTCTTTGTATAAGTCAATCAGGTCACCAACTTATTATAGTAGGGTGACCCACCATAAATAAATATCTCCATATATCTCCATATATCTCGACAATTACGCCACAATATTTATATATATGCGAAGCCTCAAATCAGTTTCACACAATTATAGTCACTAAATAAACGATCATGTTGTACTTAATAAGCTATGACCATTAATCATCTATAAATAATAGACTGAAAACTGGTTCCAAGTGTCGTCCATAACATCCAGACACTTTTGAGTAAAAGATAGGTTACGTGCCCTTGTTTTGAAATTAGTCTCGCTTAACCAGTCTATCGACCATTCTACGTCTGATTGACAGGTCGGGATAATCAAGACTACTTTTTTACGAAACATAACAGAAAGCTAGAACAAGAAATTGAATTTAGAAATAAGCACGTTAGGTAGCTCAACAATCGTTTTACGAACCTTGTAAAAGTAAAATGAAACTACTGCTAGTATCATGTTCCTGTCTAACCCGAGTGATTCAGAGATATTATTTGTACTAAACCAAAAGACGCCGCTCTTAACGGTACAGTTAATGATAAAGCGATTTAAAAAATGAAACGAACGTAATTTCTAAATCTGCTGTAATAACCAAGCAACTTAATTTCACTGCTATTCAAAACCGTCAACAATAAATTATTTACGGCTGTAATAGTTGATAGATTTGTAGAGAATTGCACGTGCCATGGCTATTTATAGTATCATACTATCAGAAAGTTGGTCTCGGCACGGCGAATGTGTACTCTTCAGTGGTAGTCTCGAACTATCAGCGGTGGACTTTATTTCTGTAGAGTACATGGGCCACCCTAATTATAGCACTCCACTTTGATTGAACATTATTTCCTCATTTAGTACTAAAACATTTATATATTGTCATTGCCTGATAAAAGAATAGAGAAGCCTAGTCGAAAAGTCGTTGAGTAATAATAAGCAGTAATTGTATTGCATAGAATTGTGAACAATGTACTTATAGTTATGGCTCCCTGATGCATTCAAAACACTGCTCTATTCTCAAACTAGAAAGATTATTAAGTCTGAGTTTTGAAGCCATCTACATGTACTATCATAAATTCTGTCATATATATGTCTCTATGGTACTAACTAGTCCAACATATGTCTTATCTAATTCATGCGTATACTCCTCAACGTAATTTATGATCCCAAGGTAGTCCCAAATTCAACCTTCAGACTTTTTGATACAAATCTTTCTGGTTCAGTGCTCCTAATCTATGGAATTCCGTACCATTAAGTGTAAAGTCTTTTCCTTCACTGGAATCATTCAAATTATTAAGATTAAAGACTCATCTGTTTATGTGAACACAGTTGTATTTGTCCAAATATACTGTTGTGTAAATAGTGAAAGATATAGTGTGCATAGTGTTTTGTGCCTTGAGCATGTATAAGCGCACATCTATGGAAATATGCACATTATAAATACACACTATTATTATTATTACCATAGTATATAATGTTAATATAGGATTTACCTCCATATGAATTTGACGAAACCTTAGCTTGAAGCATCTCATAGAGAAATTTTAAAATTTCTTGTGTTCCTCTCTCCATTATTTCACTTGGAGGAAACTCCAGTGGATTGTTGCTGCTATTTAAACCAGAAAGTGACTTCACTAAACCTACAAGTAAGTAGACAATACAAAAGTAAAATATCAATTGCTTGACATAAGAACATCACATGTAAATGATTTGTAACGTCTTCCTTCTAGATAAAGAATACACTGTCTCTTGTATGAAATTTGTCAATACTTATTATAGCTAATTGAAGTAGCATAGGACAATAAAAACAATTCATATTATTCAATTAACAAATGAAATGGGGTTTAACGTCCTACAGTTCTGCTCCTATATTGGGCTAATGAAGACGGGCATATGCCATACAGTGTGCTATGAGGGAAATTTTGCCCGGGCAGCGGCACTATCGCCTACTCTTATATCGAATTCCAACTGCCAAGGAATCTTTAATGTGCCTTCCAATGTATGTATACACAGAACCTCGGTTTTTCGTCTCATCCGAAGGACTAGAAAGGATTGGCAGCTTTTTCTTTAAATTCTGCACGACATCTTTTTGAACATGCCTGATTTAACTTGACAGTCAGCTGAGATCAAATCAAAAATTATTCTTCACTGATGATGACTCTGCAACTTACCAAGTTCCAAAGGTAAACTCTTCAAATTGTTGAACTCCAGTAGAAGATTTCTTAAATTTTGATGTCGACCAAGGTAAACACTAGGTAATCTTGTTAGCTGATTTCTTCTTAAGTCCAGCCATTTTAGATTTGGAAGACAATCAAAAAACTCATCAGGAAGAAAAGACAATTCATTTCCTTCAAGATAAAGATGCTGAAATAGTAAAAAAATAAACAATATATTGTGCTTGTCAGTAATATAGACTAGTATTAGTATTATTAACTTTCCTGAAAAGGTATATTAAATAAGACCAGACCAGAGTCACTTTTGGAGAGATTCTAGGCAAATATTGTCTCAATTGAGTCATAAAATTACATTTTTACTTTGTCTAATTTCTTAGTGTATATGCAATTACAGATTCTTAACTATCATTCCATCCGTTTTCATTGACATTCTTCATTTTATATTTGTTTTGATGTTGATCTATCATACATACAGATTGTGTACGGTGCTGTGCAGCAAAATGGCAACCATGGCCACAGTGGGCAAGACTCTCCCTATACTATAACCTTATAAGGCTCTAGTGCAGACATTACAACACTGTTAAATGAAAGGGTAATTCCATGCCCAATAAAGAGTAATAATATTACATCTAATAATATTAATTTTATTCACACAGAAGAATCAAATAATTAAAATAGTTCTTATTCCATTAACTGTCTTTCATGTTAACTATACGCTTACAGACATTATCAATTTTTTTTTTTTTTAAGCTTATAAAATATATAACAATTCAAATTCATTATTCCTACCATTTGACTGACAGCCTTTAAATCATAGAAATTAATTCTTCACAATAAATAAAATAGAAACAAATAAACTGAAGTACCGTACCATAAAATTTATAGATCTTTTCAGTACTAATATTTTTGGAAATAGCACAGTACAAATCAAATTACTGGTGAAAACTCCTAAGCCGATACATTATGACACCCAATACAAATCATGCCAATAAGCTTTACCCATGTCTGATTTAACTTTAAGGGCAAATGATGTCACAAAAATTCCCACTACCTTCTTTACCACTTTACATAATACAGTTGAGAAAGGTGAGAGAGAGAGAAATGGGGTTTAACGTCCACTCGACACAAACTAGGTCATTTTGGGACTAACATATGGTTTACTTTTATTTCAATAATTTGCTTGCGTGTAGGGGTCTTTAGCAGTGGGAGGAAACCGGAGGACCCGGAGAAAACCCATGGGGCTGGACAGGCGACCCTACTCTTTGTCACGTACAACCAGGGATTCGAAATGATCTGTACATGATCATGACTGACTCAGAATCAGATAATATAGAATATAGTCCTATCTGCCTAAATATTATATTTAATTAAATATTAGATTTCATTTTTAACAGAAATGTTTACCTCTAATGTTGGCATTTGTAAGATTTCTTCTGGTATCTGCAGAAGACCTTTATTGCTCAGATCAAGTGTATTTGAACCTAAAGCAACCGACTTTCTTATTTCTTTCAGAATTACATCTTCTTGCCGTTTGCAGGAGGCAAAACCCCTATCGGCAGGAGTACCCTCCCTTGAATCGAGTTTCAGCCCATCTAGTTCACTTGACATCGAATCTAGCGACTTATCAATGTCGTTAGAACCCGCATCACCCCCTTCCATCATTTCTACGGTTTTATCAATAAAATAACGCTATATAGTACAAATATTCTAGGTTTATCTTCTCTTGTAGACCTACATTAAAAACAAAATCAAAAATATCTTTCACTTCGAACATTCCAAAAATGGCTACAGATAAACATCCGGTCAACGCGTTACCCAGGTAACAAGATAACATGATTTGATCACATGACTTAAACATGTGACACCAATATTTACAAAATAGATTTATGTTAATAATATCACGTGGTACCTGCTGCAAATGACTATTCCCATTCAGTACTGTACAATTCTAGAGTAGAGTAGTCGAATCAGTGGAAGAGAATGTGCGTGAGATATTCGCATGTGCTTCTTTACTACTGATATTGACTGCGATTATTGGCGTGAGTTGATCGGGTTATTTGGTTTAATAAGGAATAAAAGCACCCGTGATGACGATGAATTTATTTGACACGAAATGTGTAGACGGATTCTTATACAAAACAAGCTGAGAATAACAATTAACATCCTGATGAGCTTTCTAACTCTTAATTGTTGACATGGTTTTCGCTTATATCGGTTTATTTTGTAGTCTTATATGAATATAACAATACATTATATTGGAAAGGATGTGTCATAACAACGACATTTTATTATCATCGTATTCAGATCTGTTTTTGTCTCTGGATATTCAAAGAGTTTTACTTGTATAAGGATATTGACTACATAAACTTTTTACAGCATTTCTCATCATGGGAGCTGGACATTCTGCTCGTCGGGACTCATTTGATGTCAACGGGGAAGGTAAATATCTAATTGCTTTGACTTAATTACACAGACCCATTGTTATGACAGCTGATCATTTATAATTTCTCCCAAGGATTATTAATTCAAACAAGGAAATTTTTTTAGTTAACAAAGCCAACGACAAACAAATACTTCAAATACTTTTTTAAGCAAGAAACTTGCAGGAAATATGATCGTCTGAGTGTTGTATTTAAGGTTAAAAACAGGAAGTTTAGTCAACCTTTAGAAATCTAAAAGGAAACGCTGCATTTTATTTAAAAAAAAAAAAATTTTCTCATGTGGTTGCGATAACTTTTTGTAGTCGCATCAAAGTTTATTATTTGGAACTGAAAATTGTTGCAACAATCGAATTACTATATAATTTTCGGCGACGGTTTTCCTCCTTATCCTTATCATTACAGCGTATGTAGGCCATGGAAGCCTTTTGCTGATCGTGAGTCAATTAAAATACCGATCGCAATCGCAGTAATTGTTTGGCACAGTTATATGTTAATGTTAATGTTCCCCATTGGGTCATTGTGGCATATCAAGTTGTATACTGTGCACGAATAAGCGGCATCGCGGTCTGAAATGAAATGGGGTTTAACGTCCTTCTATTTTGCACCGACTGGGCCAATGAAGGCGGGCATACGCCATACAGTGTGCTATGAGAAAAATTCTACCTGGACTGCGGCACTACGGCCTACTTTTATTTCGAATCCCAACTGTTAAAGCTCATTTTACTTGCACATCGATGTGTATACGGGACCTCGGGTTTTCTTACCATTCGAACGACTAGACACTGTTCCAGGAGGGGGTCCTCCATCCTACACCACTGACAAGCGGGAATGAATAATTAAACAGAGACGACACAAGCGACCTTTTATTATGCCAACAGCATAGCTATGGTATGTAATCTAATGGAATCAATTTAATTCCGATGTACCAAAAGACAGATTCTCGATTTTCCCAGAAAGTAATCGTCTACGAAGTATTGATTCCGTCCGGTTAATGAGTTTAGTTCAGGAGCTGATGCAAGAGTGCATTAGGTATTTAGTTCTATGATGACACTTCCATGCATCCTAATTCCCATTAAATTGTAAGTGCAGGAGAACCGAGAAACAAACAAGTAAGAGAAAACCAGCAGACAAGACACGTCACACACATAAAACAAGGCAAAATTTCCCCGATAGCACACTCGACGTCGTGATGCTTGTTCTCATTTTCCCGGGGGGTTGGATGGTCGAATGGTTAGCACGTGCGTGCTGTATCATAAGACCTGTCATTGAGTGTGGTTTCGAGTCCCCGGTTGTACATGACAAGGAGTAGGGTCGCCTGTCCAACCTCATGGGTTTTCTCCAGATCCTCCGGTTTCCTCCCACTGCTAAAGACCCCTACGCGCAAGCGAATTATTGAAATAAATTTAAACCCTATGTTATTCCCGAAATGACCTAGTTTGTGTCGAGTGGACGTTAAACCCCATTTCTCTCTCTCTCTCTCATTTTCCCGGTTGGTGGAGACAAATTCATTTCATTTGATTTTATATTACACATTGTTATCCGAGATCAAGACTTTTCTCAAACGGCCCGAAAATAGGAAAAGATAACAGGTTTACAGCACTGGATTCATCTTGATATTTTGTGAATTGTTAATGCTTAAAAGGTCATAGACCTGTATTGAAAAGTCCCCCCCCCCCCCAAACACACCACCACCACTACAAACAACAACGCAGCAAAGTAAAGCTACGACTTGTTACTTTAAAAACGACAAGGGTTGTGGTATTTTTTACCCGCGAGTCATTGTGGATCAGATGCTTCTCCGGGTTCAATTCTGGTGTTGGCAGAGAAATTTCTTTGGGGGTTTTCTAGGAAAGTTTCACCTATTATCAGCGCTGCTGCTGGACAAAACTCGTGGCAGGGAAAAGACTCTAGTCTTTCGGGTCGTACCGATAATCTGAGATCCACTGAAAAATGAAAAGCTCCTGCCCATCTTCATTAACCCAGTTGGTGGAGCAGAGAAGAAAGACGTTAAACCTTGCTTCATTTCACTTCACTTTTCACCCAGCATATTTTGAGCTTACCCGAGGTTACACTCACCCGTTAGTTTTTTGTTTTTGTTTTAGGAAATGGCATACATGCATGGAATTTAAATATAATGCGAAAGCCTTCTTTAACCACTTTAAATCGCCCCTATGTCAGCCCTATCAATTGGCGGTCAAGCGAATATTTACTGCTGATCGGTTTGCTTGTAAGCGCCGAATCATTAGCCTAAACAATAGCACTGCCATTTTGGTCAGATAAAAAAAACATACTACGTCATTTAGTACAATATGTATGATTAATGATACCTTTGAGACTAATCTTAGTAAATCAATATAGCTGTATTCATTTATGGTTGAAAGGCAATAAAGGCAAACGTGTATCGGTAGTTTAACGCATGTGTGTGGCCGATAAAATACATGTTTTTTATTCAGTAGGCCTATTCAATCCTGTACAAAGATTTATTAATGTCGATAACCAACACAATACAACAACAATACAAACAATCATATCATAAAGCTAGCATATTAGAAAAGCCAAATGATTCATAAAATATTACAAAATTATCTCCATATTGATCGTATAACCGCTATTATACTACATGTATATGTAATTATGCACACCCGAATACTAAAGAGACTGGTCTGTACGAAAATATTTCATAATAATTAAAAAAAAAACCCATGCAGTTGAGATGGCAAGAAATTAGTTAGAATTGTTCTATATCTATAATATTTGGACGGATATTGCTTTTGTTGGCTTTTTTTTGGGGGGGGGGGGGGCTGGGGTACTTTTGCTGTTGGAAATGAAATGAATTGAAATGGGGTTTATCGTCCTACTTTTCAGCACTAACTGGGCTTTTGGTTATATGTCGATGGGTGATCAGAAGCATGCACTGTATATTATTGGGCTGCTTTATAGTGGGTTAAACCCCAGATTTGTTCATGACTAGGAGTAGGGGCGTCTGCCTAACCTCTGGTTTCCCCTCAGCTTTAAAGATCCCTCAGCGCAAGCGAACTACTGAAAGAAAAAGTATACCCTATGTTAGTCCTAATATGATCTGGTTATTGTCGCTGGGGCGGTAAAAAAAACCCCAACCTTTTGATTGTGTATGGTCTTAATTTTTAAAACCCCTTTTTGTAGTTTTGTATTCTGACTTGTCTTATTCTAATACATGTATAGACCCAATCTGTTTCACAACGGTAATAAGAAAGCATTCTTTTATCTCTGTAAAGGATGACTGACCTTTAAGTTCACGTTATTAATTAAAGATATAGCGTGACGTCACATCATATGGCCTCGCTAGCACGTGTGTTGTGTACGTAACTCAAATTCATCCGGCAGAATTGGTATTTCTCACTCATTTTACGCCTTTGCGCACTATTTCATGTACACACTTAACACTAGTGCGACCAAGCGAATATTTACTACTGAACAGTATGTTATAGATCGTGTGCGTTTCAGCATGCAGATATATCAGCATCTATTGATTGGTCATTATGTGTAATTAGTTTAATTTCTTAAGTTTTAATTGATTCTCTTAATACCACTAATAACTTTCTTTAACGTGTAATATGGTATTTGTATAGAATTCTACTACATATGAGCTGGATACCGAGGCAAATTTTCATAATTTGCTTTTATGAAAATAGCTGCATCGATTTAGTGAACACAGCTACTTATTTTATATAAAGAGGTATTGAATTTACAGTGTGAAAAAAAAAGACATTGGTTAATTATCGTTATCTTTACTAAAATCTCAATCTTGATTAAAGTCCCGATTCGCCATTTTAATCACTATGGTGACTTGCAAACTACAATATTGTGAAAGACGAATCTTTTTTAAGAATATCAGTCCAAATTCCGTTCATTGCTTGCTCGCTTTGCCACAAGCCCGCTGCCATTTTTGCTGTCCACGAAAATTATTTGATATGCCTGTTTCTAATCCCATTGAATCCAAGCCGGGACATCATCTAACGTTAAATAAGGAATCTCAGTGCATATTAATTAGCACGGATTAAGCCGTGAGAGATTTGCTGTTTTAGCGCCAAACGCCAAAGGCGCATTGTTACTTTAAGAAAACTTTGAAAACATTATCAATTTTGCAGCGTGTTGTGAATTCTTTGCCATTTACAATGACTTGCGAACTACAATATTGTGAAAGATGTACACTGTTAAAATTATTATGTATTTTTACCATTTTTTAACTGGCAGAAATATTCCCATCGTTATAACTGTATTTTAACATTGCATGTTATTTCACACGTAAAACAACATTCGATAATGTAACGAAATTGTTGTTGTTGTTCTTAGCGTTTAACGTCCGCTTCCACCGAAGGTGATAGCGCAGACAAGTTCATTTTAATGATCTTAGCGCACGCGCAGGGGTCTTTGCTGTGGGAGGAAACCGGAGTACCCGGAGTAAACCCACGAGGTTGAGAAGGCGCCCCTATCTCCAAGCCACATACGCTCACACCTGGGATCGAAACCACAGCCGCAAGCCAGAGGTGACCGGCCAACTAGAGGTCGAAGCGTGACACCCTAGACCACTAGGCCATCCCAACACAACCCAAGGTATTGCATATGCATGTCCTTATTAGCCAGTTCGGTGCATTCAGATTTTGAATAACCTATTTCTCTAAAATGGACTAAACTGACGGACAAAACAGTACTTATTTTGCAAAAAATTCGATATGTAGTCGAAGGGGGAATAACCGATGTTACCACTATTTGACAGTAAATTTACCATTTTCTGTAAAATAATATTTTCAACGACATTTCTGTTAACATAAGAGTGTATCATCTCTAATAAGAATTTCACTCCAAATTCCGTTCAATGCAGCTCGCATTGCCATAATCCCGCCGCCTTTTTCTTGTCCTCAAAAATTCAATGAAATGCCTGTTTTAAATACGATTGAATCCAAGCCGGGACATTATCTAACTTTGACATTTTTATTTTGTTTTCTTAATTAAATATTA